CTCGTAGTAGGTAAGGAGGTATTCGAATATAGAATTATCTCAGCAATAGCCCCAAAGCTGCCGCTTTTACCGCGCCCTTCGAGGCGCTTTGTAGCAGTCTTAAGCGGTTTTAAGATGTCTATATACTCTGTAATTACTGCCTAATTAGCACCTGTAAGGCCGTCTGATCGCATCTACGGCTGCGCAACTAGCAGCTTATTGCCGCGACTTTGCGCAAACGTGTCCTCCCTTTGCACCCGCTGTATATAGTAAGTAGCGTAGGCGTTGACTGCAAATTGCAGCTTTACGGCACGCTTAAAGCATAAGTAGTACGAGTTCCACCGCGTGACAACGGGTTTAACAGGCTTAAGGATCTTACGATCGTCCGCTAACGCGCTAGACGGCAGCTTAGTGTAGGCGAGGCTACGCTGGCAAATGGGTCGGGGTGTGGTTGGGGTTGGGTTAGAAATTTTGCGACCCCAACCCAACCCCAACCCATTTGTCAGCGCCAAGCTTAGGGTTGGGTTGGGGTTGGGTTGGGGTCGCACGGACCATGGGTTAGGGTTGGGTTATAGTAAAAAAATTGCAAGATGTATAATATAGATTTCAATAAAAGAAAAGTTTATATAGTATCACAGTAGATTAACACAGTGTAGCATTAACTAGTTTCATTTATAATATACAGAGGCTTCGCCAGCTAGCATTTAAGCACGTGTATCTAGATATATCTTATAATCTAGAGAAAAGCTAGTAACTCGCGCGCAAAGTAGCGCCTAGCCAATTGAGAATCCTTCTCTTGAATAGTAACCCTCTTTGCGTGAATAGCATTGATGTTGCAGTCTATAAAAGTTATTAAATGAAAAATAGTATAGGGTAGATAGACTATACCCTCAAAATAACCAACTAAGAAAGCTTCTGTAGCTTCCTGAAGAGCTTCGATTGCAGATCGTTGAAAGCGGATATCGGCCTTGTGCACCTGTGCAATTCGCGCACTACGCGGGAAAAGGGGAGTTTTCGCAAGAGTAGTTCAAAACCTCTCTGGTATCTCTTGATTTCCCGTAATGCGACAGCTAAGCTAAATTAGAAAATAGCTGTGATAAACGACTGTGATAACCTACTGCCGGCCTTAAACTTGCGCTTCTTCTTAACAGCTACAGGTGCCTTTCGCGTAGACTTTCCTGCTACTTGACGTCTAGCCTTACTAGCAAGGGCCTTCTGAGCCGGCTTGCCGCCAGTAACTGTCTTGCCATCAGGACCACCCCGGCCGGCTTTACCGGTGACCTTAGGCCGTGGTTTTGTCCTTGCCATTGCGTAGTAGAGTAGATGATGAACGTAGGCGACGTATGTGATTAATTACTGTGATAAATGTGGTCGACAATTAAGAAAGTAGTAGGCTGAAAGAGTTAGGTAGCTGGAAAGTTTGGGCGACGGCAATTTCCCGATTTCCGCACTAGTAAAGGCAGCAGCGCACGGACTGCATGACGTAATTTGCTGTTTCACGATCGCATACAACCATTTCTGTTGCAAAATCAGTAGCGAGCATATCATACAAACGTGTTAAACTGCTGTGATAAACGCCGAGCTCGCGCATGCGTGCAGCCCAAAAATGAAGGAATCATCGATGTGTTGATCATTTTGGGTAATTTCCGCGTTTTCGCGCTAGCGCAGGCAGCAGCGCACGGACCATTTCTAGGTGAGCATAATGCTGTCTACCCATTTCTCCAGCCCCTGACGCCCAGTAACTCCCAACACCTAATAACTCTCTTTACTACATTGAAAACACCCCATTTACAACAGCGCATTATCACAGTCCCCGCCATGCCTGTCGCGAAAGAGCAAGTCGGCGACGTACCTGAAGGCCTAGTTCCAGCCATCAAACTTGAACCTCCGCCTGGGTTCGAACAAGATGAGTGGGAGCAGCTTACCGATGTAATAATCACAGCCATTTATCACAGCTTATGCTAATATAAGCAGGGATTTGCGTGTGAAGCTGACGAGATTGACGGTATCTTAGATCAAAGAGGTAGTGGGGGTTCACGAAAAGGCCGACCTATCAATTTGAGCGTCCCCTATACTGGCTCTCTGAGTGGTAGCGCCCGTGCTATTGCTCAACGTGAACGCAAAGCTCTTTTCGATAAAGAGGAGAAGGTACTTGAAAGCGTTAGAACAGCCGACCGCTCCGCGAAGTACCAACTGAAGAAATCGCTTTTGCAACAGCCTAAGTATAAATTAGCAAATAGTGCTAGACAGGCTAAGCTGCTAGAGAAAGAGTGGGATATACTTTCAGAGAAGCGGTTTACCCAGAAAAAGTCTGGTAAGTTATCACAGCTGTTTATCATAGACATCTGCTAATAGACTATCCCAAGTGGCGAAGGATATACTAGCAATACCAATTGCTCAGGTTGGGGTTGAAAGAGTTTTCAATGTTGCTAAGGATGTTATTGGTAGTCGGAGGCACCGACTATCTGCCCGGACAATACAGCAGATAATGGTTCTTAAGGATACAATATCTCAAGAGGAAGAACAGGGTCTAGACTACCTAGTTGCTCAATTAGGGGAGGATGGAGAGCCAATTGACGAGGTTAATGATCTTTTTGAGCTTCCAGCCTCGTTAGAGCATACCTTCGATATAGATGAGGAGAACCAGACTACAGAAGAAGAGTCGGAGGAAGAGGTCCAGGAGGAGCGTCAATTGCCACCTCGAAAGCGCCAGCGTCCTCAGCGCTACCGTGATAATTAGCTGTGTTAATATATCTCGTTTTATGTATCTACTATATCATCAACGTGTACACATTATCTTAATTAAGTGTTGTTCCGTTAAAGTACCCAAAAAATATAACCCAACCCCAACCCAACCCAACCCAACCCAAGCCCAACCCTACCACTTGGTCTGTGCGACCCCAACCCAACCCTAACCCATGGTCTGTGCGACCCCAACCCAACCCCAACCCAAGACTGGGTATACCCAACCCATTTGCCAGCGTAGGCGAGGCGCTAGAAGTCCTCGAAGAGCTTATACTGTTGTGGCGTTTTAATATAGTTTATAATACTGAGCAGTACGCCAAGTGGGCCTACGCGTCTCTACTCCTCTATGAAGTCGTGCTCGTCGGTGAGCTCTTGTACGTCGTTGTCGAACAAGGCGGCGCTACCCTTGCCCTAGAGGAGCGTCTGGCTGATAAGGTTAAGCGTGTGAGGTCCGCAGCGGAGGCGCTGGTAGGTGGCATTAAAACTATACTCTTGAGCTAATATTGCAATAGTACTGTTGTTATTAGGGGCGTTATTAAGCACGAAGTAACTAATTAACTGCGACGTGATCTTAAAGTCCTACAGCGTTTTTATAATAACCTCGGCTATCCTCTCGCTACTGTGAGCGCCTGTCAGCTAGGGCAGCGCTATAGGCAAGTCCTGCAGGTCGCCTCTGCTGTCGACAAAGTGCGCAACGACGCCTAGAAAGCCACGCTTGCCGCCCTTTGTCGTCCATCTATTAAAGCTAAGGTGTACTTTGCTAAGCGCCTGCGACAGTTGCAAGATAACGCGCGGCTTTAGGTGCTTATATAAGCGCGCAACGTACTAGGAGACGCTTATATAAGACGTCTAGAGCGCTCGTTCTGCTAGTAGGTTAGCAGCTTTAAGGAGGCGTCGAAAAGCTAGTGTTTCAAACTTAGAGAGAGGGTAATTGTTCTTAACAAGCTAGCTAACAGCTGCTAGCTAGAAGCGCTGGGTATTAAAGCTAGCGAGCTCGTTAGCGACCTTCTGCGACACGCTGTTGTTGCCGTCCTTAAGCAGACGTTGTAGCTAGGTAGGTTTTGCAGCGACGGCCGACTTGCTGTAGCTATAGCCGCGCTTAGGCAGCTCTAAGTGTCGCTGCGCTGACGACGTTAAGAGCGTCGTCTTATATATCCCAACGCCGGTATCTATATACTTATGCTCGTAGCAGTAACGGCACACGAAGTATAGCTTACTCGGGTCCTTTAGCAGCGCAACGCGGTAGCTATAGCAATAGATCTAGCTCTTGCGCGACTTCTGCAACGAGAGCGGCTTTATATATATGCGTAAACGCCCCTAATTAATTCCCTTAAAGTCGTCTATAAGGCTCGCGTCTAGAGCCTCTTGCAAGGTCTTATTGTCTAGGGCTGCTGCCGACGAGGCTGCTGTTACCCTCTCGCTGCCCTCGGTAGGCGCGACGATAGCGTCTTCAGGCCGCGACTCGCGTAGTTGCGACTCAAAAGTTGAAGCCTGGGACGCCTCTACGAGAGCTCTGCGAGGCGACAGACGCGACGGCGATAGCGATAGCTGACTATCAACGGCTATAGGCTGGCTAACAATGCCGCGGGCGGTGGACGATTTAACGCGTTTTTTCGGGCGAGTAAGGTTATCAGAGGCGCGTTTCATAGGAGGCATAGCGGTAGAAATATAATAAGGGCGACGGAAGCCAAAAAAGTGACGCGATAGTAACGTGTCTGTGCGCGTGATGCCCATAATCGCGTGCCGCACACCCCGCAACATCAACACCAATCCACCCTTACCACTTCAACCACCCATAACTCCACAACCATGAGTTGTATCAACGCTGCGATTGAAGCTATTGAATCGCGTGATCCCGGAGATAAATTTACATACTCTGAGGTTGCGCGCCGCTTTGGTGTTGATCGCTCTACGTTGTCGCGACGCCATCAACAGATCCGGGGCTCAAATGAAGCCAAATCACGTAATCAGCAACTCCTTCACCCACACCAGGAGCTACAGCTTCTAGAGCACATTGACGAGCTTACTGAGGCTGGCTTACCACCGACGAGGACTATGATCCAGAACTTTGCTAGTGCTATAGCCGGAAGGGCTACCTCCCAAAGCTGGGTGACGCGCTTCTTTCACCGTCATCCCGACGCGATTATATCACGTTGGTCAACTGGTTTGGACCGCAATCGCCACCGGGCTGATTCTGTATACAAGTACGAGTCGTACTTTGATCTACTATCTACTAAAATGGCTCAGCACCATATTCGGGCGCAGGATGTATATAATATGGATGAGAAGGGATTCCTTATTGGAGTGACGGGGAGGAGTAAGAGAGTGTTTAGTAAGCAGAAATATGAGACTGGGGGCTTTAAGAAAGTGATACAGGACGGCAACAGAGATTGGATCACTGTTATCGCTGCTATATGTGCTGATGGGAGTACGTTACCGCCCGCGATTATATACGAAGCTACTTCGGGCAACATGTACGCCAGATGGGTTGATGATATCGCAATTGACGATCCAGTCTACGTTACCTCAAGTCCCTCAGGGTGGACCAATGATCAGGTAGGCCTGGCATGGCTCGAACAGGTGTTTGATCGCCATACGAAGGAGAAGGCCGGCAATCACACACGCTTACTCATCCTTGACGGCCATGGGAGTCACGTTACTATGGAGTTTATTGACTATGCGATCGCCCACAATATTATGTTACTCATACTACCCCCCCATAGTACCCATACGCTGCAGCCACTCGATGTGGTAATGTTCAAACCTCTGGCAGCCGCGTACTCACTCAGCTTGCAGCACTACCTCCAGGCGAGCCACGGTCTCTTAGCTGTGAGGAAGGATGACTTCTACCGTCTTTTCAAGCCTGCCTGGGACTCCTCTTTCATTAAGAAGCACGCGTTGAAGGCATTTAAAGCCACTGGGATAGCTCCTATAGATCCCGAAGTAGTACTTAAAAAGTTCCGAAAGTCAACACTAACAGCACCGCCGCCACTAGTGAACGTGAGTAGAGCTACTATCACGAACCTCATTAATCAGGCCTACGATCCGAGCTCTATTGCGGCCAACAACCTCTCAGAAATACTCCTCCGCCTCCAGGCTGCCAAAGAGATCGCCGAGTACGAGAAGGACGCACTGCGCGCGGCGCTACACGTTCACCAGAAGCCCCGCAATCGGCACGAACCTCCCCTAGATCTACAGCAGCGAAAAGCGTTCCATTCAGGGGCAGTTTGGTGGTCGCCGTGCAAGCTTCGAGAGGCCCGCTTCAGGCAGCTAGTGAAGGAGAAGGAGAAGGAGAAAGAGCTACTTGATAAGATAGAGTTGAAAGAGGCAAAGGAGAACAACAGGATCTATCAACTTAAGATCAAAGAGGCAGCGCGGGCGGCGCGTGAGGAGGCAAAGAAGGTGCGGGATGAAGCCAAGGCTGTAAAGGCTGCCGAACTTGACGCCAAACGACGCGATCGCGACGCTGCAAAGGCTATACAACAACCCCAATCGGGCAAGCGTAAGGCTTCAAAGCCCGCTGCAAAGCAACAGCCAAAAAAACGACGCGTGGGTGGTGCTGGCGGTGGCACTCTGGCTGAGGTGGCTGCACCGGCTCCCCCACCAACAACCACCCGACGCGGCCGGGCCGTCAATACTCCGGCAAAATATAGATAGACAAAGTTGTAGAGCTACGTCTATAGATCAATACACCGGAAAATCTCGCGATAATAGTTATTGTACGTGGCTGCACAGCCTCAACTTTGCCGTCGTCGCGATATTGGTGGGGTGTGCGGCACGCGATTATGGGCATCACGCGCACAGACACGTTAGGTTGCAGAAGTTAGGCTAATTACGTACTAGTACTACGACGACTACAACACCAAAAACCTATCGTGAAATCGCTCCTTCTGCAAAACGAGCAGCCTCACGCGCCACCTTAATCAAGCCTATTAAGCTGAACAATTAAGCTGACCCTCCTCAGCTTAGATTGCTAAAAAATTATTATAAGCGAGCTTGACTTGATGGGATTGATAGTTATCAAGCTATCAATCAAGCGCTTGCAAGCCGCTTGATTGTTGACAAGTCTGCCGGTAATGACGTGAAGAGAGCGCATATTGAATTGCTGAGAAATGAATCAATGCACAATGAATAGATGATTCTAACGGCTGCCTATCTGTGCTACTAAGCAGTTTTATAGCCGCATACTAGAAAGCAGTAACGGCCATGCGAGTTACACTAGCCTCGCGCAGGATCTGAAGGACTTCCAGCACACGTGACTTACCCGCACGACGCCATACATAGGCTAAATCCTTCTAACAGACTGCTTCCCAGACTCCGCAACAATCAATCGGATCGGCATGATTGATTCCTATCTAGGTTAAAGGCTGCCTAATGAAGTAATTCTTTAACCTATATAGGAATCAATCATGTCAATCGATTGATTGTTGCGGAGTCTGCTGCTTCCACTCTCTGATCGTTAAAACGAGGGTTACATCCGAGCTGCAGGAGCTATTAGGGCGGATGCAGACTTGCTATCAGTTAGTTATATCTATCTACATACTAACTGATAGCAAGTCTAGGCCGCATTTGCGGCATGAAAAGACCTGCAGAAGCAATTTATGAACTTAGGCCATCTTTCTGAAACCCTGCATTGGACAGACTTGTAAAGTTGCATGCGCCAACAAGACACAACCTTCCCAATTTATCTATCAGCTATTAGCGAAGCACCAGCAGCTCCGCTGAGAAGTCGATTTACTGGCAGTTCAAAGTGCCATGTTAATAAAGCCGGAAAAAGCGGCAGACGATTGCTTTGATTGCATACAACAACGTGGGGTAGGTTGATTGAATATGGACCATCTCCGCGAGCGCCGTGGAAAGCAAGCATGAGTATATAACGACTGGTCCGCCCTGTTGGGGGAGTTGCACCTATCCAAACTTCTTTTCAGGTGCACCTCGTGTCTAAACCCTCGTACATCTTAAGCTCAAGCAGTATGCTCTCGCTCTTCAAGTTTGCTTCTCTGGCCGCCCTCCTAGGCTTAGCCGCAGCTCAACAACAGCCATGCTACAACGCGTATGCTACCTTCAGCCATGGGGGATTGTCCTCTACATTATTGCATCGCTGACATCCGTCTACAGTGCCGATCCTCAAGACGGAGTAGGAAGCTACTGCCGGTGTGCAGACAACCGTTCGTCATCATTTTGTGTCTGTACAATTCCATGACAGCCATTGGCCCTGTTGTACAGTCTGCTATTTTCCGGGCAGCGACACCAGTAATGGCTGCGATCCGCCAGGCCGACAATTGGATTGCCCCGGGGGCCTATGAGCGCGGCAGTTAAAGATAGGCTGCAATTAAAAGTTATAAACGTGAATATAATAGTTTACTATTTAACACCCACCTTTTTCCAATTGGTAAAGTTTGTTGATGCCCGGGTACCCAGTACCCTTGTCAGGTTGGATCTGCAGCTAGTGCCCGTTTTGGTATAGTCGCTTTCCTTCACACAAACCGTAACTTGGTTCACATAGTCTCTTATAGCCATCAATAATAAGCAAGCGACGCGCGCCTATACTACGAGCCTGCGTGTGAGCGTTGAAGTGCTTTAGCCACTCAACTCCAAGCTTATTATTCGTCCAGCTATTGTCGCTGACTGCGATCGCCTAGTCGCGTGGGATATCCTCCTCATACCAGGCTGATAGGTGGTACTAGCCAGCCAAGATAAGGAATGGTGGGACTAACCAGCTAGCAGCGCTGATAGCAGCGATTGGCGTTACCCACTCGCGATTGCCTGGCTGAATACTCTTCGGCCTGCCTCTCCTCTCTGCTCCTGTTATAACTAGCTGCGTTGTAATCTTGCCTATTATAAAGCTAGTGTTGGTTGGCTTTGCACTAAGTGCGTAAAGGGAAATAACGATAACTAGGAATGCATTCTATGTGGTAATGATTCTGATTGATTCTACGAACATAGGTGCTACGAAGGTATACCTAAGCTCAGCGGAAGTCGGGCCGAAGTCGGGCCGAAGTGTTGAGCATCCGACGTCCCTACCGATACTCACGATCCGACAGCTAGCTTCGTTAAAGTTATAGACATCCTTATCGCAGATACCTAGCTCAGCCTTTGTCTCTTCTACAAGCTTAAACCACCTCTTTATTAATGTCGCATCCTCACATAGAGCTCTCTGCCTATTGTACGCTTAGTTAAAACACGTCTAAAGACTGTCTGTACGCTTAACAAAGTTACGCGGCTAGTAGATGCTAACAGGGCTAGCGCCACGCGTAGCTATTAGCTTATTAGCCATATCTCGTACATCTGCGTAGGTAGGCCCATATCCGTTCTCATCTAGCTAAAGTATATAGTCAATAATCACCTCCTCTTCTCTCTAGGTAAGCCTTCTTAAGTTAGGCTAGCAATCGCGTCGTGCAGGCTTGCCAGCGCGTTGGCGGTGGAGTGTATGGCGAGAGACATTAAACATCTGCGCAGCACGAGATTCAGTCTGAATTTGTTTCTGCTAGATAGCTAAGATAGTAAGGCCTATATTAGCCTTACAAGAAGCTTTCTGGGCTTGAGTTAGGGGTGCCATAATTATTTAAAGTTTGCGCGTTGAAGAAAGTTGGTGGGGTGCTCACTCGCTTGTAATGTGCACTCGCTTATAAAACATGTTACTATCCGAACACCGTATTAAAGTTAATCTTAAAACACCTTAGGACATCTATAGAATAGCTCGCTATGTAATATTAGTTAAATGGTTAAATAAACTAAACAAATTTTAATTCTACGTTTGATTTGCTTATAGTCAAGCAAATCAAACAAACTATTCAAACGCGTTTGCTTAATGACAAGTCTGGATATGGATAGATGCCCTATGTATCAACCAGGACGACCCAAAGGAAAAGAGTCATCAGATTGCACAAATGGGCGATATTTATTCCAAAGCTTGGTGCGTTTACGCGTGGCTTGGTCAACCACGAGGGCAGCTGACTGGATACGATAATTTACTGCAAGGTCTGATGAGCCGAATAGAGTACAGTCATGAGGAAGTTATGGCTCGTATGAATTGGCTTTGTCAACACTTATTCAACAACAAGTATTGGAAGCGGTGCTGGATCATCCAAGAGATCACTCTAGCTCGCCATGTCGTCGTCCTGTTGGGCTCCAACAGGGCCGAATTCGCACAGCTTGTCGAAGCTGCTAGGCAATGTCGTATCCCTGGATACATCCACAGTCCACTCTCTCAATTCGCAATACTTTGATACTGGACGGTGCCTCTCCATCGGAAAGGGTTTAATCTTGCTGCATGCTGACTTCTCGAGGACGGAGTCTACTCTTACCCATGATCGCATCTTCGCTTTGGTACCACTTTGTCGCGAGAAGGCCAGCTTCGAGATTGACTACAATCTTTCGATTGAGAATCTAGTCCATGAAACCCTGACTAGCTGCAAGGAATCTTTATGCGTATGCTCAATTCTGGTGGTACTGTGGACTCTCATCCAACCTCAAAGGCGGTACAGGCAGGGGAATCATCGTATCGCGGGTCTCAATGATTACATTGAGATCGATGTGAGTGGCCTCTGGGTCAGGTTCAGACAAGAGAAAGACCCATTCCAAATCTATGGAGACAAGGAACCACTGTGTCGCAGAAGAATTGTGAAGTTACGGCGAGTCGACTCTGTGGAACTTTACGATCCCCGGCATACATGTTCTCTCTTACCACGGCTCCTTTGCTATGTCTTTACTCCTGCTACTATCGTGGTTCATATCCACAAAGATTGTCCCTTATATTGTGCATTCAACACAATAGGATATGACTGCCTTCATTATCTTCACAATACTACAACCACGTCGGACTTTTTCATTGTCAATCGATTCCGCAATCTATCAGAGTGGGATGGGATTGAAGGTGAGCAGAACTACATACTTACTGAAAGTTTCAGCATCAGAAGTAGCAGCACTGGGCATTTGATATATGTACCATTTTCGACGCTCTGGATGTTCCTGGAAATCCTCTCCTGCGTCCGACATAAGGGGCAGCAAGACAGTCTGCCTGTTACAGATTTTTTAACTTTGTGCGAGAGGGGAATGGGACAGACGGACGACTATCGGATCTCCTGCCCTTTTCGCTTGAGTCGAGGATCGTGAGATGTTCGCGGGACGCCTGCTACCCCTACTCCCATAGCTGATACAAGTAGCTCTCTCTGATATCAACTTCTTGAAGTCGCCGTCTTCGAAAAAAAGAACTGCTCTTGATAGTGTTCGTTTGCGTTACGAGCTTCCCGTCGCATCTTCATTGCGGCCCGTTGCAGGCGCCGGATCAGGGTAGATGCGGGCCCCAGTGCTAACTTAGCCCCGCGTCGCGCGCCCAAGATACGACGCGTGAGCAGTCCACCCGCGCAAGAGCGCCTCACATCTGCACATTCGTCCTTGGCCGCCTATTCCGGTTGAAGGACTCGCGATGAGCGTAATGGATGCGTGCCCTCGTTTGTAGGGTGTGGTAGCCGCGAGGCTGAAGAAGTCGGTGATAGGCCGACGTGAAGCTGCATCTGCTGAGGCTTGCAGTGGCTGCAGGAGAAGGCAAATGGAGGCAAACGGGCGCTTATATTAACAGAGCTTTGAGGTGTATCACTGCCTCATTGAACGAGACGACCCCACCTCCCATAGGTCCAGCCGCTCGGCATGGCATACACGATGAAGACCGCGTTGATGCATTGACTGAAAGCGGCCACGGCGAAGCTATACACCGGCGGCTCCAACCCACTTAGCCGGAGCTGTACTGTCACTCTGAACAGCCACATGCTATGTGAGTGGCAGATAAGCACATAGCTGTGCTCTCGCCCTGTTGCTTGCGTAACCTGTTGTCACAGCCTCCTTTCCAACACATGTCCAAACGATGGGTGCCTTCCTATCATGGCTCGCATACCCACCAGGCAATCTCAAGGACGAACTCATGGCTGAGATCGAAAGGCGGGAAAGACAGAATCGTTTGCCTGTTCGGGGCGGTTTCCTGACTTTGGAATTTATCGACGAGCTCTTTACCGTTGGAAACATCGCTCAACAGCTTCGTGAGCACGAAGAAGTTCGACTGCTCCCAAAGAAAGAAAGAATCCAGCTCGCTCAGTTCATCAAGCAGAACCAGCAAAAGCTCTACGCTATACTTCTTCTAATGGACGAGTCACATCACCTGAGCCTGAACAATGCCAGAGCTTTCACGGACGAAAGCCTCTTCGATATCCCGGAGCCTGGCCTTGCCTCTCTACCATGTGATTTGGCGACTTTAGAAACATTGCCATTGTTCCGTGGCTTCGCTTCTGCTTTCTATGAAAAGCAGTTCGTGTTTCCGCCAGGCCTACCAACCGGGAGGACTATATCTCACCCACCACACTTTATATTCCCATTCGCCAACGAACGCGAAAGAGTCGGCTATGGGTCTTTTGGTGAAGTATACAAAGTGGAAATTCCGAGTGGATTTCTGCCACCTCAAGCGGATGAAAAGGTCTCCAAGGTATTTGCTAGCCCCAGGCAGACCCCAGGGCACTAAATTGACTTTTTGTAGAGCGTTGTGGTTGCATATAAAAAAATTAGAAGGCAAGGGACAAAGGCTTGGGAAAGGGTAGATTCGGAGTTCAAAATGCTTCATCAACGGGATCACAGAAATATCACACCTTTGCGAGGTAGCTTCTATGCAGGATTGGAAGACACTCGTCACGCCAAAAGTCCGAGTCAGTGTTTGTACCTGTTTTCGCCTGCAGCAAACATGAATATGGAGGGCTGGTTGCAGGAGGAAACAACGGAGCATAGATCGTCTGGCTTCATATACTTCCACACTATGCTGGCCCTTGCATCAGGACTGACGTACATCCACCGAGAGATCGACACCATGGTGGGCTATCATCGGGATATCAAGCCAAGCAACATTCTTCTTTTCCACAGTAATGATGAGAAGATCTGGAAGTTTTGTGACTTCGGCACCTCGAACCTCAAGCCCGCAGACAATACTGGAACTACGAGTATGGTTACCGACAAGTACTGGGCGCCTCCTGAATTCTTTGAAGAGCATACGGAAGAGGATGGATTAAAACATGCCCGTGCGCACGATGTATTCTCTCTTGGATGTGTTTTTATTGAATTAGCAACGTTACTACATATGGGCGCTGACGGTCGGTCAACGTTCAAATCCCGAAGAGAGGATGGAGATCGGGATCCTGAGGCTTCATGGTATCGGGGCGCTTTCCACAGATCGATGCCTGTAGTGCGCGAATGGATTGAAGACATGCGCAACAAACAAGAGGAAGGCCAACATCGCGAAGTGTTAGCTATCATCTTCGATATGCTACAAACTCCAGACGAGCGTATATATTCATGGGAGGTGGAGATTGACTTGTTCATTATTGGACCGTCGGGCACGGACTCCGAGAAGGTGGTAGACTATCTGCGTCAAATCAGTCAATCATCGCTAGGTTACAGAGCAAAGACGAAGCGTAATCCCTACACACGGGCGAAGAGAAGGGCTAGAGAAAATCACCTCTACAGCGTGAGATGTCCGAATCAGTTCTTCCAAGTCATGAATAGTTTTGGATGGCATGAATACTCGCCTCAGTCCACCGGAAGCTCTCAGCAAACCCCGGGACAACAAGCCTACTCGAACCTCCCATTACCTCTGGACAGAGACACGCTCTGCGGTGGTCAGGGCCTGTATCAGGAGATATCGAATGGCTTCCGGAAGTCAGACATCGTAGCACTCTACGGGGTTGCTGGTATCGGGTAAGCCGGACCAGATACTGCGTGGAAGTTTCGCTAATGATTCCCAATAGGAAGTCTCGAAACGCCTGTGAATACGCAGGGCAGTTCGTGTATCCTGAGGACAAGGCCATCACCAGACACACTTTCTTTGTCGACGCCACAACGGCAGACAGCTTGATGAGTTCATACGACGCTATTGCAGACAAAATCAATTTGTCCGAGGTTGACATTACTGGCCAATCTCAAGCATTTTCAAGAGTCACGAGATACTCGCTGGGATCCTGGCTGAACCAAGAGAAGAGTGGGAAGTGGTTCATGGTCGTGGACGGATTTGACCCCATCGGTGACATGACGGAGCTCAAGCAGATGCTACCGACGCCTAGGCATGGCATGGATCAGATACTCATCACAACACGAAACCTTGCCAAGATAAGGGAGTATTATTCGTCATGCAAACTTCAAATAGCTTGCATTGAGGTTACTGCGCTTAGCCCTGCCGATTCAATGCGCTTGTTCAAGCAAAACATTGGAGAATGGGAAAGACTCAAAGGTGATGAAACCGACACCCCCAAAATCAAAGATCTACTCGAGAAGCTTTGGTCTCCCCTGATGATCAAATATGCTGCCAATCAAATCGGAGATACCAGAGTTACAGTGATGCAGTTGAAAGAGCTGGTGGACGATAACGGTCTCTCAGAAGTCACGGTCCCATTCGAATCGTACCTCACTCACGTTCTCGAACCCCTTACAGGCACATTGTCCCATACCCCGAGTTGGCCTAGGGTGGTTGGGACACTATTTCTGCTTGCGTTTTTTGACCCTAATGGTGTTAAATGGAGTACGCTGAAGAACGACCACACGAAAAGATCGAAAAGGTCCGGGCTGTTGAGATCTCTTGGGAAATTGGAAGACTACGCTCTTATCAACAAGGCTCCTGGAGAGGTGTACTCCATCAATGGCAATATTCGAGAAACAATACTAGAATGGATTGAGCAACTCGATGGCCCTGAAGGCGGCGCAGAAGGCCTTCTAAAACGACATAGCAAAGCGCTTTCGATAATTTACAAATCCTATCAGTCTTTGCTCGCAAATGCCATGGAGACAAGTCCGAACGCATACTCGCAGCTTCACCAGGCCGAACAACCGTTTATGCCGCACTTTGAGTGCTTCTTAAACTTCACGAAGAAACACACTCGGCAACAAAAGCCTGAGCTACGCTATCCAGCCGTGCGAGCTGTTATCTGCTTTTCGAAGGTTCTTCTCGATAAAGACAGATATGAAGAAGCCATGAGAGTCACTGAGTACACTCGAGAACACTTCCAGCACAAACTTGGTGAAGCCGATAGCGAGAAACAAGTACGTGTCTTTTTCATTTTAGGAAGACATTTGATAACCATCTACCTCGCCCACCCAAGAGACGCAGAGTCTTCGACTTTTCAATCAAAGGCCAGAGATCTTATCGCCCAATTACAGTCAGTGGTCCAGGAGATCAAAAAGCAGCATCTCGGGTGGGACTGGCTTACTACAATCAGTCTTGAAATCAAGCTGGACCAGGCCAGACTCTATCGAGAGTCCGAGCAGTTTGACGATGCACACCGAGAGCTATCGAGTATAGGGGTTACCATAGAAAAGAAGATCAGCAATGGTGATAAAGTCACCAAGCAAGTCCACAAGCGTAAAACCTCCGGATACAGAAATACGCGAAGACCAGAACACCATCCTTCTCTACCCAAACTACGGATCATGTCGAAGTTTCAAGACGGCTTACTGCACATGACGGAAGGCGACTCGAAATATTCCATAAATCAGAGCGATGCTCTAGCGTTTTGGTACAAGGCTCGAGGATTACTCCTCTCTGCTGTAGATGCAGCTGAAACGTACTGTCCGACCGATGAGTCGTGGCATGAAGAGATACGTGTAGCGATCGCAGTTGTAAACACCAAAATCGGCCAGAAGAGTCTTGTCAATGATGCTATAGATGCACTCAATCTCGTACGGGGCCGCATGGAAGAGAGGTACGGATTGGTCCGGCGTACGATGGACGTAGAGTTCAAGCTAAACGAGGCTCGTCTCAAGTCCAGCAAGCAACATGTTGTCAAGGTTGCGACGGATAGTTCACGGGAAATATTTCACTGGTACAAAGATCATTTTGGAGAGTACGCGACGGACACCAAAGATTGCGCGTCGCAGCTTGTGAGGGCACGAATACGAGTGGGTGAAACGGATATGGAGGATATGCGCGCGTTCATCAAGTATTACGGGCTGGAGAAAGAGGCCGAAGATATGGGGAACTTGTGGAGGCGGAGGTTATGCATAGTGTCTTTCCTTTGTATTCTCTTAATGACGTTATGTCTAGTGTATCGGTATTAGTCGTAGTAAACCAAATCTCATATAAAGCCACCCAATATGAGCGTCACACTTCGTGCATGCAGCATGACCATTTGATCTAGACAGTGCCTGTAGAAGCAGATCACCACAGCAAAACTGGACGGTGCCACTTGGAGAAATGGACACAGTCCTGCTCCAGATATAAGCAAGGTATAGCGCTTGGTTTCAACCCATATTTTACTCCAAGGTTCGACATCATTACTATGGTGGCTAGGCGTTTCAGACATGCAGCTTACACTGAAAGGCGAATCATCATGGTAATAATAGATATACAATTATGTATAAGAATAACTAGGTGTGCTTCTACATACATGTTTTGCGGTCGTTATACACGGACTCAGCTAATCGCGTTGCGTTGCCCGCGTCAGCACCGGCGCTAGCACCTCCGCTACGACAATAGAGAGAGTATGCATTTGCGAAGATCCTGGCTAAGGAGATAATGAAACCATAAGAAGAGCGACACCAAGACATACAAGGTCCGCATGCCGTAAGGGTATTGACCATAACAGACGCCGAAGAATGAATGCACAGAGCAAGTGCGCCAAGCGCCAATTACAACCATTTTGACAAAAACGCCTGCTTCTCCTTCGATGAAGGTTGCATGGCTACCGAGGGCGGTCATAGTTCCACGGATACACCTCACTACTTGTTGATGAGGCGGACGAGCACGAGTCAATATCATCTCGAATCTGAAGTGGTTCTCCCATCAACATCTTGTCACCAGTGTCGAGTGTGAGCGGAGGTATCTGGGGCGATCCTGAGTTGGATATTTGCAGCATCCGAGCGGTAGGTGTTTGGGGTGACTGGGCGGTGGGTGTCCGGTCTCCAGCGCTGAGCGCGGGTACAGGTGCGAAGAGGAAGTGCGGGTTGTAGGTGTTGAGGGTTTGCAACCCCTCCACGAGGAAATTCGTAGCTGGGCGTGTCGGCCGTCATGGGCAGGGTGGTCTGCAAAGTGGCAGCTGCTGCTGCAACTCCCGTTGCTTTTGTCTGAGTGCTGCGTGGGCGATCGCGTTTGCATAGCGGCTTCGGCAGCATGACTGCGATGATTAGTGGGGGCTACGTTGATACGATTCAGTCAGCATACATGCTCCTTATAGGTGATTCAGTAGGCTACTGACTGTTCACGTTGCGTGTCGGGTCGCTCCGCATGAGGTGGTGGAGCACCTTGATAGAGAAGCTCCGCCGGCGGCCCACCTGTACGTGGGACTTGACGTGGCATCGGGTCGAAAGGAAACGTGTAGTTGCGTGAGTGAGGCCTATTGGTGCCGTCATCAGTAAAGAGGTCCATGACTTCAGACAATTCTTGAACTGGCATCAGCAAGTGGGAACTGCGACGTGCAGCTGGCCGTGGGAGAGGAGAGCTTCACAGCCCGTCAAGCTTGGTCCCTCTTCGCAGCGGCCCGTGCTCCTTGCTAGCTCATGCACTCCATGTTTTGTTATCGATAAGCCGTGTCCGCCTCGACTTGTTTACCAATGTACAGTACATCGAGTCACTCGAACCACCTGATTGGGCACTGGGATTTTGCCGTTGTTGTGAGTTGGCTGCCGTGACATGTATTAACCACGTCTGCCTGAGGTTTAGTCATTTTACAATTACTATGCTCAAAGTAGAGCACTGCTTCTGCAAAGATTTCATGCTGACATTCTCAGATCATTCAGTGCCCGCCCAGGTCATCTGCGCCTCACGGCATCATAGCATACACGATGCGAGGCTCAATTCCAGGTAAATGTCGATTGATACTGCTAGAATTACTTCAGGGCTATAGGTCTTTCCATTCCGTGATCATTTCTTTCTGATGTTCGTTGTGTTGAACACGAGCGGGTTCGGTGGATCAGCGTCTAGCGCTACCAGCCAGTGCCCGGAGCTATCGGTTGATCCTCCCGGACCTTGAACTGTTCCAAGCTCCCATTCAACTATAGGTAGTCAGCGCGCTCTGCAATATTGCGGGAGCTAGGACGCACCGTCGTAAAAGACCCAGACTTTGTCTCCTTTCGCGTATTTGCTTTGCGGCATTGCCTGATCCGGTGTTTTCGGACGAGTCATACTTGCAACGTGGCAGTATACAGACTTTTCGACTCGTGTAAGGTAAACGGCGTACACTGTTGGCTTCTGCAACTTGCAAGAAGATGAACGAGCAAGATAGTTGGAAGTCGGCTATGCGTTATATATCATTGGGGCGGCGGAGAGGGGCAAGGCTGAGCTGTCGTCATATGGCATACCCTGTACAACTTTTCTATGCAGCTCTCAGCCTTCCCAGTCATCGGCACAGACTCGATATTAAGCCTCTACCGCATACACCTCGCCTCCAGTAAGCCTACAGAGTCCTGTAACCACGGGATTGCTCGTGGTGGCTGGCCTTGCAAGGCGAGTAGGCACATTGACTGCGCCAGCTTACGTCCTGCGAATTCGCCTCTCCGCGTATAAGGCTGGTGGCCTCCCGGCTTCGTCTGGATGTAAGCACCGCTCGAGTTATCATTTAACTTATCGCGATCCCTGCAAGAGCCTACGATGCCAAATTCCAGATCATGGACCCTATTTCGACGGCAGCAAGCGTTGTAACGTTATTAGGTGCGGCCGCAGGCACGATAAAAGTCATTCACGACACGATAAACTCAATCATCGACGCTCCTAAGGATATTCAAAGGCAAAGTGAACGACTGAGATGTCTTTCTATCACGCTTGCTGGCGTCGTTCAGACATGCAAACAACTTCCGGACGATTGCCAGTTGAATCTGGAACTGTGTGGTATAGACGGGTTCATCCAAGACGCCATACTACTGGAAGTCCAACTCAAGGCTCGTGGAACTCGCATGATTGGGAGCAGTCTTGGCAAGGTTCACGAAAGCTGCAAATGGCTCCTGTTCGACCGGCAGCTCAAGCGCTTCTTCGAGTCTCTGGATCAATGGAACACTATTCTTCTCCAAACTCTGGGGGTCATTCAAATGTTAGTCATTTTGTTCTCAGTTAGATCACCAGATCAAATGCTCACAGAAGCCCAGGGCGCAGTTGAATCGAATATTGACCCACACGTCGTCGTTAACGAGCCTCCCGCACCATATCCTGTCCACTCCACCGATTACCCCACAGATCTCGATGATACCTCGTTTCGACGTAGAACGTCAAATGATGGTCTCCGAGAAAACATCGCAGCACTCGATGCGAAGTTCACACACGAGGGATAGGCGGTTTGCTTCTTTGGTAAAGCTAGCTGAGCCTGTCGGGGTACTGGCAAAGTATCAATACCGCAAGCAAGTGTTAGGTTTCCATCTCGCTCTATCGGGGGGAAGACTGATAGTGAAACGCTGGTCGCATTCTGGAGGGGAAAGTCACATAACTTTATTTCTTTCGGAAGGGCAGCAGTTCTCGCTCACCATGGCCATACCACATATCACTACACGGCGCTTGAAGGTCAGTGTGGTCGGCTTCCGAACAAGATCTTGCGATTCAACCCTGAACTTCCGCTGGACGCTACGATGTCACAGGATACTCGCTTACGATCATCCTTACTTTGTAGCTATCGAGAAGGGTGACTTAGGATATCTCCAGAACGAATTATCATGTAGAGAAATGTGCCTATCGGACTGTATTGCTGGGGGCTACAGCTTGCTGCATGTAAGTATGATATGTGAAGGGGATAGAGGACGAACTGACGAAGAACCAAACAGTATGCAGTACGTCACAGTAGACCTGCCATCGTTGCGTTGCTGATTGGTGAAGGCCTTGACGTCAACGTGCAAAACGATCGTGGCCAGTAAGTGCTTTTATCCTTTACCGCCCTTGTATAATAACTGAAACTAGAACGCCTCTTCATGTAGCTGTTCAGCAAGGGAAATGCTGTGAGTGTGCTCGTTTACTACTAGAAAACGGCGCAGACGCTTTTCAGCAGGATACCCAAGGCCGAAGCGCTTTACACTATTTTTACAACGAAGTGGTGCAGCAGCTTCTACTCTACTATACGGACGACATTGACCCTTGGATGCAAGATCGGAGTGGCATGACTGTACTTCATTGGGCATCCTGGAGTCGTAGCTCTTCTCACAAAGCTTTGGCCTGCTTCCCACATAAGGGAGGCAAGCCATCGTGCTACGGTCTAAAAGACATGTACGGAAAGTCCATGCTACACTACGCGGTACAAAGAGGTAACGCAGACCTCATCGCCTTTTTCCTCACCATGCCAGATGCAGCGACTATGTCAATGCCAGACTTCTCTGGAAGAACGTTACTTCACTACGCTACGGAAAGTGGCCGGCCGGATACTATCAACATGATGCTCAAAAGAGATGTTGATCTCGACGTGGCTGATAATGAGGGCCGCATGGTACTTCATCACGCAGCCGTGCGCGGTAATCTTGTCGCTGCTCAACGTCTCGTAGAGCTAGGCGCAACCCACCAACTAAGTTGCAAAGACAAGAACGATCAAACCCCAGCGAATTTGGCACGTCAATATGCTTCAGAAACAGTTTGTGACTACTTCGAATCGCTTGGCCATTCAGGTCATGATAGTGAAAGGCAAGGGGCATGCTTGTCCTCGAAATCAAAAAGATCTCCTAAGGAGACTGAGACTGTATGTTGGAAGGTAGCTGTTATAGTACTGCTAGCATTGGCGGCGATATACTGGAGTGAACATGCGAACCTTGGACGCAAGGAAAGTGTAATCACAGTGCAAGCATGAAGCGAAACAAAATTGTAGTTTACAGGTGAAGTCGGGAAGGTTGTGCGTTGCCGAAGGTTGAAGTTTGTAGCAAGGCTTTCGTTCGCGACTGTCAATGTTTCTCCTCACGACAATTGTTTGCCAACCCACAACGCACCCACCTCCTCAGACAGATCACATCTGCCTTTGGTTTCCAGTTAACGCGTCAGTGTCTTTGAGCTTTTCCGGAGATATGACGTTCGGACTCTGCAGCATGCCATCTTAGTAGCGGAAGAAGCCGTCTAAAGCAGCAAGACCACAACAGCACAATCATTCGAGCTCATCGAAAGGTTGTTTGACTGCAAAACATATGCAGAAGACTACCAACTACGCTCAGCAGCTCACAGCGACCAAAGGTACTGCAACTCGGTGATTGATCGTTCAGTTTGCCACCCTACGATGCACTGAAAGTATTTCAAATACTCGACACAGGCATCTTGTTCAAGTTTGTCTACAATGTACGCTCCACAGACAGCCAGAATGTGACCTCCTTGAAATAGCGTGTTCGGGCAGTGTGCGTTGCTCTTGCCATACCCAATGACGATGCGAATATGCTTACGAATGGCAGCATCATCCCTCACACGTTGTCGAGCGCCAGTAAGTCCTGAACGAGAGTGAAGAGAGTAGAGTATAAGTAGTATCTCACAGAGATGCCAGAACTGTAGTCCAACAGCAATCACGCCAAGAGCGACAGGTAGATACGGCCAGGATCTATTGAACTCCGCACCGACATTTGCATCATGTTCTAGCAGGGAACAGAACGATACCGGTCGAGTCTGTGCTCACTCGTCCACCTCTGATCTTAGCTGCGTCCATTGATTCACACTCAACCCTTGGTTTTCAGTATCGTCAAGCGCCTGCTGTAAGATACTGGCGAAGATATAGATGATGCGATTTGTCCACGACTCATTGTCCTGCAGCGGGGAATCGAATACCTTTGAGAAGCGGTAATTGGAGAGGTCTAGGTCCAGCGGCTGTTGTTTGACAAGCGATACCATCAGATGCTTACGCAACGATATCCAACTGGCGGCCTCTCGCAGACCGCCATCTGCAGCGAATGAGCAGATTGAATTGAGAACTCTGGCCGAGCCTAGATGATGACACTGGTCATCGGCCTCGCTCATCTCTTCGTGCAAGCGCAGAAGTATCACTTAAAGCTTTTAGTCAGCATCAGCATACACAAGGCCAGAACCATAGGTCTCCGGTACTCAAGACTAAAGATGTATTCGTGCAGGGACTCGAGCACTTACCGTGACCAGGAAGTCCTCATTCTATTGAGCCGGCGGATGCTCAAGCGCAACAATCAGCTCCTCCAGCGCAGTGTCTATATACTGACGTGAGAGATCATGCGCCATCACCCCTAGCAACCATAAATGTTGCGCCGCCAGACCAAGTATGCCACATAACATTGCACGGCAATGCGTTGCACGTTGAGGCATGACCCTCTCAAAATATCGACTAGGATCGCAGATGTCAACCCACGGCGTACAATTAACAATGAAGTGGTGCAACAGACGTGCCTCGCCTTCATTGTGCAAAGGCCATTGTTGCTGATTAGACAGTATAGAAGGAAGCACGCTCCAGTCGAGTGTCATGAAGCCATCGGTCTCGCCCCGCGGCATGTTGTTCGATGTTGTGCTCAGCACCGTTCCAATATCGTCCAATCGACTAGTCCCATCGCTTTGATCAACACATCCGCTAGGCGTTGCACCAATTAGACTTGCGTCCACATCCGGAGTAACATTTTGCGTAGTGCCATTGCTTTCAGGCTGTGTGCTCTTATTTGTTGTCGAGTCGATCTCTGCGGCTTTACATCCCAGATCAAAGTCCGGGATGGTCGGAACAAGCTCAACTTCATCTCCTTCCCATGGCAGGGAAGGTCGCGAACCACCAAGTGTCTACTTAGTCTCTGGCCGGACGAAGAATACTGAGACTCAAGTCAATACACTAGACAGTTTCAAAGTTGGTTTAAGCGCCAGGAATACTCTCACAATGCTGCGTACTGGCTACAATGCTAGGTTCGCGAAGCATTGCAGAAATAAGTTGGGTTCCTGACCACTTACATGATTTAGGTATCTTCACCCAGTTTTGGTCTGAGGAAAATTCCAAAGAGACCTCGCTGTCTCCTATCCCTCGGTTATTTATCGCAGCCACCGGACGAAAGCGTACGTTGTCCAGCAAGATGCACGGGCGATTATGTTTGGTGCAATATCTGCACTTCCCGAAATCTAGGACGACGCCTGCGTCCTTCAGCTATGGACATGGTGCAACATCGAATGACGTATGTACTGCACACACTTCTTATGCCGCAATTGGCAAGTCTTACTGTAATGAACGAGTCAATTCCTGATTGAAGGCACGCACTCGATCAAACTTACCATCCGCGAGGAGGCATCTTGAGCAACTGCCGAACTGAGCGACCCGAGGGAAAAGCTGGACCGTTCACGATCTTCAACTGTAGATGTCCTCAGACTTTCCAAAAAGCAAGTTGACTTGGATTACTTGCTTGCACAGTCCGCAACAATCAATTAAGTGGGTCCTAGAAGGTTCAGATTGGATTGATTGATTACCGCTTTAAGCCTAGTAGTTACCTATAGGAGTTTAAGCCCTACCTAGATAGGTAAGTGGGTCTAGGAGAGTGACCGGATTGAATTGATTGTTGCGGAGTCTACTTGCTTGACTTGCTTGGTTTAAACCAAGCAAGCAAGTCAAGTAAGAGCTGGGCAGCTAAGCAAGCAAGTCAAGTCAAGATACTTTGCTTGCTTGGCTTACTTGGTTTACTTGGTTGTTTTAGCGTTACTGTGATGAGGGTGCTAAAACTGCTGTACGGTAGATGTCGCGATGGTTTTGAAGTGTTGCAGTTGCCTCGGTTGAGTCCCAAACAGGCTAAGCGGCTATCAAATAACGTTAGCCTTAGTCTAGCGCATTGCTCCAATCTCGACGTACGCCTGTCTAGAAGCCTATCGCAATGCAGTATCCCCTATAGCAACGCGTTTTCCAGTGATTTATACTGCCCTGATACCCCCAATATGGCCAAACGTCGCCTACCACAAACTTCTGCTCGGAGCAAACGTACGAAAGTAGCCGCTGCCACCAACAACGTCGCCTCAACTCCTGAGGCTTCACCTGAGCCTGCATCTAAGCCTGCATCTAAGCCTAGACCTCAGCGTCGATCACCTCGCAAAACCCTAGCTGCCGCAAGCCAGGCTAACGCCTCGCCGCCAATACCTACCTTCGAGTTGCAGTTCTTAGAGTCGCAGGCGGAGGCTGAGATTGTCGCGCCCACCGAGGGCAGCCGAGCTGGCACGGTGGCTACAACTGAGGCTGGAGAGGGTGGTCAGGATGAGACAAACAGCGCACTAGTTGAGAACTTTGACGGCATTGACTGGGCACGTTTACCTGATTTTATCAAGCCATTGGCGCGTTCTAAGCGCCCAAAAAGTTGGATCTTTCAGTATGGCTACCGCGTTGTTGAGCGCCATGCTACATCTCGAATCTGGTTTGTGTGCAAGTACTGCCATGTACACAAAACTATCGACGCTGGCCGTGGTGGTTTGTTTAACATTACTCAGGCTACAACCTCAGCAGCCACCCATCTCAGCCAACCAAAGCCTGGCCACAACCTTACGAAAGATGGCCCAAAGTTAGCGCAGAGAGCTCGAGGCCAGCTGTCGTTGCGGCAAGCTTTTGACGCTGGTTTAGACGTACAACAAAACACTGCTAACGCGTTTGGAAACTTCGACGTAGAGGGCTTTCGAACAGCCACTGTCATGTGGCTTGTTAACCGAAACCACCCGCTCAGCGAACTTACGACGCCTGATTTTAGAGAGATGATGAGATTTGCCAACCCAGAGGCAGAGGCAGCGTTGTGGGTAAGTAATACCAGCGTTTCTACCTTTGTGATGAGGTTGTTCCGGTCTATACGACCGCAAGTTATCGACACCCTGTCAGGCTCAGTAAGCAAAATACACGTAAGCTTTGATGGCTGGACAACAAAGGGTGGTAAACGTGGCTTCTTTGGAGTAGTCGCTCACTTTGCCGACGCAGCTGGAATAATACGAGACTTACCAATCGATCTGCCTGAGCTCGCTGGCGCCCACACCGGTGAGGCTATTGCCAAAGCTATCTCGACGACGCTCTCAGCATACGGAATAACAAGCGACCGATTAGGCTATTTTGTACTCGACAACGCTACCAACAACGACACTGCGATCGCCGCGCTCGCGCGCGAGTACGAATTTGAGTCCGCTCACCGGCGCCTCCGCTGCAGTTGTCACACGCTTAACCTCATCGGCCAGGCTATTATATTTGGCACCAACAAAGACGCCTACGGCAACACTCAAGAGCAGTACAATACCGAGGAGCAGTATATGCGAGAGTGGCGGAAAGATGGCCCTATTGGAGTGCTAGTTGACGTCATCAACTATATCAAAACGCCGCAACAGTACGAGCTTTTTCGTGGCTACCAGCGCCTTGCCAACAACAACCTGCCTGCTGAAGGGCGTCTCAAAGTACTCGAGCCAGTCAAGCCTGTCGTCACTCGCTGGAACTCATACTATGCTGCTTTTGAGCGCGCTACCAAGCTTCAAGCCGCGTATAACTTGTACGCTGAGCATCATATCAATAGGGTTATCCTTGAAGATGCGCACGCTGCGCAGCGGAATAATAAGCGGCCCGACGCCCCAAACTGGATGAGATCAACTGGGCTCCGAGCTGCTGACTGGGCGGTGATTGCAGAGTACCAGGACTGCTTAGAGCCGCTCAAGTACGCCACAAAACGCCTCGAGGGACGCTCTAAGGATGGCAAATACGGCGCAATCTATGAGGTTATACCCGTTTTTGAGTACGTACTCAGCAAGCTTGAGGCCCGGGCGCGCCCGTTCGAGCACGTCGACTTCAACGCTCATGCCGAGGCTCCAGAGGATCACCTCAACGTCAACCTCCGCGCCGCGTGGAGCAAAGCCAACGACTACTACAACAAGCTCGACGACTCGCCCGCTTACTACGCCGCTGTTTGCCTACACCCGTACTACAAGAACTACTGCGATGTGGCGTGGGCAGACAAAGCTGATTGGCTTACTAGTGCCAACGCGTCGTTCCAACAGCTTTGGGCGGCATACAAACCTCAACGAGCACGCCAGCGGTATACAACTGCGCCGAGTAGCAACAACATAGACGAGGCAATTATTGCTATACTTAGCCGCAACAATGACCGAGAGGCTCCACTTGACGAGTTTGAGCGCTGGAAAACACAAGAGCCGCAGTGGACGCAGGAGCAGTACAACGCAGATGGAAATCCTGTCCAATACTGGATACAACTACTGCCGAAATACCCGCATTTAGCGCAGTTTGCAATCGATATCATGACTATCCCAGCATCAAGCAGCGACTGTGAGCGCCTCTTCAGTGAGCTTGGCGACCTTCTTGAACCTAAACGACGTGCTCTGGGCAGTGAGCTACTCGCAGCTCTTCAATTAGTAAGGTCATGGGTGCGAGCTGGTTATAAACCGTACAACTGTAGCGAGGCTAAGCTTTCAGATGAGCAGCTTGTAGGAGATTACAACATACTAGAGTGGAACACTGAGTTTTGGTAATTTGTATGTAGCTTAATCTCTTTGTAGTAGTCAAGTAATCCAAGTACTTGCAAGTAATACAAGCAAGTCAAGCAAGTAAAAAAATCACCCCAAGCAAGTCAAGTAAAGCCTATGTTTGAACCAAGCAAGTCAAGTTTAGAGCGGTGACTTGCTTTACTTGCTTGTTGGAAAGTCTGGATGTCCTACAACTTATGCTAAGAAAGGCCATAAGCAGAAAGGGCCTCCGATACGATTTGATTCCGGGAATGGCAACACTGTCGGCTACTCTGGCCAATGAGCGAAGAGCCTAACGTAGCCCGCACCTTAGATCCGGAGAGCCTTGCCGCATTGACTGGCTAGCGTCGCTGCCACTTTCCTATTCGTCAAAATGGTCTAGCTCGACCTCTACAACTGAGCCGCCATCAATTCTCTTGCGCAGTCCCGCTTGCACCCCGCAGACCGATGCATAGCCCATGGGGAACTTCACAGCCGCTTCATACAGCATTGCCCAGATGTCGGTCGGTCGATTTCTAATTGGACTTGGCGTTGGATCTGCATCTATGGTGAGTCATATCGGTACTAGGACGCATCGGCAATCAAGAGACTGATTTCTTGACCTTGAACGGATCGTACCCGTGTATATTGGCGAGATCTCTCCCGCTCGTTTTCGCGGACGGATGATCTCCGTCGATATGATCTTCCTCGGCACTGGTTCTGTCCTCGCATATGCCTTCAACGCAGCTTTCCAGCACGTCTCTCACGGCTGGAGATACATGGTGGGCTTGGGTGTGGTACCATCCATCCTGCTCGGGCTCTTTCTCTTCACGTGCCCAGAGAGCCCTCGCCAATTGATGTACCACAACAAGATGGAGCAATGCTTCTAATTCATACGCCAAATTTATCCCAACGCCACTGAAGAGCAGATCACGACTAAGATATTGTCTATCGAGACGGGTGTCGCACAGGCTAAGGCACTGGAGGAAGAGATGACAGTCACCAGATCGCTCAAGACCCTCTTCTTCGTACCATCCAATCTGCGCTCCGCTACCACTGCCTGCGGCATAATGCTCTTCCAACAGATGTGCGGCTTCAATACGTTAATGTACTTTTCTTCGACACTCTTCGATATCGTCGGCTTTTCCGATCCCATCGCTGTTGGGACAGTCGTTGCTGGGGTCAACTGGATTTTTACTGTCCTCTCCATCTTCCTCATCGATCGCATCGGTCGCCGTAGGCTACTACTTTGGACGATGTGGGGAATGCCAGTATGTCTCGTCCTGGCGGCAGTGGTATTCAACTACATTCCCTTCGACACCAGGATTCTGCAGCTGACCAACGACGAAATCGGCTGGCCAGCATATATCATTCTGGTAGCTACGATCTTGTTCGTGGCTTTCTATGCCGCTGGCCTGGGATGCGTACCCTGGCAGGCGAACGAGTTCCCTGCTATGGAAGTCAGAAGCATGGGTACCATGTTCATGAACATGTTTGTGTGGGGACCTAACATCATCGTATCTTCCGCTTTCCTCACTATGATGAAGAGTATCACTCCATCAGGAACCTTCGGCTTCTACGCAGCAATGTGCTTCTTTAGATGTATGTTTGTCTACTTTTGCTTTCCTGAAGCCAGTAACATGAGCCTGGAGGAGGTGCGGGCGGTCTTTCAGCACGGTTTCGGAGTCAAGTATGCCGAGGAATGGCGCAAGCAACACAAGACAAATGAGAGGCTTCACGAACAGTCAAATGCATAGAGGCAGGTAAAGTACTGCAAAACGAAACAAGGTGGCGGGGAAGGTGCGATGTCTGTCATGCAGTTTTATCTTGCTCACAGTACGATTCTACCTACGTATCCATGTCGACTAACATTTGATCCAGCGTATGTTCCAAATTACATGCCTGCATGGTCAGAGATCAATCTCATGAGCTGGATGCGCAATATAGCTTCTAGCCAGTGAGAATAAGCTAGAAGCTGCAAAGGTTGCTCACGCCAACGAGGAAAGGCCAGTGCCCTGGCCAGCAGCCTCCATCAAAAGACGTGTGAACTTGGTACGCTCGCTAGTCTCCATGACAGTCGGACGGCGAGTCCAGCCGATCTCAGTAGGCAGGCGCTCGTTTCCTACATCACATGCACGTTAGCAACTAATCTCTGTATAGCCACTCAAGAAGTATTGAAACTTACGCAACCAGAACTCAATGAAGTCTTTCCTCACAGTGCTCGTGGTGCCATCAGCCATGATCTCAAAGAAAGAGGCGCATTCACCCCAACTGAAGCCATCAGCCAACAACGATGTCTTGTGCTGAGGGTTGGTGCTCTTCGACGTTTCGAGTCGTGCCATGCGGGCGTCGGCCAGCTGTTGTATGGTGATTTCTGGTGTCTTGAAGAAGGAGGCTGTCTCAGCCCAGACGGTTTCATTGAATGGGATAGGGTTGGCAAAGAAGCGATCAGAGCGACTGTAGGTGGTTGACATGTCAGACATGCTAAGGGATCGAAGAATGGTATTTTTACCTCAGGCTGAAGTCATGCTCCAGTACGCCCTCACGGCCCAACGTGTCGAGGTTGAACGTACGTGCGAACGGCTTCGGGTTGGTGCGTACGGCCTGTGAGAAGAGGATGATGGCGTCGCTCTTGGCGATGTTAAAGCCCTCGAGCATTGCATCAGCAAGGATATCGCGTGTGATCTCCCGCCCGCTATGCGGCAAGTACCCGTGGTTGGCGAGAGTGTTAAGACCAGGACATGGTCCGCGTGCTATTGAGTCACTCATCAGTGGGTTGTTCTTACCACGACCAGAGATTTGCGCTCAGATGACTCGACTAACCATCATTAGGACCTGGAGCCGTCCAATTCCTAGGCTGCCAGGTCTGGCGGGCGTTGACATTGCCATAGGTAGGGAAAGCCAAGGCTGATGCAAAGATGGCAGAGCAGCTGATAAGTGATGAGACCTTCATGTTGGTTCTGAAGGAGAGGATGAAAAGAGCGATGAGGTGGGATTGGATCTTAAAGATGAATGATAACGAAAGGATGTCAAAGTTTGACTGCCAAAGAGTGGTTGCCTTGAAGTAATCTCTGCAGGTACCTATAAGAATTTTGAGCACATATTCAGATTATATATCCGCTTGCTTGGAGTGGCAGCTGCATATCGTTGCCTGACGTGGAACTCATCAATGACAACGTCGGTCCTCGTTCCCCACATCTCAACGACGTTGCAACACGCCTTACGGTGTGCCTCGGCTCGCAAAGTCGACGAAGAGATGCGATACGTGAGCTTTTTGATGGTTCACTGGGATGTGCTTGACATGATCGCGAGGAAGAGAGGCAAAAGAAACACTCGAGGACTTGGCGGTTCGAAATAAACATCCGACAAGCCACAACTCATTTAACGTCCGCTACAACGACCTCGGCATACGTTGGGGAGTGGGTCATGTACACTCATCTGTTCAACAGGACAGGTCCATAAGTGTTAGAATAAGAAATGACGTATAAGATTCTTCCTAGTCGGCCATCTTCTAGGGAGACTGGATATGGCAGTGCGCAGTGTCCAAGAATCCCACTACCATACAACAAATGCCTTGGAAGAGGTAAGAATAGACTCCGCAACAATCAATTCAATCCGGTCACTCTCCTAGACCCACTTACCTATCTAGGTAGGGCTTAAACTCCTATAGGTAACTACTAGGCTTAAAGCGGTAATCAATCAATCCAATCTGAACCTTCTAGGACCCACTTAATTGATTGTTGCGGACTGTGGGTAAGAATCCCTGCGTTCGACAAGTTAGACCAATTTGATTACAATACAAGCTTTGAAAAACGCAAATCACGTTGCAATTCGCCGCGATAATCCGCCTGGTAATTGTTGATAGATCGTGAAATGCCTAGCCTGGTTGTGGGTGTTCTCTACCAAGTCAGCTGACAATGGCTCTGAGCATGCAACGGCACCAGACCAACCATACTACTTGAAATAGATCATCCTGTATATTAACAGTTGGTGGGTCGTGCAGATCTTGATCTAGTGGTCGTAATTTCACCTCAGACTGACACGAAACCCTCTCCCCACAATTTTGTACCTCGGCAGTTTCGCGACCTGCCACACCCTCCGATACTCAATTAAGAATGTTTACTGCCAGATACTACAAGCCCACTGATTGGGACTTGTTGCTATCTGAGTACAAAGATCTAGAGGACAACTTGATTGGATTTCTCAAAGCTGATTCCGCTATCATCTCGTTACTCTCCAAAGAGGTGGAGTAGATATTGGCTCGGCTTTCCCGCTATGATTTTGTCCAAGTGAATTGTCGAAACCCTTATAGAAGAGATGACTCCATAGTTATTCACACCTCGAGTGCGCCGTCCGATGGCTACTCAAGGGTGTTGATGTCCCAGTTTCCGTAGCCCACGCGTACTGAAGCCTTGATCGGATGATGCGCCCTTGACTGAGTTCGGAAGCAAAGCCAGTGACTGTCCTTCCTTCCCACTTCCATGTGATATTTGTACTCATCATAGAGATACTGTGGTGTAGTAGCTTGTCACATGTTCGGTGTTAGGTAATCGGTGCTAGGGTTGAGTATTTTAGGGCGACTCCGCGAGGAGAAGCTCGACATCAGCGATCGGACACCATTCTTAATACTACCGTCTATTGTCCGGATACCTTCTTGTTCTCTACTCTCTACCGATTGCGGGTCGGCCATTGGCTAGTTGACTATTAGTGCTGACGTAAATATCCAAATCAAATGTTCCGCGGCACAGGTGTGGGAGCCTAAAATCTGGTTGCTGGTCGCCCGAATCCTGTCGTCGGTCAAGCTTGATGTCGTCGCACCGAATCAGTCGTTGTTCGCGATCTAGGCACTGATTGGAGCATCGATCTTCATCGATATGTTTGTCAAAGGCTATCACGAGTAGGTCACCATTTAGGGAGGAAGAACATATAGCACGTATTCTTGCCGCCGCACAACAGAAGTCGGAAGTCGGCTGTATCTGCAGAGTGAATATTTGTAACTGTTTCGCGTATCTTTGGCTATACTCAAGTTTGTTGCCGTTAGAGACTTGCTTGCCGATCCCCAAGTTTCTGCCCGTGAACATATGAACATACTTTGCTGTACCCAGGTACTCAAGCGTAGTGGATCACAGCGAGTCGGAGATCTTGATGCAGCGCCCCAAAGTCAGGATCTGGGTAACGACGATGTAGAAGTTGCATCCACAGAGCGCAACACCTAATAAGCCTAATACCATCAGGATCCATGGTTTGTGTGACAACTTCGATGCGGAATGCCTCTGCTCCACCGTCAGCGATAGCCCACAGAAAAGTTTTTCGCATAGCCAGAGACGCATTTGTCCCAGGGTAGATACTTGAACACCTTTCAACAAGATATATATGCCGACTATATCCCCGAATAGAACCCAAAGTGGGAGGACAAGTTTTTGAATTAGGGTGGACGGATATGGATATTTGACGCCGATGTAGACTATAGGTACGATATGGCTGGCGACGGCAAGGAACAGAGTTGGACCTTTGCAACAGAAAGCCCAGGGATGTTTGACTGGCTTTGGCCGCCCAGAGGGAACTTTGAGAATGCCTTTGTGGGTACGCCGACACTCTTTGTCGAAGCAGATTTGCAAAGAGTGCGGTATAGAATTGTCGTAGTGCATAGGTGTATTCTCATAATCCGAGTCTTGCACATATCGGGTCATGTTCTGGCTGCACTCGTACACAATTACTGTGTAATTTCCCATTTCATCAGCACTATTAGTGGTCTCCTCAAAACTGGAGAGATTTTCGATGTAACCAATAGTGCTTTGGACAATTCCTGCTCGTCGATGGACCTCGTCTGAGGTGGCTGTACCGACGAGAGTAATTCCGGGATACGTGGGCGTGAGCAAATTTCCTACGAGATTGACGACAGACATGACCAAGTAAGGGAGGACGGTCAGGTGGAAGGCTGAGTAGCCGAAGCGGTCGAACTGATCACCCGTGACTGTTAACACACCGTACCCAGCGTATACAATTTGTAGTACTGCAATGAGTGCCACGGCTACATTCGAGGCTTGTGGAATATGCAACTTCGCCGTTTCTTCGCCATTTGCTTCTTCGGTTCCGCCTTCTTCTTCTTGGTCTTTGGGCGTGACAATGAGATTTTCAGATGTGCGTGGTAATTCCATGATACGATAACCAAATCTTTCTGGGGTTGATGTGATTCCGTTGACATGGCGGTTCGAGGACAGGTCTGGGGGTCGAATAGCACTTTCATCTCCATCAACTTCGATCTGATACGCGTCGCTGAACGTTTGCGAGTTGTTGTCGAGCGACACTTGGACTTGAGAGCGGATCGACGCTCGGACTTGACAGCTGATCGACACTTTCGCGTTAGTAAAATTGACTTCGCTCCGCGGTGCACTTTGACTCACAGCACGCCTCTCAACTTTGAACTTTCCCATCTCTCATCGTTCAGTGCAAAGCAATAATTTCTAGCAGTATCCCGTGTTTCGCCCTTCCAGATCTGCGTTCGGACCAGGATCCCTAATGCCCCGGCCCGTACCGCCGTGCGAACCTGAGTGGCGTTTGTTGCAGAGCCAAACAGATTTGTCCATAAACCACGCCCCAACAAAGCACCACGATAAATCGCGTCGATGCCACGACCGAGACCAGATACAGGTAAGAAGAAAGCCAACACGGCACTGAAGACTTTCTCGCTGGCTGTCTCACCAGGTCGACTCCAGACCGTGAAAGCATGAGCGACGTAATTGAAAAGAAAGAAGCGCAATACTGTTGACCAGTCCGCAGGTAGGCAGACCAGATGATCGTCGCTTTGCTGGGTCGTGCCCTCGGGTGCGACAATAGTGATGTTGCTGTATCTCGCCATGTGGGCTCGGCGGTTTCCGTAAGCAAGAAGTTCCAATAGATATACTCAAGATGTTTAAATGATAGGAGACGGACCTAGTATCGATCCCGCAGCGACATACGAAGAAGAGCAACGGATCAGCCTCATCTATATCAGTGGACTCGAGCGCAAGACGTCCGTCCAGATGAAGCAGACCCCGCCTGTTGCGACTGCAGGTGGCCCGCTCTCTAGCATCAAGTTCGGATCGCTCGAAGGACGACCGCCGCACCAACTCCGACGTCATGATACGGTGTTGCTTTGGTTGCCACTCGGGGCTGAGTAGACATCGACACACCACTTTCAACACGACCCCTGTTGTTAACCGCTGTGGCTTGCTCCAGATGTCGGAATGTAATGCTACTGGAGCGACGTGGCATGAATGTGCCTACACAGTAAGGTCCATGGGTGGCTGCCAAGCAACATGCATGTGATTCCAGCTCGTCATACACGATCTCAAAACCTGAATCTGGTCATTTACATTGTACGAGGATTAGGGCGTATGGGCCTCCTTGCGCGTCACTTGTGTCCATGGTTCGCGGTGACCGTCACGGCGGCTTTCCACCGGCTAGGCAGCCGTCACGACAGCTCCTCGCACCTACTCCGGCTAAATTCGATCTTAAGCCTCCATTTGCGTGCATCGCATGGTCAGGACATCTCAACCCTGAAATCACACATCAATCATCCAAGTAGCCGAAAACGTTGTACGCATTCATATTCACGACATGGCGAAGTTGTCCAAATCGAAGCCTGCTCAAAGTAGACCTATCACAGACGAAAATCCTCTTCGAAACGCCTTTCACAGGTACGCATCTATACCGCGCCGACGAATACTAGATTGCGCATATTCATCGATCGTTCGTCTGGCTGATTTCTAGCTTCTGTAGCCTCGGCATGGCTTCACTCGGAAATCAGCAATACGAGTCGTCAGACGAAGAAAATCGCAGGTCGGCAAGATATTCCTCCCCGCAGAGGATGGGTTCAAATACGACAACGATACCTGACTGGGTAGCCGAGCGACGGAGGGGCGAGCTTGATCATCACCGACGCGAGTCTACCCCACGAACGACTTCACAAGCAGCACCCTCCCACTCTCTGTCCGCTCAATCAACACTGGCTCAATCACCGCTTACTCAGCTACTGCTCGATGAACCATCTCCATACACACATACAACGGAACCTCCGCTCAATGAACCACAGCCTGCTCAACGAAGTTACATCGCTAGTCTTGCAATCAGTGGTGCTGTCTTCGCTGGAACAGTCTACGCACTATATGGTAATGGGGTACCCGAAATTACATCTGAGGCTGTGCTCAAGGTGGCAACTGCAGCGTGGTCATACGCAAAATTTCGTGGAGGGGTCAGATAATGTAGTCTCAGAGGCGATCATCGACGACCGTACGAGGGGAGAAGCTGTCAGTTGGGATGAGGGTGCGAAGGTCGCGCCGCATAGGAGAGCGAAGAGGCGGACTTGCTATGGCAGCTAATCACCAATAGAGACATGGGTCGGTTTTCTGTTCTATGCGAAATGGCTGTTGAAGAATTATCATGACGAGGTAGCTGAGGCAAGCACCTGATTCGCGGCAATAGATGCCTTTTTCGGGTGTTGGTTGCTCTTAGTTTCGAGCCACCGTACGTACGTGGCGAGCACGTGACTACGTGCGTGGCCCGTGCCGTGGGGTGGAATTCAGTTCGTACGCGAGCTGCAGCCCACCTCCTCTAATCAATCATAACTATGTACTTCAACTCGTTGCAACGACCGTTACTTGATTCAACCTCACCTTTGCCGTATCAACATCGGGGAACAGGCTGGGTACACTACAGCATGATCAAAGATGGCAAAGCGTACAGGAAGCCAATAAAGTTGTAAATAGATTGCAGAATCTCGTTGGACGGAGCGTACTCGTAGTGGGCGCTTGCCAATAATAGTTCAACCACTTAGATAGTCCTACTCGCGCCCGCATCGCTGCCTTTACATTAACGCTTACTTTTTTTCCTTCGCGCATAGTTCTTTGATCCCGTTTGGATTAGCGCTTACTTTACAGCCCTACGCAAACAGGAGTTAATACACCGCTTTACAGTGGACGGTGCCGTCAAGCTTACCGTATACAGGAAAATTAAGGGTTTTTGTGGGAGAAAACAAGGCTTCCCGTTCGCTCAGCCCTATTTAAGCAAGATACCGGCGGATTAGTAGTTAGGTTGGTGACCACTAGCGAATCCCCGCTGTTGTATGTTTTTGCCATTTGTTGCCCCTCCATAGAGAGGAAATGTACGTAGGAAGAAAGCGCGTCTTGTGCTTCTCTTTTTGTAAGATGAAAAGGTTAAAGGTATACAATAAGACACATGTGCATGAGTCTGGTTTTGGTTAAAGGCGTCAGTCATACAGCATGACGCGTGAAGACCTTTACTTTTGGTCTCGTATGGCGCCGCTCCTGATGCCGCTGCGGCATGACATGACCTTACTTCCTGACTCTCAACACCATTTTGATCCTCCAAAAAGCTTATGGCTGCAGCCTCACACTCGGTCTTGCCTGGTCCCAGCTCGCCAGCATCTGCTATGCTAGTCGATATGAGTTCTCCAAAGCATACGTTCAATCTCTTCAGCTCTTCTAGAAAGTGTTTGCTTCCACCAAAGCATCCACCCCTTGCTGCCTGCTCGATCGCTGTGTCGCCAGTTGCAGCTATCATTAGAACTGGGACAAAACCTCCATCTATCGCTGGCCACTCCCACAACCGCTTTCTAAGTGCGCAAAGCTTCTTTTGAATGTACCAGGATTCGCATAGTCCGGTTCGTACCCAAATATGTCCCAGAGAGTAACATTCTTGAGTTCATCTTCCCATGGCTAAATATTGAGATGATGCTGCATGGGAAAGGGCGGCCTCGGGGAAGCAACTGCACACGAACACATTACATCGTGCCTCCACCTCACCTTCGCTTTGTGATAGTTTGCCGCAAGCCTGCAGGTAAAGGTTGTCTTGATTAGCTCTTTGACACAGCCCTTTCTACCCGACTTTCCGCTCACCTCTTTACCCACCTTTCCACTCACCTCCCCACCACCTTTCTATCTCTCTTGCCTCATAGCAAACAAATCTTCAACGTCGACAATGTCCTCGATAAAGAGTCAAGACATCACACTCGGCAACGTGTTTGAGCAGACCAAGGTAAATTACGGATGGAAGATGTGTCTTGAATCATTGCTAAGCAGTATACAGATATCTACGACCAGGCCCGCGCAACGGGTAGCAAGCGACAGCCAACTAGAGAATCGCTTCACCACTGTATGCGCGACATCGTTGTCGCATTAAAGAATCGTGAACGTCAGTACTACTTTTTCGGGTGTGTCTCGTGTCAGCTCCTTGCAAGGACCCCACGAACCACCGGCGACGTAGACGTTGTTATTGAGAATTCTTCAAACGCCTTGCCGGACCCGCACGACTGGCTCGACGATGAGCCGCTCTTCTGGAGCAAGACAAATTCACAATACGTCTGTGCTACAATCCTGGAAGAAGAAGAAGACAAAGACAACATCCTATATCAGCGTCGCTGTTTTCTCGAGATTGACATCAATGCTGCCAGATGGGGCAGTTTCCCCCGCTTTGAGACCATTCGCAATGCACTGGTCCAGTTGCCAGAAGGCTGTGGGCTCTCTCTGCCGCGGAACGAACTATTGAAGCTTAAGTTGGCGGGCTGGGCTGAGAAGTCTCGCCGCGAGGGTCCAAAGAAGCGCAACGACACGTTGGACATCGTTGCATTGCAAGTAGCAATGTATCTTGAGGGGGAATTTTTGGATCAAGACACTATGACCGACAACATGAAGGATGGCTTGAAGTTGTGGCTACAGGAAATGAATGATGAGGCCGAGTGGCGACCGATTGGGGTTCGTCTCTAGCTGCAGTGCACGGGATGTAGGTGAGATAGAGTGCAACATAGTTTGCGGAGTAGCAATGTACGCATATCAGGCCCCACAGAGAGATATAAATTGTAAGTGATGACCAGAACTGACATTTTCTGCGAGTTCGCAAAGGTCGGTTGTCGTTCAACACTAAAAATCGTGATTCGTAGCTTCAGAATATGCCAAGGCTTATTTTAGGCTCCTACGTAACGTACCGTTTGGTTGGTACAGTATCGACGCTAACTTAGAACAGCCAACACCGGTACGCTACAATAGCTTCTCCACAACATGAGCATTTATTGTAGACCGCCGACTCCCTTCCACTTTAACTACTGCGATCGACAGCTACGGCTTCACCTTACCCTTCTGCGCCTCACACGCTCTCGCGAACACTACAAATTCGATTTCGCCGTGCTATCGCAAATCCGCACCCACATCAAATCATGGTGGCAACAGACACCTTTGCCAACAACTACAGCATCGCCTACCTTCCAAAAGTGGCACAACTTTGACCAAGAGCAGTGGATGCCATTTGTCAGCCACAAATTTCCTCGGCCTGGAATCAGACACCAGTGGGCGGGCTCATTCCGCATCGTGAGTTGGAACGTAAATGCGGATGCACCGTTACCAAAGTCTCGTGTGTCTGCACTATTGGAGGTTATCAAAACTACAGGAGCTGCAGGTGTTGTTTTTCTGCAAGAGGTATCGAGGAAAGCACTTACAGCACTGCTTGAAGATTCCTGGATACAGCAAGATTGGTACACAAGCGATGCCGATGCCTCCGCTTTTGGCAACCAAAAGTTCATCAGCATCACCCTAGTGTCCAAGTTGTGGGTAGCTACAGATGTCATCATGCTAGGTGCCATCTGGAGGATCTCACTACCTAGTCGTTTTGGACGAGACGCCCTGTGCTGCGACTTGATCGTTAAATCATCGAGCAATCACATCCCCGGTAGAAATTCCGTCCGTATTCGACTTATCAACGCCCACTTGGACTCGTTGGCAATCAACCCGTCACTCAGGCCACACCAACTCTCCATCGGCGCGTCTTACCTCAGCGCAGCTGGCCGCGGGATCATCGCCGGCGACTTCAATCCCGTTCCCCCAGAAGACGACGACCTTGTACGCGCCAACGATCTTACCGATGCGTGGACACAACTTCATCCAAACAGCCCAGGTCACACTTGGGGTGTATATGGTGAACAGTCTTTCCCGTCAAACCGATTCGACAAGGTTGCTCTGTTTAATCTTAGCCCTTCAGGCATGGGCATACTGCAAACGAGCGAGTTGAGATTCTGTAGCGAAAAGACCTCGGTCGATGCAACAGAATCGATTCCAAAAGCACATTTCAGCGATCATCTAGGTCTTTGGTGTGACGTTGGATGGGAAGAAGACCGACCGCGCCCGGAATGATAGCCCTGTACTAGCGGCAACTCATCCCACAGATAGGTATTGCTTGGATTTTCAAGCCTCCATGAAGCCACAAACATAATCTTCGATTTCTGTTCCACAATGCGGCCATAATTTCCTACAGCCCAGTTATTGCAGATCATCGCGCGTGACATGCCGGCATCAGTGCGAACGTCGATCCCTGCAGTATAGTTATTAGCTACGAGACCATCTGTCATGGACAACTGCACCCTCCCTGTTCTATCCCTCATTTACGTGTCCCTCTTCGGTCTTCCTCGCCTTGGTCTGTTCCTGCGGGGTTCGTCCCTCGATGATTAGCCCTTCCTTGATCAACCCCCAGTGCGTTTCTCCCATCCCTAACCGGACCTCTACCTCCTCGGCTCGCTTCTCCAGCTCTTTCAGGGTTCTGGGAAAGTTGTCTCTCGGCTCGTCGTCTAGTTTCCCTAACCCATGATATAAGAGCGGAAGCATAGAAGACTTCCAAACGGGCACAGCTCCTACTCTTCCGTTTTGGGAAAATTCTAACACTAGTGTCGCTGCTAGCAACATCGCCGATAAGCTCAGTAGAGTGATGGGGAACAGCAACCATTGGATCTGAAGCTTTGCGCAGACAGTTTCCCGGAGGACATCGCCAGATACATTAGCTGGAGCGGTCCTCTCCCAATTTAGGCCTGACAACCTAAACATGTTAGTTGCAGCGTCAGTGATCCTATTCACAGCCGCGGAAATGGATGCGTGGCTCGCGAAGCCGCCGTTGTAAAGGGTGTTCATATACCAGTTATTCCTCGTGCATAGAATGCTGTCGATATCGGCCCGGTCGTAGAACGAACATGAGTTGTCGAAATACTCATTAAAAAACTCGCCAAATGCTAAGGCGTCCACCCCAGACATCTGATAAAGACAATTGACCGGTACGCTGACGTTGCGACCCAAGATATCAATCTGGAAGGTGTTGGGAGCGTTATTGGGAAGAGTCGAGATATCCACAGTGTTGTCAAGAGTTTGGTTGTCGGAAACACACGGACTGTTAATAATGGTAATTTTGCCGAATGGGTCTTCTGGTTTGAACTCCTGAGCTGGTACGGTTGAGATGAGCGTCTCCTGGAACTTGCCGTTCGACACAGTGCCGTAAAAGTTCTTGACACACGGGTAGATTACACAACTGGAGGCTACGACGTTCATTGTGTAGTAAGGGTTATTTTCCAATCCTGGTTGACATATAGAACCATACCACGATGGCAGGTGATCCGTGCCGTTGGGTATACATCCGTTGAGTGTAAAGGACATAATGGTCAACCCGGAGAACGCGGACGGTGCGACACGGTCGAAATGAGTTTCCATCCCTCTAGTCCAACTCTGATTGTACTCGTTGGTAACACCAATTGCGTCGCTACCTGAAGTGATATTTCGTGTGGAACCGGGCAGAGAGACGGTTGTAAGGTTATACTCGTTGTGCTTGTTTTCGACTTTCGATGTGACATCAATGCAGGAGTTACATATGCCCATGGTAGAATGGGTAATGTTGTAAGTTGCCTTAAATGTGCACTGTCCGGTGGGACAATCCGCGTCCAGCTTTCCAATCCGTTCCATCGGGGCTTGTTAGCCCTGAGAACATCTTCGCGACGCTGGCTGGTTTGAGAGTATACGAATGTGCGCCGTAACGGAAGCTCATGTGGTCAACATTTTGAGCAACAGGAATGGAAGCGCGTGCCCCTTTGCTGACCAGGCTGCACGGAACAGCCTGAACGGCTTGTTGGGTGAGCGGCCCCATGCCAAAAGAAAGTATGGCGACTGCAGCAGCAAGAATAGCGAGCAAGCTATTGGGATAATCAGTACCGCAGACAGCAAGAAGCTCTTCGGGCAAACTTGAACTTACTTCGATGGTAGGCGAAACATTAGCTGTATAGCACTCACAGGACCTTTACCGGCATCATCAATGGTTATCAGATCTTTCAATGGACGTCGGCGTCTATACCACGACCATTTGGAGTTGCTGATAACTATAGCAAGGTCAATGTGTACACCTTGGTCAGTCTGTATTGCTTACCTTCAACGATGACGATCATCAGCATACCACGTTGGAGAACAACAAGGAGGCTTGCAACAAAGTTGAGCGTGAGGTTTCCTTTCCACTTAGGCAGCTCTTTGTTGTTGTAGAAGAGTAAGAGTTTGATAAGCCCAATCATGGTACCGATGGCTACGACGATTGCAAGGATTTCTTTCCACCATGCAAGCAAGATGCTCTCTTCCTGATCGGTCTCCATCACAATCTGGCCGGTACATTCTTCGGCGTTCTGAACAGCTTCATACTTTGTGCTAGACTCCATTCTCGGGCAAGGCGGAAATTTGGATGGTTTAGAGTAATTGTGGATATTTGAAGTGTATGAGATTAGTTTTGAGAGTTTTATGGGAGCTGTAAATAATGGCCGAGAACTTAAACCGAAACGAAGGAGGTAACGTAGCTCGACTAGATTGTTGTTGGTGTCCCCAGGTACAGCATATGCTCGATAAAGGCAGTGGTAATTGGCCAGATACATGCGACCGAGCGTAGCATAGCGTCGCACATTCCAGGCAAGGATTTCTCAGCCGCACCTCTCAGGTCATAACTTCTCAGCCGCACCTCCCACCACATGTCACGATGGCTGCGGCTTTTGTCGAAGCTCTGAACGGATTGAAAGTTGCACCAAAACCGCTTCAGCAATTTACCTCTCAGAACACGTTTGCCGAATTCTACTCGTCATCGTTCCCTGTTTTTGCACTCGGCTCGGGGGTGTCCAATTCCGACCTCCAGCAAGCCACCCGAGTGATCAATCAACAAGCTGAGGCGGATCTCGGCTACGAGGAATCGGAGTTGGCAGAGATGGGCTACGCTGCAGCTGTTCCTGAACCTTGGCAGCTCCACGAGAGAAGTGCACCAGACGCCGCACGGTGGTACCATGAGGAGTTTAACAAAGACGGCCCCCGCTCCGCCAACGACCCGCAGTGGTACCCACTTGGATTCCTTGGAATTATTTCCAGCGATTGGATGGAAACGGGAGCGGTGTTGGTGTTTTACGACGCTCGGCATCAACACCCCACGGACGAGCCGGTCGCTGTCAAGGCATTCGTGTTGGACCCCGAAAAGATTGGGCCAGCTGTCATAAGTCTACGTCAAGGCGATGACGATTATGAGAACGTGAAAAGGAATAGCGCGAAGGAGTGAAGTAAATGCCATCACATGATTTGGGTGGTCTGATGTGCGCAGGCATGTTCGCAAACGCGTCGTTCCAAGAACAGCGCGTAAACAAGCCGATGACGTAGTTGGTGTACCGTACCTTGCAGCGAGCGAACGAGATATGTATACATCTACAACCACATCTCGCCATTGACGATTCTCAACGCGAGATAGTATTGCATGTAGACGATCTGGCTTCCTACGTCATCTACGATATTACACAATGCTGTTCACAAAGAGAATTTCACTACGAGCTCTGTCCCGCGCACCATGCCAGGTCAGATGTCCAGCAGCGAGAAGACTGTATGCGACGAACCATGATCAGCGCACCAAGGAAACGCTAAAAATATCATCGCGACTGACGTGGTGAGTAGTTGAGATCCCATCAATTTCTTTTTTCGCGTACATCTCAACGACGCACATTGTACTAACTCCCCCTAGGCTCACCACAACCGCCGCCATCGGTGCCGCAGCCCTCTACTACACCACAACCGAATCCGCCTCCCCAGCCTCTCCAGCATCCCCAGATCCCCCCAATACCACCCACTCAGTGCACCGCCACGAATCCGCCTACGCCTCTGACGTACCCAAGCCTGTTGAAGACCGCCATGGCGATAGCGTTGAAAAACATAGCATCGCGGCGCACAAAAACCAGAATAAAGTCCGCGAGGGCAAATTTTCGGGCAAAGAGTTTGATAATCATGTGCAGACGCATTCGCCGGGGAAGCCTGGAGGTGATTTCGAGAAGCGATAGAATAATCATCTTCTCCATCGATATTTCTCTTGATATCCATTTCGTACATTTGTATCTATCCCATCTGTTCTGTCCTGATCAATAACAAGATTATGCGGCAATCCATGTTTCTTCACAATTAATTTCACCTGCCGACAAGCAACGTGCTATCTGTATCCTGGATACGGCAGTACAGACAGTAGTAGAGCGGGTAAGAGAAACCACTATTAACGAGCCGCAGTCGTATATACAAGGAAATCACAGCGAAAACTACATATCAGCAACTCAGGCCTGTCTAGAATCGCGACCCCGTAGACTTCCACTACTTCCCCAGTCCTGCCTCGGCCAGCGCCGCAAAGAATTTCGTGGAGTAAGCCGAATCTACAAATTCCAAAAACTTGATAACTTGCTTCCCGTCGTCCGTCAAATGCAAGATCAGTGCGTATTCGTTCGTATACGGTCCGATGTCAGTCTCGGATGTACTGGACAAGTGCATCATACACTTATGCGCGTCCGCATCATGCACCTCTTCGTGAATGGTAAGCTAAGACGACGTTAGTCTCTTGCAAGTCTCCCATGCAAAACTCGGTGTGCGTTACAGTGAACTTCCTGAAGCACGACATTACTTGATTCATACGTTCGCGGTACTCGCTATTGCTCATATTCGGTCTCCCCATGGATGCAGGAAGGACTCGTGTTGTACAGTCTGGCGCTCGAACAGCTAATATTTTTTCTATGTCCCATGCGTTGTATGCGTCGATGACGGCTTGGGTCGTTGCTTTTTGGGCGGCGAGGGTAGACATTGTACTTGTGATAGATGATACGGAGAAGGAACTTGCCAATGGTGTTACACTGGGAAATTGCTTGCATCCTACGCGGGGTTATATGTACGGTACGTACCGTGTGCGTACGTCAGAGGCGCACGTCATCAGATACGTAACCCTAGTGATGGCGTACTCTATACCTAAGGTAGTATCACTCCGAAGCATAAGTAAGCAAAAGTAATAACCATGTGCATCTGGTGCCCGGATATGGTACAGATCTGGTTCACCATAATAGGCTAGCGAGAAGCGGGGTCGCTTACTGCCGGGGTAGTGGCCCCACGCATGCTAGCGCAGATCAATCTTTGATCTTGTGTTGTTCTGGAACCGACAAGTGAGTAAGAGAGAGGAACAGTGCGGATATGAATGAGGCAAAGTTGGTGTCTTCAAGTCACAAGAACTAAGAGGCGGCAGCTTCGCTAAGACACATCAACCAGGCACAAAACAGTTACATAAATCAGTATTCAAGAAACTAACAATGTACTACTAGTGAATATGGTTGAGTGGATAGAGATAGAGCTGGTTTACATAATCGAAACGCGTAGAGCTCACAAGGGAACGAGCAAACCCGACCTTCTTCTTATTCTTGGCGTACCAAACTGGATAATTATTGTTTACCTCATCTAAAGAAAGGTTTGACGACTTTTTTTCGATCTTGATTTCCCTCCCACGAACGTCACTTATCGAGAATCGTATGTTCGAGTCCAATTACAGGATTGGATGATGTATAGCTTTGTACAGGTATCCCGCCACCTCCACCACAGCCCAGCTCTGCTCCATCTCCAACGGTAACATTAAATCGCATTTAGTACTAATTGGTAGCTCCTGCTAAGGTCATTTGGATAGTGTGATAATCCCGTCACAAACCAGACTTCAAACTTTTCCAACTACAACATCCTCCTCTAGATATAGGTTATCCATCATATAATCGTATTGCTCCAGACCTTGCTCGTCGTCCGGGATGTGCATATGGTTGTACTCGGCATAAAGCGTCTCGTTGTGCCGCTTGACCCTGAACGCTCGATCCCCAATGCTCAGCGGCTGGGCCGAGACAATTGACTGGCCACTCTCCAAAAGATACATACCGCCAACTTGCAGGGTTCCGTTATAGCTTTCCTGACGATGCATGAGCCTCTTGCTGGGGTCAGGCACCTTGCCTGCCTTGGTGTACTCGTTGCCATCGTTCTTGCACTTGCTAGCCGTGGAATCGCACCAGTCGATGTTACCAGCATTGGCAAAAACAATATTAAAGGAGCAGGGGAACGTAGAATCACAGCCTTTTCCTTTGAAAGAGCCTTCGGAATTGTAGAACTGGCGGATGACTTGACTCTGCGCTGTGTTTATTCGTTAGGTTCGGTTTCTACACAGATGCAGGGTTTGATAAAGTGTACTGAAGGACTGACTAACCATTGTTATACCCTTTCTTGACGCATCGGTTGACCTGACCACCTGCATCTGATTCCTGGACCGATTTGAAAGGGAACTCGTCGCACTGATAGGCTGTGCCGTATGGGCTCTTGCTGCAGCGGTTTTTGGACCCACATCCTGCTTTGCGGCTACGCGAGCGGCCTACTGGTTTGGTAGGATGGTCCCAAGTGAAAGATTCGCCCCATTTTTGGCAGAATGCACCTATAATGGTCAGTATATAGCCCGTGGAATAGGTAGCAAATCTGTGTTGAGATCTGACGCAAAAGATTGAAGGTTGGATTACCGAAGCACATGTTGTCGCAAACATCTATACGAGCAGATATGGTCATTTTGGTGCATTTGGATAGAGAATGAGTTGACAGGACAGAGTATCATACCGCCAAGGCCGTCATTGACACAATCAAATATCATCAGTGGCTTTGCCACTGTCGTAGATACGAGTAGCAGCGCTGCCATTGCGATCAACAAAGACTTCATCTTGGTTTGTTGGCGAAGGAGGGCTTTGGGCAATAGAAACTATATGTAATGCAGTGTTTGAATAAGAAGTGTTCGTGAACTGATGTCCTGTTTGAATTGGAACAGAATAACCATCCTATATACGATTTTGTTCTCAAGGATGTGTGCAGTATTCCCGATCATAAGGCTCTGCGGCACAGGCGCAGTCCTCATCCTACAATCGATTGATACAATATATTCGGGTCTTCTATCGTATTAAGTGGATCTTCCCTGTTCACCGAAGACGGTCTCGGGCATTTGTCTCTGAGAAGGTCTACTTGAGGCTGTGATCCGCAGACGCAACATATTCGAAATAAGCACCGCCATGTCATGCAAGGATTGCCATGGGAGCATCATAAAAGTTGGAGGCCTTAGAGTGTGGGAGCCTTGGTGGCCGTGGGGGCAGAAAGAGACGGCACCGAGTAAGGCGGGATTACACCACGGATCAACAGAATCTGCATTGTGACGTCTCACCTTTTCATTTCCAATCTACAACCACATTTTTCACTGACATATCGACTGTAGCTGTCAACTAGGAGGAAGATTCTGCATTCTCTGTACATACACTTTCCCGCGGCCAATGTGCCTCAGATGTAATTCGCAACTTAGGAGACAAAACGAGACATCATGCCATTCACAAAAGTTTGTTTTTGTTCCCGGTACTGAGCAGAGTGCCACCATAGTCGCAGTAGTTTACTGCTCAAGCCTGAGCCTCTTTACTGTAACATGACTTACTATCAGACAACTCCTCATCCCCAAAGCTTAGACTCGAGAGCATCATGTAGGCGTCTTCGATGTTGAAATAGAATTTGTCCATTTCGCAATCGTTCTCATCGTCGGCGAAAACAAACAATAGTCCTCCAGTCTTCGTTCTCCAGTCCTCCCTGACGACGACGATGAAGGCTGTTGGCCACCATTCTAGATCGAAGACGGCATCGCTGTGAGGTTGCCTGCCCTTATCCAAGTTGATATGCGCTTGGACAATTTCCTGCAAAGTCTCAAACTTTGCGGTAGGCTCTGCGGGGCGCACGAGATGCTTCTCATTGCCCTGATCTAACCATTGTTTTTCTAGCACCGAAGCAACATCTTGAACCGATACTTTGTCGCCGAGGAGAGTATAGACAGCGAATGCTGCGTCGTCCCAGTTGCAATCGTCGTATTGGCCGAGTTCGGGGGCTCGAGATGGTAAAGATAGATCGGGCGTCATTGTCGTGATAGAAATCAGATGAAGGTGTGTTGTTTTGGGGATTTCTTTGCTGCTGGTAGAAACCTTGGTTTGGCTTTAGCACTGAAATATGGAGTGTTGGCTGTTATTTGGGCATTCGTAGTCCGATGTGGAAGGATGCTCTATTCTTGGAACGGCAAGGCGTGTTGAGTAAGATTGTGACGTCATTGGGTGCCTTGAGTAAATCTGAAGGTAAGGCGAGAAGCGCCAACTACCATAGCGTGCCGCCTACCAGTCTTAGGATAGTCTGGTACACCAAATTCAGGACTTGAGATCTTTCCAGCTTATTTTCATAGCCCTGTCGAGGGGACCTTTGGTTTGGTTTCAAGCCTGAAGGCTGTCTTATGGATTTTCTAGCAGTAGTATAGCGCACCATAGTAGGTATTATAAGATAATTAACAGTATGGGTATGCGCCTGAGAGGCGTGTCTGGCGACTACAGGGGCCTTTGTACACCAGTATGTCAAGTATCTTATGACACCCGGGTGGATGCTGTTCTGTCGCAAAAGCGACACGACTATCAAATAAATCATAGTCTAGAAGTCTCTAATTGGCTCGCATTGCGCGTTTTCTGCGACCGCGGCGCACAAGGCTTGCAGCTGAAGCTGAATGACATCGCAACTGCGACAACCGCCGCTGCTATCTTTCTTCTTTGATCTACTTTTGCCACTCGCTTTAACACGCAATTGTCCGCGACCCTAGTCTATGGATTGAATCATTTAATACGACTACAGCCGTACAAGGCACATGGTTACCGTAAAACGAATCGGCCTCACAAGGCTGGCGACCGAAGGGCAAAAGGATGATGAAGTTCATTTGAACAAAAATCAGAATGATGATCAAGTTTCTTTGAAGTATTACGCTCTCACACGTCTAGAGATCCATCTAACGATACGGATAGTATTTTGTTTATCCACGGTTTTGATGGCCATCCTCCAGATACAATCTTCTGGCCCGAAGAATGTCTCACAAGAATTGTGCCTGGTGCTAAAGTCTGGACATATGGATATGATATCTCTAACATGCCATTACTGTCAAAATCGTCATATATTGCAATTGAAAGTCGAAGACTTAGAGATATGCTGGAGGAGAATTTTCTTTGGGTATGATAGCAGAAGCCTATAAATGCTTTAGTCAAATTTGTAACAAAACAACAGAAACCCGTCGCCTTTGTAGTAAAAAACTCAGCTCAAGCCATTGTCAGTAATGTATGAGTTCCAATTGATTTCGCTATTACTAAAATCATGCTTACCTACAGCTATAGGCTCTCTGCAAATTGGGAAGACCACCTTTTCAGCCAGCATTGATCATCTTTCTCAAGAAAACGGACCAGAAGGACGCTAATGAAGTCCGGAAAGTGAGTTCGATGGAGGATCCGGCCATCTTAGAGTTCGTGTACGATTTGGGTACGACCCTAAACAATCGTCGCGGAGAGTTCAACTTCGTCTTAACAAACGAGAAACTCCATATGTATGTATGTGAGGAAACTGTCTCTGAGACCTTCATCACACAAATTTGCGAGGTGAGTTTTTTCAAACGGCTTTGTCGACTCCTGTTCACAAAGTGGAATATTACTAACTAGACTTAGCCGACGGGATATCTTAGAGAGGAGTATGGTTCATTCTATAAGACTATATCTAAGCTCATACAAAGATGTGTTCTCACGAAGCAGAAAAATCAGCAGCCACCTTACTATGATCCTATGTATCCAAGCCCTCGTTGTTGGTATATTCGGTTTCGGGTGTATCTATTATACCTGTTCGGCCTTACCCTTCTAATTCACCAGCACCGATCGAACATTGGCTCTACCGCAAGGGGTTATGATATGAATGCCCCGCCATCAAGATTCGGGCGCGTTGCGACCTTGATGAGTTGTGCCTTGAACACAGTCCTAGTGACGGCTGGCTTTGGGGAACGACCTTTGCAACCAGGTTTCATTCGGCTTAGATGGCACTGTGTAAGTGGTTCAACAGGCTATGAGTTCGTCTCTAGGGATCTTCATGAATTTATTGCCACTGTTAGTCAACGGTTGTAAATAACCGGACTAACAGCTCACAGGCTTGTGGCGGTGCTCTCTTCGGAGATGTCCAAGAACATCGAGCGGGCGGCGTCTTCAAGCTAATAGATCAAATGGAACGAATCGCTGGTACCAAGGTCACTGTCACTACTTACAATGAAGAAGAACCACAAAGAGGATATGGTCCGGGTCTGATTTCGTGGGCGAGGAATACCACAAGAGACCTCACAAGGCTGTTTTCGAAAGATGCAGATCGCGACGATGTGCTGCCACAACACAACGACTCTGAGACGACCCAAGCATCCGCATCAGTCAATATCGAGTTGACGCCTGCGCAGGATCTTCTGCTATTGGCCTGTATGCAGCAAAGCCAGGGCAGCCAGCTCTTCCTTCAGGACAGCATCCGGGCAATAAAAAGCGATCGACAGCTCTTCTACTTCATCCGAGAGCAAATATCACGTAATCGCAGGACACGCTGGACTTCTCGGGTGCTGAAGACAGTGAATGAAATACAGTTTACAAAGGTCTGTCGATCATCAAGACCTAATGGGTCTGTAAAGTATAGCTGCTTACTCTACAAAAGCTCCATCTACGGCTAAACAACGATATAGAGCCGCGTCTGCATAAGCCTTGTTGCAGACAAGACGGCTGCCAGTGCATCCCACTGAACTCAAATGCAGAGTACGATTGTATACCAGCTGGGCCTCTAGCCTACGGACCTCCTGTCTTGCCCGCGAAGATGTTGCATTACTTCCAACACCCGGAACTGATCGCTGAAGAGGAGATGTCCGTTTTCAATCAACTCCCAAAGCGGAACTGCGGTGAAATACAGGCTACGGGACAGGCGCCAGCAGAAGGATGGGGCCTGTACTATGAAGAGAATTGGAACATTGGTTTGATCATCGTTGTGATGGTCGCTATTGTCATTCTGGCCAGTGTCTTGTTTGGCATCTGCTGGACATTGGTAAAGGCTGATATACAAGGTGCATGGGGGGTTAGTTCGTACATGGTGACGGCATGTGGACTTGTTGTAGCTTTGCTCAGTATGATGGGTCGAGCGAGGAGTGAATAGGTGTTGTGGCATATAGTAAACACGTTGCCCCAGATCCGTGATGAGTGCCGCCGATGTAGGCTAGCCAATTAGCTTTTTGTGTGTCAATCGTCAACGTGTTTGTACGTAGAACCTATTCAGCTGGCGGAAGCTTATTGTTTTTATCGAATTTTTTGGGTAGTACAAAACCATCAACGTAGATGTCAGAAAATCATAGTGAACACGTTGAAGCTTACTGACGAAGCACCTAGCAGATACTTAACTATAAAGTGGCTGTGTTGCAGCTTCATCCTTCCATTAGTGGCCCTCGTCAATTTCTGTCGAGTAACGATATCTAATTTGTTCCCTATCATCGTCGAACATCGTTGAACATCGCTTGGGAGCGATGGTCAGGGGGCTAGCTGTCCCGATTCATTTGACTGCACCATGGTACCATTTCATATCCTCGCCTGCTACGGCGCAAAAATGCGGCAGTAGAATGGCAAGGTGCGACGGAAGGGTAGTCTTCTTTTTAGGTAGAAGACAAAGTGTCGTACCAAACTAGAGGACCATCGATTACATGACTTTGACGAGAGAGAGTTCTACCGAGTTTTTTCACTCTTACTTCTTGCCTAGAAGAAGAATTCAAGTCATCTCGTATCATCGTGTTGCGCATTCGAATCCGTTTAGGCAATTGGTAAATATACAAATCAATATTGCGACTATAAACTTTACAGCTTACACACTCAAAACAACACGTTAACACAGTCTCCTCAGGGAAAAAGGATAGCCTACACACCCAATTAAAGATCATTCCGGACTGGAATGGACCCGATAGTAGTAGTAACAACACGTTCAGGGCAAGGAAAACATCATAGTTGATTGAGGTAGAAGTCTACAGCTGTTATAACTAACGGTAAACACGCTGTAGTTTAATCCAAGATATCCACCACACGTATGTATGTACACACACATAACATCAACGATCGCAAAAAAGACTTTTACAGAGGGTTTTTACCTAAGCAGTAATCTACATCTTTAACCTACTTGGAAACCTACAAATCCCCCTAACGACAAAGTCTTCCCGTAAAATAGATACTTGAATTAAGAAACATAACATATAACAACTTCGTTTTCTTCTCTCTAGGGTTACACTACTATCACCAACTATTACGTAGACCGCGAGTACCGCCATAGTTTCCAACATAACCAGTAAAAACTATCATTTCTAAACGCGTGCCATCTACCCGTAGGAAAGGATAACCCAGTCTCAACCCGAGATTAATTCTCACTGCAATACACACAATATTAGTAGTGCCAGCAGATCTACAGCGATAAAATCTGCTATTAGTAACCGACGATAACAAGGCCGTGTGCACTACAACACATCCATGAGTTCAACAAATGAATTATTCACACAACCTTGTCTGTCAACTCACACACCTATCTCATTAGTAGTAGCCCTTGTCAATGATCACAAGTCAATCCATTCTGTCTGTTGTCAACATACTAGAGGCGTAGGATGAAGGTGTGCCATTTGACAATTTATTGGCATTACTAAAGGTAGTAGTAACATAGAAAGAGGGTAATTGATCCCAAAATCGCTTCATGTATGGAGAATGTACGCTACCAATTCTCCTTGCAAACGCCATTGCACGTCGTTGCCGAGTTGGTGTCTGCTCTTTTTCAAAAGCGAAGCTTCGAACAAGGAAGATGCCAATCAACAATGCAGAGCCAATCAAGTGCTCTTTACGACGCTCCAGAGCCAGCTAACAATGTGTCTAGTACTCTGCCTCAACACCCTCCTCATCACCGAGGCTGTCGGCGGCAACCTCCTCGTAGTCGCGCTCCAGAGCAGCGAGATCTTCGCGAGCTTCCGAGAACTCACCCTCCTCCATACCCTCACCGACATACCAGTGTACAAAGGCACGCTTGCTGTACATGAGGTCGAACTTGTGGGAGAGAGCAGACCAGGCCTCGCTAATAGCCGTGGTGTTGGACAACATGCAGACGGCGCGGTTGACCGAGGCGAGATCGCCGTTGGGAACCATCTGAGGAGGCTGGTAGCAGATACCAACCTTGAAACCAGTGGGGCACCAGTCGACGAACTGGACAGTGCGCTTGGTCTTGACCTGGGCAATGGCAGCGTGGGTGTCCTTGGGGACGACGTCACCACGGTACAACAGGCAGGTGGCCATGTACTTTCCGTTGCGCGGGTCGCACTTGACCATCTGGTTGTTTGGCTCGAAGCAAGCGTTGGTAATCTCCATGACCGAGTTGGCCTCGTGGGCGGCCTTGGCGGCGGAGATGACGGGCGCGTAGGCGACGAGGGGGAAGTGGATACGCGGGTAGGGGACCAAGTTGGTCTGGAACTCGTTCAGGTCGACGTTGAGGGAACCGTCGAAGCGGAGGGAGGCAGTGATGGATGAGACGACTGGGTTGGATTAGTAATAGCAAGTGAGAGAAGAATGGAGCTACATACCCTGAGCAATGAGACGGTTCAGGTTCTCGTAGTTGGGACGCTCAATGCCGAGGTTCCTTCGGCAGATGTCGTAGATGGCCTCGTTGTCGACCATGAAGCTGCAGTCGGAGTGCTCGAGCGTAGTGTGGGTCGTAAGAATCGAGTTGTAGGGCTCAACGACGGATGTAGCGACCTGGGGCGCTGGGTAGACGCAGAACTCAAGCTTGCACTTCTTGCCGTAGTCGACAGACAGACGCTCCATCAACAGGGCGCCGAAACCAGAACCAGTACCGCCACCGAAGGAGTGGAAGACGAGGAAACCTTGGAGACCCGAGCAGTTGTCGGCAACGCGGCGGACCTTGTCGAGCACCTGGTCAATGAGCTCCTTGCCGACGGTGTAATGACCGCGGGCGTAGTTGTTTGAGGCATCCTCCTTTCCTGTGATCATCTGCTCGGGGTGGAAAAGGGAGCGGTAGGCACCGGTGCGAACCTCGTCGACGACATTGGGCTCAAGATCGGCGTAGATGGTACGGGGAACGTACTTGCCCTGACCTGGACATTGTTAGTTGTCGTGCGGCATTTGTTGCGACGGAAGCTGCTGCCTACCAGTCTCGGAGAAGAAGGTGCTGAAGCCGTGGTCGTCGTTCTGAGCCTTGCGCTCGTCGGTCAAGAAACCATCGGGCTGGATGCCGTGCTCAAGGCAGTAAAGCTGTGGCAACGAGTCAGCTCGTGGTTGCGGACTGGCGGTCAAGCATCCGACATTCCCGCTCCTTTTTCGCCCTGCAAGCGATTGGGAGCTTCATGAAGGCGCATCTCGAGTTTACTCACCTCCCAGCACGAGTTTGCAATTTGGCAACCGGCTTGGCCGACTAGACGCGTACAAAGTCAGCATCAACACAGGGTCAGGGATGTGGCACCCAACCAGGGCGGTCAGGGCGCGTGAGCCACACACAAAAGCCGACATACCGTTCAGACTGATGACTTCTCTCATGGTGGAAGATTTGAAGCGTAGTAATTGGGGTATCGAAATGCGGCGTCGAAGCGTATATGGGCGAGGTCGAGGAGCTGCTGGAAGTCGAGTGGAGCAGTGGGGGGGGGGGAGGAAGTGGTGTTGTGTTTGTGGAATCGAACTTTTAGGGTGTTCAGGGCCCGCCTATCACGGGCCACGGCGCTAAGCAACACGTCGAATGCAGCTGCCGGCCACTTGTTGGGGACCGCGACGACATCAACACGACTGGACGACCAAAGACTGGACGAAAGCAGAATCACCCATGAAAGTGATACTGTGGGTGAGCACGTGAGGAAATGTGCTGTTTTCCTTCCCATTGACCTTTCCCATCCTGTCTTGGCCGCCAAACATGCGCCTCGCCGCCGCCCTGCTCTGCATCGTCACACACATCGGGACGGTGAATGCCAATGTCGAAAAGACAGTCTTCCTGGGCCCCAGTCCTGTGACGCTCCAAAATGTGCGCCCTGGCCTAGACAACCTCCGTCTAGACATCTTGACGCCTTCCGACACGGTGCTGCCGACACATCTCCGCGTTCAGTTTCCCACAGAGTCCCTACCCCGCGGCCTCGAATCTTGGTACCTGCTCCGCCAACTCGACGGCGCGAGAAGGTACGAGGTGCGCATCTGTTGGCCGGCAACTGTGAGTCCATGGCGCTTTCCAATTACACCCCATGTCACCATGTGTTCATTGTAGTCGTGCCCCGCGTGTTGACAAAGACCGACTGACCATGTGCAGCAACCTACCGACTTCTGGCTGGAGACGTTTTCCCTTGCCCAAGTCTTTGATACCCCTGAACTTGTATCCTCGCTTGCAAAGTATAGCGAACAGCGCCAGTTCCAAGGCGACGAAGGACGGGACGTCAAGGGAGCTGCATCCGAAACCCCAGAGTCTGTGCTATTCCTCCGCCTCCAGGCTGCAGCGTCCTACTATTCGACCAATCGCACGTTGATGGACTATCCGCCTCCTGTAGACGCTGATATCAGTATGTCGCGCCTCAATGCGCAAAGTTCGCTTTCTGACGGCTCTAGTACTCGATCCATTCGTGTTGAACGTCTTCCCCGAGTCACTCGGCCCCGTCGCTATCTACATAGTTGCAGTCGCTATCGGCGCATACTTTCTCTCCGCCTACATCTACAACTGGCTCTTAGCCATCGCCGCCGAACCACCCAGCAAGCCCCACACGGACTGAGCAAACACCGTTCAAGGTCGTGCGACACACATTCACAGATACGATCTGCCAAACTTGCCTTGCGCCAAAGACACTCTCGCCAGCAACAACCGCTTCCACATCATCTGCTCCCCCTCTCTCGCGCGAGCATGTCCGCAGCCGCTGGAGCACCTCCACCACCGCCGCCTCCCCCGCCGCCCGGTCCACCAGATCCACCCAACGACAGCAACCCGTTCGAGAAACTCCCCGCCGAACTGCTCCTCATGATCTACGAATACGCAGGTAGCAGATGCCTGCCAAACCTAGCACTCGCCATCTACCCGACTCTACAGCGTCACAACATTGCGCCCGTGCTCACCATCGACACCCTCATCCGCATTATTCGTAATCCAAACAGCACCTTCAGTCCAGCAACTAACTCGGCTTTATCTGTCATACCGACTGAGCTCTGGCTGCAGGTTGCGCATTATCTGGAGCCCGCTGATCGTCTGTCTATGATATTCGCTCCCTTTGGCCCGTGGTTCAGGGTGCCAGTCACGAGGGAGACGCAGCATAGGCTGACTATCTGGAGTCGGAGGTACAGGAAGAAAGGATGAGGCACGTGACGCCACGTCAGGGAGCATATATGAGTTATTTCAACTTGTGATGGCATGGCCAAAAGTCGTCTTTGGAGACTACAGGCATGAGAGTAAGCTAGCTTAATCCCAGGGACACAAGTATCACCAGACCACAAGTCCCATTTCAAAATGAAAAACATGATCAATTAATCCCATGTTACCTTGTTAAGAAAAAAACACCACACGCTATGCATCCCATCCTGTCATCATGAAAAGTCCCATCCCTACCTAACCCCTTGACTACGCCAGAAACAAATGCATGCACGCATACCTCCTCTTCCCTTTGAACTTTTTTTTTGCACTTGCACCTGCACACACACACACGCGCGCGCGTGCGCGCTAAGCATCCCTAGGAAACTCATCCTCCAGCCCAATCGTCACCTTGATATTCATACTGCCCAGCTCCTGAATCAGCAGCTTTGCCGCATACGGCATAGTGATTTTGCGCACTGCCTTCTCGCTCTCGCAGAGTTTGCAGTAGCCGCTATAGCCCATTTGGCCGCCTGTGCATGCATTAGTATGGTTGTATGCTTCAACACGAGAAAAAAGTTTGGAAGAGAGAGAGAAAAAGGGGGGAGGGGCATACACTTCTCACACACATCCACAGTATGCGCATCCGAACTCAACATCAGCCGCTCGAGCAACAACTGCGACGCACCATACGCAATCAAGCAATCGCGCTCCATCTCACCGAGACGCAACCCACCATCCCGCGCACGACCCTCCGTGGGCTGGCGCGTGAGAATAGCACGGGGACCACGTGCTCGCGAGTGCATTTTATCCTGCACCATGTGTTTGAGTTTCTGGTAGTAAATCGGGCCGAAGAAGGTATAGAACTGGTGTGCTTCACCCGTGATACCAGAAGTGAGGTAATCCTTGCCGGTGTAGGAAAACCCCTTGTCGACGAGGATTTTGCTCATGTCTTCGACTGTGGAGCCGCCAAAGGCTGTTCCGTATTCCAAGGTGCCGTTGAGGACACCGGCTTTGCCGGAGAGGAGTTCCATCATCTTGCCGACCGTCATGCGCGAGGGGAAACCGTGGGGGTTCATGATGATGTCGGGGCAGATGCCTTGGTCGTTGAAGGGCATGTCTTCTTGCTGGACGATGAGGCCTGTTGTACCTTTTTGGCCGTGGCGGGACGAGAATTTATCGCCGAGTTCGGGGCGGCGGGTTTGGCGGAAGAGGAGCTTGATTAGAGTGACTCCGGCTTCGTTTTCGGTGACGCAGGTTTTGTCGATGTAGCTGTAATCGGGGTTCTTGTACTTTTCGGGCTTGTCTTTGTACGTGTTCGATGGTGGGCCGGCAGTGTCTACCGGGATGGACTTGAGGAGGTAGGCGTCGCCGGCTTCTATGCGGGCGCCTACTTGTGCGATACCGTCTTTGCCGATGGCTTGGTGATTCTTGTTGTCGGGATCGAGGGCACCCGCGTTGATGCGGTCAGATGTGCCGTTGGCATACGTTTTTAGTTGCGTGACGTGCTTCTTCATGACCTGACAGCGACCAAATCCACGGTCGCAAGACGCTTTGTTCAAGATGAGAGCATCCTCAATATCGTAACCAGAGTAAGACATGACTGCGACTGTCGCATTCTGACCGGCGGGCAGCTTGTCGTACTTCGTAAGCTCAATGGTACGCGTCTTGACCATGGGCTGTTGTGGGTAGACCATGAGATAGAGAAGAGTATCTATCCTGCTGAACTGGTTGTAGGCGATCGCACCAATAGCTTGCTTACCCATAGCACATTGATAGGTGTTACGCGGTGACTGGTTGTGGTGGGGATAGGGAATGAGACCGGCAACGGCACCAAGAATGGTAAACGGCTCAATCTCGAGATGTGTCGTATGTTGGTTGATATCGGTTTCCTTCAGAGCAATATTCGTATCGTTTTCCTCATTGGTATCAAGATACTCGACCAGACCTCTTGTGAGAAAATCCTCAAAATCCAGTGTGCCCTTGCGAAGAGCTTTCAGGTACCGCGATGTCACTTTGGAGCGTTGGTTCTCAACAATAATCATCGGCCGGCAAATCCGCCCTTCGTCTGTAGCGATGTGAACTTCGCAGTGGTCGTGATCGATGTGGATGCTAGTAAACTCGGAGACACGCCCCATGCGCCGAAGACCCCGGAAGCTGTTCAGGAAGTGCTTGGGTCTGTCTGTAACAGCGATAGGTGTACCGTTAAGGCACAAGCTGTACACACCCTCGGCATGGATATCCTCACCAGTCAGCGAGCAGATATCTTGAGCGCCGAGCATGAACACAATCTTGCGGACAGGATCGTCGTCGTCTTCAGTTGTGATGTGCGTCATCAACGCCAAGTTCTTGACGAGACCACAGGCTTCTCCTTCTGGTGTATCGGATGTGCAAAGCATACCAAACTGCGATGGTTGGAGCGCACGGGGACCGGAGACCTTGCGCGTCTTCTCGAATTGCGAGCTGATTCTCGTCATCATACCGAGTGCAGCGATGTAACTCAACCTGCTCAGTACGTGCGTGACACCAGCCCTGTCCATCTTGAATCGCTTTAGACTCCAATTTCCAGTAGCAATGGCACGCTCGACACCCATGGTGATGTGGTTCTTGTGGACACTGAAATGTGAAAAGGCATCGAATTCTTGGGCTCGGACTGGTTTCTTGAGCACTTTGTCAATGCTCAGCTTGAAGTCGTGGTTGAAGCGCTTAAAGTGATCCTCGAAAAGGAGCGACAACATCTGACCGGACAACTCCAGACGCTTGTTACCAACATAGTCGCGATCGTCAACTAGCTTGGGGTTTTGCATGGCCATCAACACCCTACGCGCCATGAGAGCGACGTAAAGCGCCTTGGGTCGGTAGTTTGTGCCTTCGACTGGTACGTGTGGCAGGACAACATTCGACAAACACTCAATGGCCTCAAGATGGTAATTCCGGTTGCGTGATGTACCAAGCGGCTTCTTCACTAAGCGCACACGATGCCCGATATACTCCAGTGCCCTCTCTTGTGTAAAAATCTCTTCTTTTGCGCAAGCCTCAAAGTTGATGGAGAAGTTGTCCTGATACGCGCTGTCTTCGCCAGCAACCATGGTCAGGATCTCCTTGTCGGAAGCCACACCCAGTGCCTTCATTACGAAGACGATGGGGATTTCCTCGGAGAGCGTGTTGTGTCGCAGGTACATGAGACCTTTCTTCTGGATGACATACGTCTTGGTTCGCCTTTCGTGAGTAGAACTGGTGACGCTGGCTTGCATGATGCCCTTTGCACTTTCAACAATAACTCGGTTCTTGTTCAACTGCTCTTGAACCAGAATAACCTTCTCCTGTCCACGGGTGATGAAGTAACCTCCTGGGTCCAGCGGACACTCGCCCATGACGGCCATATCGTTATCGTTCTTGCCCGCAAGCACACATTTATTGCTCTTCAACATTATGGGCATCCTGCCAATCTTGATTCCTGTACGCTTGACCTTTGCATTCCCCCTCGTGTATATAATGTCCACTACTATTGGCGCAGCATATGTCATGTCGCGTAGCCTGCACTCGTTGGGTGTGACGGTACTCTTATGGTGATCGAGATCATCTTCTTCCTGTCGGTTCGGCGCCAGAACGCGGATATCGGTATATTCGAGTAGGAACTTGGGGTCGAAGTCGCTGCGGACGAAACGGTTGACCTTGATGATCTTCTTGAGCTCCACGTCGACGAAGTGGTTGTACGAGTCAACGTGTTGCTTGACTAAACCCTTGGTCTTCAGGAATGCCGGCAGTAAATTCCACTTGTCGCGCGCCGTGTTGATGGGGTCCGTCATACTCTTGCCATAATAGAAAGGCTCAAGTAGAGCGGCGAACTCGTCTTTGGCTTGTCGACTTATTGGCTCCTCTGCGGACGTTGAGGCGCCAGGATCTTGGTCTTTTGTGTCATCGCCCATGATCGTATCTTGTGGGTTGGTCGTTGTAGAATTAAGATTAGTAGAGTCTTGTCCGACTGCTTGCTGATCTTGGGGTACAGCAGTCGCAACTTTCGCCTTTGCCGCCCCGCGCGGGGCAGGCTTTGGCTTCGGTTTCGCAGCCTCCTGTATAATCATGTTAGCAGCTAGTTAATATGTTAGGAATGCGCCTCAATACCTTCTTGCCTACCATGGCTGCGACAGTAAAGTAGTTGAGCGAAAGTGGAAGTAGCGGGCAGGTAAGTCAGTAAGAGCGGCCGCAACAATTTGGCGTTTGGCGAGTCATGCAAGTGGAGAACGAATACTGGCCAATCGGTAATCCGCAGTAGATCGTGTTCCCTACCGCGGGTGAGTGACCACCAAACCATGTGGACAACTGCACCATAGAGTGCTTCAGTGATACATTGACGTACAGATGTAGATGGGGTTTTCGCGTGTATACCTGAAAGGTATGTGAGAAGGCTAGTATTTTGATGTGATTGTATGAGGTAATCTACCGTCGAGGGCAACTTTGACTAGTATCACATTCATTATGTAGTATCAATACAAATCATGTTATATCAGCTTTCATTCGAACGAGGGCATATATCATCTTCAGAAGACGAAATCCTGCATCACTACCATTACAAGCCACTGAACACCCGCCCAACGTGCTATTACCAAGAAGCACTGTTTGAGACGCCAATATAGACCTGATCCTCCAACCCCCCAAAAAGGGTACCATATCGTACACCATCCAGTCATCGACCCAAATTCGCCCAGTCTTCGATCCGATAGATACCAGCTAGAGCCGCCATGATTTTGTGTTGCCCATCTACTAGAAAGCATCACTAACATCGGCCTCACCGTTCAAGCCCCTCAGAGAACTCTCGGCTAAATCAACTCGCAGTTGGGCTGTCTCAGCTTCACGCTCAAGATTGTCCCACTCTTTCAGCTTTTGCCTCTTCGCATCTTCCTTCCTATCAATCATCTCTCTCAACTTCTGCGCTTCGGCCTCGAGCTTCAAGATCTTGCTCTTGTCATACATCTCAGGAGCTTTTTGGCCACCAGGGATCTCCTTGGGGAGATCAGCGAGATGATCGCGGAAGCGCATGGTACGGGGATACGTTGTAGCCGTAGAGTTGTTGGAGCCACGGAATGAAGCAGCAAAAGGTGCTGGTCCTCCAGGGCCACTGCTGGATCCCCTGGGTCCGGACGGTGCGCCGCCGTAGTAGCCTCCTCGCGGTCCTGACGCCCAAGAACCTCGACGTGAAGGTGGACTAGAGAAATCTCCTCGTCCTTCATAGCCGCCGAAACCTCGGCCTCCACCACGCGGCCGCGTTGGCGCTGCTAAAACGGGGTTATTTCCTCGGGGGAACGTGGGCGGTTGTGGTGTTGAGTTAGATGGGCCGACTGGTGGGGAAATGGCAGGGGAGGGATAGCTCCGACTGGAAGGCCCTGTCGGCGGCGCCCTAGCAAAGTTGCTGTCTCCGTTGCGGTAGGAAGAAGATGGCCCAGTGGGAGGCGCGAAGTCCCTATCAACGCGTGGTCCAGTGGGGGGACTATCCCTACGGCGTGGAGGTGACCGCTCCCGCTCACGACTGAAGTCTCGGCTCCTATCGGGGATGCGCTCACGATACGGTGATCTCGGCGCCGACGCGGGTTCCCTGACGGGCCTGTCCTCTACAAGTGCAGCTCGGCTGGGGTGGATAGGCGGCGGTGAGGAGCGACGCGAGGTTGCAGCCGAGTCTCTGCCCGATGCTTCATTTGAAGGGTACGTGGGTCGTATAGGGGAAGGCGACCTGCGACTTCTCCAGGTATCTGCTGTGTATGGGTCGACACGCTCGCGCCTCGGGGAAGGCGAACGGCGCCTATAGTCGCGGACAGGAGAGTAGCGGCGAGGAGGGCTATGAACGTGTCAGTAATCTAAGCATTATCACTGATAATTTGGTGCTCACCTATTGACTCGCGAGCGGGGTTCTTCATACCGACTGGGACGAACAGGAGAGCGCACTCCTCGGCTTCTAGCAGGTGACACATCGCGCTCCCTGGGCAGTGGAGACCTCTCGCGGGGACGTGGAGAGCGCGTGTACGAATCGTACTGATCTCGGTCTCGGTCCCTTCGTGGAGGAGACCTTGCTCTCTCGCTCCTGTAGTCATCGCGCCGAGGTGAGAATGCTCGGCGAGGAGGCGATCGAGGACGTGCCCTCCAGTTGTCATCGCGACGTGGGCTACGAGATCGTCTTCGAAATGCAGGCGATCGGCTACGAGGACGAGAAGAGCGACCACCAGGAACATATGTATCAGCAGATGCTATACCGCGTCGGATAGGTGATCCACGGCGAGGAGGCGGCGAACCGCGGCGGGGAGGGGGCGAGCGAGCACGGTAGCTGTCTCCGCGTGGAGGCGAGCGTGGGCGAAGGCCAGGCGAACGCGGACGGTATGTGTTCGAGTACCTGTCGTCTCTGCAATATTGTAAGTAACTGCATTGAGTTCCACATGCACAACAGCGAAATGTGCCTATCAGAGTGCATGCGACAATTTAGGGCGGACAAACCTTCGGTCTCTGTCTCGCTCGCGATCCCTGTCCATCTTTGCAATAGTAATATATTTGACCTGTCGTCTCTACCAAGTTTTAGCCGATAAAATACAGACAATCGTGGTGAATTTGTAGTTGACAATGCGACGGTCGAGAGGTTGACGGTGTTGAGCGCGTGGTGTCGTGTGTTGGTTCTGCAAAAAGTGAAGTTCAGAGCCAAGCCCGCTGCCACTGGACGCGTTTGCCGTCACGTGCCATGGGATGATTGCGGTGCACACATATGTATGCACGGCCTGAGCCCTTCTTCCAAACAATCGAACCATGCAAACAGCCAGTAGTTAGCTTAGCGCCCCGTATTGTTTGCGCATGGCCGCATTGGTCTCGGAGCCTCAGTCAGCACATCTTGTGTCCCATTTCCATTTGCTCCTGTCACTTCAGCCAGCCTCAAAGCCATCAGTCTTCTCAACTTCAATCCAATCTTAAACATCTACTATGCCTTGTTTCCTAAAAATTAGCTTTCGACTCACCATCCAGGGCAGCTTTCTTTGACAACCTTTGCATTGCCGTTTGCGTCATCGTGGCGTCCGTTGCGGCCAAGTACGGGATGCTACCGTCTCCACAGTCAAAACATTATTCCTGTCCACTCATTTTGCCCTTGAAAACTGATTTCTTGATCTTGACTATCTTCATCTGCGGTAACCTTGGCTACCGCATATAACGCCGTGTCCCAATGCTGAATATGCCGAAGCCCTACTGACCCTTGGCATCCGTGACGCCGGCCCGCCCTTGGAGCGCTCGAAAGTAAACCAAATCTTTTGTACAAAACCCATGTCCTCTGCGGACTCTTAATCATACACCTAGCGCAACGTCTTTTGCTCATCGTCCCTCCCTTTTCGCCCGCTTTCTGCTCTCCTGGTTGATCATGTCGGCCAAATCATCTTGATCAATGCTCTGCCACTGTCCCTGTGCCTCCGCCCTCTGCCTAGACTCGTATTCTTTCTTTAGTGCATCCTTGTCAAGTTTGTCACTGTCAGCCAGCTGGTCGACGTCAACAGATATGTCCACATCACCGGCCTTGCGCTTCCTCTGCGAATGTCCAAGCGTATCGCGCCTAGCTGCGTCCAGGTCGTAAGCATGTTCACCACCGAAGAAGCCAGTTGCCGAGATGTTCTTCTCTGGGAGCACGGTATAGGCGCTCCGCGGTGCTCCAGGCTCTTCAGTCTCAATCCCCTTACGCTGCTTCCGAAGTTGGAACTCTCCGGCAATGCTTTCTGCGCCTCCAATCTCAGATGGCATGGCCGAGGCCGTGGTCATCGAAGTCTGAATGCCACTCGGATCGACATCACCTCCCTCCTCATCCTCGTCTTCCTCCTCTTCTTCCTCGTCGCTCTCCTCGTCTTCACTTTCGCCCTCGGCTCGAAGTGCTCCCCAGATGCCGCGCTCAACGGGCTCACCAGTGTGTGTCGGCTGCTGTTGCTCCTCCAATATGGCCGTTCCATACAGATCTCCTCCAAATAGTGGTTTGCCACCATCGTCTGTGGGAGGCTTGCCCCACTGGCCTGGCTGGAAACCCCAGGAAGAACCGGGTGGGATCGGAGCATTCACACCGGGAACGCGCATGTTGGGGTACGACGGCGGGGGCCCGAACCGCTGCATGTTGATGAGCCACGGTGGTGGTTGACCAGGTGTCATTCCAAGTGCCTCACGAAGTTCCTCACTCAGCTCACCCGGCTTAAGGTTGACGAGATTTGTCTCAAACTCTTTGCCCTCGTAGTAGACTTCGCCGTAACGTGTTAGCTCCGGCTTGGTCTGGCGACGGAAGAATGCATCATAGAGTTTTGCATAGTCGATATCGAGCTTGCCGAGCTTGCCTTGGACGCGCTCACGCTGCTTCTGCCTCATGGTCATTTCTGCCTGCTTCTCCAAGACGGCATCTCGCATCTCTGCTATGCCTGTTTCCTGTATGAACTTGGGCAGAGCAAATGGCGGCTTCTCGATACCGCGCTTCGACGACAAATACTCGCGCTTGAGCGACCAGTGAGTCGGGACGGGTATGACATTCTTAGCGCCCTTGATGGAGATTAGTAGCTTGGGATCAGACGATGACACATCCGTCCACTCGACCAGTTCGGGGCGGGAAACCATCGACTTCAATTGCGCGACCGATAGCTTGTTCATCTGCTTCATCTTCTTCTTGGAGAGCTTGGGCTGCCCATCTTCTTCCTCCTCTTCGTCGCTGGGGATGCCGTCTTCGGCGACGTACACTTCAGCCTTCTCCTCGTCCCTGGTGGCCGCTTCCTCTTCGGTCGGCTCCCTGAACTTCTCGAAAACGCTCTTGAACTCCTCTAATGCGGGATCGTCCAGGTCGTACACGTTTGCGATGTCGTCGATGCTAGTGAGATTTACAGGCTGCACCGCGAGTGCGTCGCTGCTGGCATCTTTTGCTGGCGCAGGAGAATCATTCTCGCGCGCTGAGCCGCCCACGTCCGACTTGGTCTCCTGTGGCGGCTTGTTAGTATGGTCTAGTGCGATGGATGCTTGTAGAATGCGTCGGAGACCTACGATGCGCTGTTGCTTCTTCTTTGCCCGGCGATAGGCATTCTTGTTCGCCTGCTTCTTGCCTTTCGCAGTTGCGCCCGACATTGTCGCCGTGGTGCGCGCTGCTACGCTCAAGTCGTTCGAAGCTGTGACTTTGTGCGTTGGCTTCTGCAACAAACCAGATGCGCGTTTTGTTGGCGTTGGGCGTGTTTGAGCAATAAGTCAGGTCGAGATTGTAGTTGCTGAGTTGCTGAGGAGCTCGCGTCGAAAGATTGAGCGGGCCGCCTTGGCGCTCCTTCCACTCAGCACAAGCTGGAAAGAGCTCTCTCACCACAGCTAGTCGAAACGAGTCTAGCGTCGATGTACACGTATTTCGTGCTCAAAGAGCAAAAGACAAGAAGTTTTTTCTTATAAAAAAACTATTGGAACAAGGTCCCTCTAGTAGTATAACTACTATGGATAATCGAGTGGGAGGAGGGACAAGGCGGGGTGGCTGCAACGTATTGTATTGACTATCGTATTGAGTGTGTCCAACTCAGGCTGTTGTGGTGGGTGTTATTGCCCACCGAGCAGTGCCTGCCACACCAGCATATCATGTGACTCCCAAGCACCTTCTACCCTGGACTGAACTCAGATATTCTCAACAAAAACCATACTTTCATATTGTGCCTAGAATGACTACCAAGTGAATGTACCTACGCGGCTCTACCGGACGTGCTACAATCTCAATATATCTCTACAGCATGTTCATGTATGACCTCGCAATACTCTCAGTCGTCACGCTCCATCACTTTCCTCGCCCTCACTTGATGCGCATCCTCAAACTCGTGGCAACCCCCTTTTCTCTCAGAACCTAAGCTACGACCGATCATTCTCAGCAAACTAGATATCGAATCAGCAAAAATCCCATAATCAACACATACGTTCGGTAACTCATACCTTATCGTTCCAGAACCCTCTAAAGTGTTTCTGCTCCCCCAACTCATTGATCTCCTTGATCTCTTTAGGCGTCAATTTGAACGTCATCGCCCTCAAGTAATCACTCAACCGTTGCTCCTTGCCACTCGTCGTCACAGGCACAATATCCTGATCAATGCACCACCTCAGGTAAATCTCGTTCTCGCTCACTGCGTACTTCTTCGTCAGCTTCTCGACGTAGTCGTCCAGTGGGCCAGGCTTTGCTTTGGTTGCTGCAGTCAGAGGTCCGTAGGCCGTTGTTGCAATCCCGTTCTGCTTGTGGAATTCCAGGAGTTCGTGGCGTTGGAGATAGGGGTGCAGTTCGATCTGGTTGCAAACGGGCTTTACTTTGGCCGTCTTGAGGGTTGCGGCTAGGTGGGTGGGCAGGTAGTTTGATACTCCGATTGATTTGGCGAGACCGGAGGCTTGGACGGCTTCCATGTCTGCCCAAGCTTTTTGGAGCTCGGCGTCCGAGTTTGCGAACCATGGGTGGTGGATGAGGTATCTTTTTGTTGATTAGCAGCAAACTCTCATTTGCAATCATCTTGGAAATCTTACAGGTCGACGTAGTCCAATTGTAACTTCTTCAGACTTGTCTTAAGCGCGCCGGCAATGTCATTGATATTGCCGTGCCACACTTTTGTTGTGACATAGAGTTTCTCGCGGGGAACTCCGCTCTCTTTAATGGCTGTTCCAAGCTCGGATTCCGTCTTGTATACTATGTCGCGATTAGAAAGATCTCTTTCACGTGCCTGTTATACGCACCCTCGGCACCATCAAGGTGTGTGTACCCCAACTTTGTCGCTGTTTTCACGGCATCAATAGTAGCTTGGTCAATCTTGCTCTCTTCTCCGTTCTTGAACCAAGCCGTCCCGGTTCCATAGCCCAACATTGGCATAGACGTGCCATCGTTGAGCTTGAGGTTCGGGATAGTGACGTTGAGGTTGGCCATGATCGCAAATGCTCGGGTTCGTCGTCTATCCAACTGGCAGATTTGGGATAAGGAAATACGCCTAGGCTTGGAGTAATGTTGAATGTGTGAATTGAGTCTTACGATGACCTTGAACATCAACTAAACAGGAGGAGGATGTGGAGCACGTTAGATAGCAAGTACGTAATGTGTATGAATACGCGTGTCCCGCAATGCGGAAGGTGGGGTTCAAGATTGGTAAGCGACATCATAACGAATGTGGTTCCTCATGATTTATCAGAAAACTATCACTTCATCGCAAAATGTGCCCGAAATCAGGAAAACGTTAATAATTCAATCAGCCTTGGGACTGTATCATAACAAGGCTCAAGCTAGCGATACCAACAGAAAGGGTCATATGCCCCGAACGCGCTGAAACCCTATATACACTATTCCAACACTTGACTAAGAGAACGCCAAACCGATACCCTGCGAATCCAGTCATTCACGATAGCGTAATGCTAGAAAGTGGCTTTTTTGACGTTAAAGGTGCGGGACGATGATACTATGTCGTCTTCTCATGTTGTGTTGACACTCGCTGTAATGATACAACTGCCCAAAGTCAGTAATTGCGCGCGCGATCGTCATGTTGTGTATACATCTGACTTACCAAAGTCTTCCAAATTCCGCTGCTTTTGCTTCCTCTTAAGAAGCTTTCCATGCATAAGGTTATCAAAGCCCTGACTCCCCTGTAGGATATAATATACTCCTGCCATGATGCAGAAGATGCCAAAAGAAAAGGCCCAAACCCGAACCACAGCGACAATGTTTGTCCTCCCTCCGACAAACCACCCAAAAATAGTAAAACATGTGGCGAGAACATCGACAACGAGGATGGCGCCAGCGAGCTGCCATGAGGGTATGGATGACCAGAACGGCCCGTTGGCGCGAGTGATGAATATGAGCCAGTTCTCAGTCAAGGTAATCTCAAGAAAGAGGATAGGGTCGCGTTGGCCATGGTTTTGAACAATGCCACCTGATACACCTTGTTGCTCGCCAGTAAGGTAAGGTAGCATAGTCGTCATGGTGATCCAAGTGCCTATTGCGAGAATCACTCCAAGCAAGATCGACATACCCCAAAGTTTGGGGAGATTCCACTTGACCGGAGTCTTGCTATATGGTGCGTTGTCGTAGGCGATAGCCAGCGTGGCTGTAGAAAAGTCAATGATTGAATGAGACGTAGCCTCTTTGAGACTAGGGGGGATTGTAGTGAACAAGTAGAGACTTGATCCATCGTCATGTCGCATATATTGATGCAATACGGTCTCGTGTAGAACTTACCTATGTCAGCGAAAATGGCGATGAACACGACCAACTGAAGGTTGAGACTTTCGTTCAGTATCGCGATCCAAAGGCCCAGAAAAATCTCAAGGTGTAATGATAGAGCGATGCGGTATACAACATAAGCGTACATGCGATGGAAGATCTGCCGGGATGTCTTCAAAGCGTCGATGATTGCAGATAAGCCGGGAGCAAGAAAGACAATATCTGCAGCCGAACAAGCTGCATCGGAGGCACCTTGCACAGCTATGCCAGTATCCGCTTTCTTGAGGGATGGTGCATCATTTACGCCGTCACCTGTCATGGCGACGAGATAGCCTCTCTGTTGTAGGATTTCGACGACGTTGTATTTGTGCTGGGGGAACACCTCGGCAAAGCCATCTGCGCCCTCAACGAAATCGTAGAACTCTGAGCCAGGCATTTCACCGCCTCCGCTCAGACCCAGCTTCTCAGCATCAAAGATGTTTGTGCCTATGTGGAAAGTCAGTCATGATGGCTGTGGTTGGCACAGATCGCTTACCCAAACCGAGCTGGCGTGATGTTTCTCGAGCGATACCAACGGCATCGCCAGTCAGCATTTTGATTGAAAGACCCAATGATTTAGCCTCGTTGATAGTACGATACGTGTCGTGCCTCGGTGGATCCGAGCAAGGCATGATGCCCAAGATTTCCCACGAAGAATCCTCTCGTTTGCGAGCAACACCAAGTGAGCGAAAGCCGCGCGTAGCGAACTCTGCAACCTTGTTCTTATAGGCCAAATCGACGTGTTCAGGGATTTCGCCATCTTCCTCAACAGTCCGGAGGACAAACAGGGGCGCACCTTTAACGCATGTTATGCGCTCACCTTGAGGTGACTCGACGACCGCTTGAACCTTCTTGGACACTGGATCGAATGGATGAAAGTGAATGACCTTGTACTTGCTCAGCACATGCTTGGCACGTGGGTAGTACCTCAGGGACTTGAGGAAGGCTTTGTCGATTGCGTCGATGCCTTTCTTCTTGCGGGAAGCAGCCAAGCAAGCTGTGAGCATGAGATCCTCTGGATCTACGCCAGGTACTGTATAGGGCTCGGCCAAAGAAAGCTTGTTCTTGGTCAAGGTGCCAGTCTTGTCGGAGCATAGTATCTCAACGCCGGCTAGTGATTCGATCGCGGAGAGCTTCTGTACAATGGCTTGCTTCTTGGCCAGATAAGCGGCACCCACGGCCATTGTCGTTGTCACAACAGCTGGGAGGCCCACTGGTACGCCAACTATAGTGATCGCGAGCGTGAATCGGAGGATTTTGACGATGTCGTTTGAGCGGTAAAATGAGCTTATCCAGACGACCAAAAGTGACACAATGACAAGGACCAAGAGTATTGTACCGATATCGTGGAGGACCTGTGTGAAGTGACCGGGCCCGCTCGACGCGCTGGCGACCAGGGAGGCTGCGCGCCCAACAAAAGTCGAGTCGCCCGTGGCTGTGATGACGACGAAAGCCTCGCCGCGCTTGACTGCTGAAGAGGCATAACATGTATCTCCTCGGTGTTTGTCAACGGCCAACGACTCTCCGGTAATGGATGACTGGTCGACTTGTACAAAGGCGTTCTCGGTGACGATGCGTCCATCTGCCGGAACAATGACACCCTCTTCGACATGTAGGATATCGCCAGGTACCACTTCAGCTGCTTCTATTTCGATCAGAGAGCCGTCACGTAACACAGTGGCCTTGAGGGCGAGCGTTTTCTTCAGCTCTTCAACAATCGACCCGGCCTGGTACTCTTGTATGAAGCCGACACTAGCGTTGAGGAGAAGCAAACCGCAAATGACACCGAAATCAACCCAGTCTCGGAGACCGGCTGCTAGGATTGCAGCAGCTTCCATGACGAATTGAATGGGACCAACGAAGAACATGAAGAATTTGATCCAGTTGTTTGTCGTCTCCTCCTTCATCTTGTTCTCGCCATATTTCTTCCGCCGTATCAGTACCTCGGCTGACATGAGGCCAACGCGTGTGTCTGTTTGGAGAAGATCCTCTGGTATTAGTCGGGCGCCCCCCGGCTGCTGCACTTCTTCCTCTTCGTAGTCTGCATTTTCACCATCTTGTGATTCCAGGTCTTCAATGAGTTGGTCTATATCTTCATCCTCCTCTTCCTCTAGCTCGAAGCCGTGTGTGTGGATGTTCTTTTCTTGAAAATGATACTTATCGTACGCATGACCATTGGATACATTGATGTCGTCGCGGTCTGGCGACGAACCACTCCTAGACTGCGCCAGGTCAGCTCCGACAAGGGTGGGGTGACACGCGACATACCTCGGACATGATAATCGTGGTGTGGCTGGTCTAATGGATATTGATGCTTTGCGATATTGAGATGTAGGTCATGGAATGTAGCCAAAATGGGAAGCAGGATGTTTTGTTGTTTAGAATATCACAAGCGTCTTTCCATAGTGCAGGTGCGTGTGGTGGTGTTTATGGGCGCAAGTAGTGTCGCAATGGCTGGCATGTACGCTAGAATCCGTGGAAAGTACTATGAGGCATCACTGTCCAGGCGCAGACTCGAAGGCGCGTAGAAACGAGCCCGTACCGCACGTGGCCAGGTAAACTGGCGCGAAAGGGACACTGTCGCAACCGTGATAGGTTAGGTGGTAAGAGGCAGCGGTTTTGGCTAATGTGGGTGCAAGACGCCTCGATTGCGGAGTAGTCCAGATATCGGAAGTGGCACAAGACACACGAGGGCCACGGACACAAAGATGCGCAGAACAAGCGTGAACCAGTGGCGGACTCTGGGCCTCCCAAGGGGTCACGTCGAGAAGTTGTTGCCAAGACAAAAGTCGCCAACGCCGTGGGTTGAGAGCTGCGGTTCCCCGGTTGATCGCCTAATAAGGTGACGTCCTGGCCTTAGTTTATTTGCGCAATCTGCCCGAGCCCGCATCGCGTGCATCTGGTTATGGAAATACGGGGCCACTCGTAAATCGCAACCCAAAACGAGCTTCATGTCTTTTCAGCCAACGCTGCATCGCAAATGTCGACTTGTGGTGGTGCTGCGCTCTGCTAACGACTTCGGCCAACGGCAGCTTGTCACGCCACTATTCCGGCGTCTTGTACGGTAGTAACATCTCGCGGCGAGTCTGGGCGTAAGCTAAGCGTTGCCTTATCTATCGCAGTGTGTCTAACTAGTCATAGATGACATTGCACAACCCTTCCAGCTTGATGATAGCCTGTGAGCTCTCTCATCGGGGATATGAAAGAGAGGTCGAGTTTCACCCCGGCGATGCGACCACAAAGAGCGACATCCGTCTTTTTGCGGACTAGACGCTTGGCTGATGCGTCGCTCAAATTGCGCGTAGGCCCGCCAGCTGCGAAAAAGATATTCCTCGACGCGATATGGACATGAGACGGCATTATGGAAAGTCTTGACTTAAGAGGATAGCTGGGTGGATATTATCTTATGATCATCTTAGCATAGCCGCATGCCTGTCCCGGTGGATGGAAGTCGTCGAGTGACCACCTAAACGCTTTGTGGGATCATCAATAGTTTGTTCTTTGCATGTTTTCAAGGCGAGCGTGGTTCATCCATCAGCGGCTTCTGTTGTGGTGGTCATCCTAGTGCCGAGACCGCCGCATATTGGTTGATAGAAAAGTTATATCTTTTGTAGCGTGTTATGGACGAGGATGGCAACCTAGTCTTATGATACATGTTTCGGCCTCCCTGATGAAATGATTAGCACTATTGTTGCCGCGTAGGTGAGGAGGAGAAATATACTTGCCGACGTATATACTCAGACTCCGCAACAATCAATCGGATCGGCATGATTGATTCCTATCTAGGTTAAAGGCTGCCTAATGAAGTAATTCTTTAACCTATATAGGAATCAATCATGTCAATCGATTGATTGTTGCGGAGTCTGTATATACTGCAATAGCAGCAAGCAAACTTGTCCCGGGGTTTGTCTATATTTTACTGTTAGAGACATTTTCGAGACGGTGAACTGACTATGATACTCACCAAGCCCAAAGGGTTTACTGACCACATAGTGGTGCACTGAGCTGGTACCTGAGGATATCTCAGAAATGTCCGCTCTTTCAATCCTGTAGATCTCATAGAAATGCAGAAAATCGTAGCGAGCTACTCGCCCGGTCGTTATCAGGTCCGAATGCCGTGGTTCTGCATTTGGGTTGAACAGACGAAAGGGGTTCAGTCGGGTTGCGAGGTAGTGCACGGCGCACTCCCTGTCTGACTACAGCACCACGCGTCTACACGACTTGACTAGACCATTTGGATCGAAACAAGTAACCATGAAGATTATATCGACGGAAAGAGTGATTTGATAGGAGTATGGACAGGTCTTTGAACGCTATACATCTCGATTTCCCCTAGTTGAGTCAGTCATTCGAGATGTTTTCAATCAAGGTATTGTCGTATAGTAGAATACGGGGATTGAGATAGTAGACATCCCGCATCCTACAACATGGAAATGGGTGATGTACTCAATTGTAGAAGAATCCAGGCTTCAGTACAGATACATGATATCCTCTTCCAAGACAACTACCACGACCGCTGCCCTACAAGTGACAAAAGCGGGCAGATGAAAATATACAACACCTAGACTGGAACACTAGTGATGACGTCGCTGCGCTATGAACTAATAGATACAACATGCATACTGAAGAAAGATATCACAAAAGACTAACCAACTCAGATCCTCAAACTACACGTACCCCAACTAAGTAGGTACCTAGGTACAATCCCCAATATCTCCGGGACTATACCCAAACACGTCTACAATAAGCGCCCAAACGCCCAGTGGGCATATACTTATGCACCAAAGCAGTAACCCGAGAAAGAAACAGTAACCCGGATACACCGCAAAGGTGGGCTGAACAAACAGTCAAGTGTGGCGGGGCAGCAGGCCTAGACTCAGAGCCACCTGCCGCATTCGACGACACCACCTCCCTCCCTCTCCATATCAGCCTCAGATCTCACATCTCAAAGACTGGGAAATAAACGTGCAGTGGAGTAGTATGTAGACCATGATATATTCGGCTATGGACCTAAAGCTTTCGTCTGAGCTATGTAACCACCTACCCAGCCTGGTTGGTACAAAACTCAAATGTCGTTGTAAATGAGACCACCTGCGCCGGAACCCCACCGTATGCAATGAAGTGGAATGGAAATGAGATATGAGTTGTGAGAAAATCCGGAGACGTTGCTTTTCCCGTGTGACATGCCGAAAGGGATCGTGTGCTGTAGTATTGATTCGAAGAGTGAGTAAGAGTGTACCGTAGTCATGCGACGCCGATGGGTAAGAGAGGCGGCCGGGAGTTGTTCGGTAGCTTCTGTTACTTGGCTTTGTCGCAGTTCCCAGGACGGAATTGAACGGACGTTGAGTGCTGGGGTTCAGCTGCGGTCAGTGACTCTGAGACACCATACATGGCAACACCATAAACAACACAAAGTAGATAGCGACCTCGCGCAACAAACAAAAAGAAGATGAAAAGAAATCGAAAGCCTGCTTTCCTTCAAAACTCGTCAATATCGTAGTAGTCATCGAAACCATAGGGTGGACGTCGTAACTGAGGTTTCGCCCATCCGTTGCCTACATCATCTTCGTCCTTTTCGGCATCTAGCGGCGTCCACACAATGACCTTCTTGCGAACCCGCCAGCTCCTCTTGCTGAATCGTAACTTCATGTCCCGCTCCTTGCCGTAGCCGGGAGATTTCTGACTGACATCGACGTTGTCGCCGCGCTTCACCACGACTAGGAGCGCCCTGCGGGAACCAGGACCTCTTGTCAGCTCTTCGTCGTCGACCCGGCCAAAGTCCTTGAGCTCGTGGTCTTCTGGGTTTTGTTCAAATATCTCACGTCTCTCTGGGTCAAGGACAGATAGGAAGTCATTCTCTTCTGTCGCCCTGAAGACTTGGACGGATGAGCCAGAGCTCTCTCCATCTCGGCTTACGAGTCGCTTGTTCCAGAATCGCGGCTGGGGTTGACGACATATGTCACCCGTCTCGCGTGAGCCATGGCTTCGAGAGGGACTGAAGCCGAGCATACTTGAGTTGCGGGTGACATAGCGAAGCTCCTTCCATCCATTACCACGGTTGACAAGGTTGGTAAGGGCGTCGTACTCTGGTGCAGCAGGCGCAATAGCAATGATAGTCAGACAGTCCAGGCGGAGAGCGGGGAGAAGTTGAAAGATGGACTCATGGCGATACATGAGGTCGTCGAAGCCCTTGAGGTAGCGCATCATGGGCGAGCCGATAAGTCTTAGATGGCGGATCCTGGCCACGGTAGACTCTGGCATGTCGGAAAGCTTGTTCAGCATCGTCTGGGGGTCTTCAAAGTTGAGCAAGACACGCTGCAGCCACATGTCGCGCGTCTCGATGTAGGTTTGGCGGCACACTCGCAATAGCGCCAACGAATGTGGGGCTGGCTTGAGGTACCGCTCGCCGTAGCGGGGTGTGTATCGTAGGCCGAATGTCAGCCTCGTCGAGTTGAAGACCAGCTCCCAGATCTCGTCGCGAAGCTCCCGCGGCAGCTGCAGCAGCCGGCTACCGTCGTTCATGCGGAAGTGGTGTTCGTACATTTTGATAGAGCGTAGTGAGGGTTGGCGGGGCGTGTTGTACCATCGGCAGCGGCCACTCCTGGGCGGGATGAAGTAGTCTTCGTCCTGGATCATCATCTTGACAAATTGCAGCCTGTATGCAAGTCGAAAGGGATCGTAAAGAGGCGACTTTCCTTTGGGGATTGGCCGGATGATAACGCAGTGGGTGGTGTTGAATTGCCAAGCAGAATCCCGAGTATCCGTCACGCGACACTCGATTTGTCGTCTGGTAAGTTTATCTCGACTCAGCCACCTTCCATCTCCACCAAGTCGGGACCGCCTACTCCACTCTTATATCTCGACTCTCCCAATACCGTCAAAATGCCTCGTGCCCGAAATCCCGCATTATCGCCCGTCGCCGTCACCGTCGCTCCCTGATTGCGACTTCCCCGGCCGAAGACGCCAGCTCCACATGCTGCGTCATCTGTGTCTGCCGGCTGCAAGGAATCCCCCCCAGTGATGGTCTCCAAGCGTGTCTCTAGTACGCGTCTTGCATGTTTTCACGGCGCCGAGAGCACGCCAAAATTTGTGCTTTGCCAATGCTAAGCAAAAAGCAGCATCCCAGCTGTGTTTACAGGTTCAGCTTTGCATCCCACGCCCTGCCGTTGCAGACATGCCAACATGGTAATCCCTTGTAGCCCGCTGATCCATTCCGGTCACCAATGCCCTGCCAAGCATCTCCACATTCAACGAGCTCTCTCCTCAACGCTATGCCTTATTGATGGCTACATTCCGATCTCATGCTACCGAGGCTGTAAGCCTATAATGTATACAAGCGAGGCCTGCCACCGGGACAACTCGGACGCCATTTCCACAACCGCCGGTACCTCCTTGGACCGAGCATGGCACAACACTACGGACAGGAACTATCGAGTGTGGGCCTATTGTGTACTCGGCTGTCTATTTCTGCACCCGTTAGACTACATCTCCAGGCCAACTATTATGACGTCTTTGAAATCTCTCCAAAACATGTTGGGTCCTGTACCTACCGGCTTTTGCAGGCTGAGCGCCCTCGGGTCAAAGTTAGCACTACCGACGCAGCCTACGTTCTGGACGCCGTATCGAAGATGTGGGGGCCCCATTTGGATGTCGAGACCGTCGCTTACACTTACGTCAAAATGCTCTCTCGTCGGCAAGGCGGTCAGCTATCTCGGTCCATGTACACCTGTCGGAAGCCGTTGCGTCTATGAGACAACATGGTCACGCGCAGTCACATGCACCATCGGCAACGGTCTTCTATCAGGGTATAGCAGCAACCCTGGTGGGCTGACCTAACGCGACTGCCGCGACTCCACCGTGTTTGTTAGTTGCCAATTACGAAAATTCATGGTTAGTGAGTACCCGCATTGTGTGATGTTGGTCCGGCCTTCCTGGTCCTTTTGGGATGTAGTCGGTGACAATGCATATACATTGGCGCGTCAAGTAGGTACTTGGAGTAAAAGCGAATGAAGACAGCACGGCTGCATAGGCCGAGCAGAGTACCGCACGAAATTTCAAGGCCCATTTTACTCTCGTTGTTAAAGCACGGTTTTTTGCTACCAACTCGTTTCTCATTGTCTGGGTCTCGGTAAACTTTGCATGAGTGAGCGAGTGAATCTGTCACACGTCAGGTTGGCTAGTCGCCCGAGTTTTACCATGGCATGGGCCTAATGTCTATCCGTCTCCTTTACTTGCGCCTACGCTGTGCGTAGACGTGCCACTGTCATGTAGCGAATGCAATGTCTTCCAATTTTACCAGTTGCTTTGATGTCACAATCTGGGATATCGTGGCATGTCTGTTTCGTGACTTTTTCGTCATTTCAATCATTTCAAGGAGCATTGGCTACTGTTTCACGTCCTCGTTTTCTTTTTGTAATATGTCATGCGCCGACTAACGTTGTTTCCGACATGTGACAGCGACAGCGACATCCGGGCTGAGTAATCGAACCGTCACCTACAACAACTTGGTGCCACTCACTACGGACATGGCGACTTGTACAACATTGCGCAGCATCTACATGCATGTATCATCATTGCCTTAGATGAACAACATCATGCATCACACCATCGACATCTTCCTCAAGCATCGCCACAAGGACGAAGACTCAATGAAAAAAAAAGTGTACCATGTAGGATTTTTCAAAAATTAGATGACACCCAGATCCCCTCGAAAGGGAGTCTGTTGAAGAGGTACTCTTCACCGAGCAAGGCCGAAGCCGAACAAGAAGTGTCATCTTGGGTTTGGCACAAGGGCAAAGGGTTCCAAAATTTGTACGATACCCCCAACCCCCGAAGGAGTTCTCTGAATAAAGAGTATCGTTCCTTGACCTGCCCGTAGGGGACATTTGCCGCCCCACTGCAGTAGAGGTGTCCATGGGTCAAGGATACAAGTCTGACTTCATTCGAAGAGAAGGCAAGACAGGTTGTGGTAGCCATCAGCTGCAAGCAGCTCATGGGACCGGACGCAAATTACCCTATATTGGGTTGAGTGGGGTGGCTGAACATGCTAGTAGAGCCAGGGCCTTGAAGGGCCTGTCAGGTTCGCTCGGAAGCAAACCAACATCTGTGGCCATCCTCCCGTCTTAGCAAGTGCTGCCTACCGCGGCCATTGTAGTGTATGAGGCCAACCATCCACGACTCCGGTGGGGGCAGTTGCAGTGCATAGCCCAGAGGGAAGTTACCCACCAGCATGTCCAGGGTCACGGGCCAGTACTCGTTAGTTTCCAACGCGAAGGTGGAGATCAAGAGCTCCAGAGCCTGTTGAAGGCAAAGAAAAACGGACTTACTGTTTGGAGACCGCCCCTCGAAGCGAAGAGAAGACGACAAAGGAAAGAAAGCGAAGGGAGGGAAGCGAAGGGAGGGAAGCGAAGGGAAGAAAGTAGGTGAAGAAAATTAGGCAGTGGGAAGGCGAAGGGGAGAAAGAAAGAAGAAAGTGGGCAGGGCAGATGCTAAGAAGGGGGTTGGGGGTTGGGGGATGGGTGTGGGAGAGAAGGTAAGAAAGAGGGAGAGCGACGGTATAAGTAGTCGGCGGCTGCGGACGCCAAGGCTGCAGCCTGGGCGTACACGTGACGCGATTTCGTGGAACAATCGTGGAATTCGAAAGAAAGCGTGGGGCCAATGGGCGGGCAGGGTCTAGAGAGAGAAAGTGAAGGTGAAGGCGAGTCTGGGGCGCACTCCAGGCACCACCTTGACGAGCGCGGCTAAGAACTCGGAACATCAAACTGGCAACAAGAGACAGATGCCGTGGGGGGCGCGATTGCAGATTCGGAGGTATTGTTCAGTGTTTATGCTTCCATGAACAAGCGCGCAAGTACGTAAAGAGATCACTTCGCGGACGCCGGTAAGCTAGAACTCCTTGTACATGCTACAGATGCTAGGACACGTGTTTGACATGAACAGAAGCTGCCGCCTAGCTCGCTATACCGCTGCGACTTCTCAAAAGGACAAAAGTTTATACCCAGCCCACGGCGTACACACAACAGAAACCATGACCGCCACACCAACCTCGAACATGGCGCAAACCATCAACCTCTTATCCATGCCCACCGAGGTGCTCGACGAGATTGCGACATTGCTTCCTCGACCAGCACTTCATGCCCTCGCCCTGACTAGCAAGAAGACGTACAACTCGGCCGTGGATATGCTGTACAAAACCTATCTAAACCGTACCAAACCTGCCAAAGCCCCTTTCTACCTCTTTCTGCGTACCCTATGCGAGCGTCCTGATCTTGCGGCCAAAGTCAAACGTGTGGATATCCGCGGCTGGCGGTCAGAGTATGAAGTGGTGACTGGAGCTGCATGGAGGGGTGTGAGAGAAGTCAGGCCCACCGACCACGTCGAGCGAAGCGGCCCATCCTTTTCGAGTACTGAGAAGGCTGTACGTGGATCGAGTTCCGACAGACTCAAGCTGTTCTCCGGAGCTGCTCTCAAGGCTGGAGTGATCGCAGAGCCCGCACCGCCCACGGTTCTGGCACTGAAGTCGAGCGTCGTATGGTACTCAACTCTCAGGGACGACGATGATTTCAACCGGCTGCTTGTGCGCGGCGTGGAAGATGCGCACGTTGTCCTCATGTTGGCGCTGCTCCCCAACTTGAACGACCTCTTTGTTGATGGCTTGAGCCCATTTCCGCTACTCGACTGGCACACGTTTCTCTCTCGCTCCACTACGATGCCGCTCTGCAGGCTGTCATGGTTTCGCATCTACGGGTCTATCAACACTATCTCCGAGCCCATGGTCAAGAGCAGTCTTCAAATCCTGGACATGATGCCCGACCTCCAGAAGCTTCGTATGAGCGAGATGGCCATTGGGGAACACAGTCTTGCATCCCACCGGACCCTGCCCTCTAGGAAGCTAAGGAATGTAAACTTTCGTCAGTGCGGCGTGGACGTTCGACTTGTTCAAAAACTCCTAGATGGCCAGCAGCTGCACCATTTCATCTATGTGCCTGACTGTGTACACTGTGATGAGACCACAGGAGGGTATGTTGGCTTGAAGGATATCCTGACGCCACTTGCCTCATCAAACACCACGCTCGAGAAACTGGTCCTATTCCCATGGACGCCGGATGAACAATCGTCCCTGTTCAAGTACGAAAAGCTCAAGGAGTTGGAGATACCTATGGGTGTGTTGAACATACCAACAACCGAACTGGACCCTGAAGAGATCAAATCTTTTCTTCTCAAACAGTTCCCACCCACCATGGCCACACTTTACCTCCGCTACTTGAGCTATACTAGGCAGACCAACATCGTCCTGGAGCAGCTTGTTCGACTTAAGGAGGAGGGTTTTCTACGAGAGCTTCAAGGTGTACGTCTGAACTTCTTCAGACTTCTGACGCCAATGAACCCCATGGTAGTTGATATTCTGGGCCAGATCCTAGTAGACACTGCTGTTATTCCAGTAAAGCCCAAGATCATGGCAGACTTTGGGAAGATGTTTGAGGGAGCTGGCATGATACTGAAAGTGCACCAAAGCGAGCAATCACACACGTTTTGAAAGTCACAAAAGTGCCATGACCAGAGTACAGGATTCTAGCTGCACAGTAACTACGGTTTGGGAAATGCATTTAGGATTGTCAGGCACCACTTCCCGGAGATATGCGGGTTGAGGAGTAGTCCACTATAGTAGGATTCAATGACATCATGGTCGCAAAGACGTGTTCCCGATGCCCCACCATATCCTTTCAAGTCCATTCAAGTGAGATGCGCACTGTGCACATCCCACGGAACGTGCGGCTTGTGTTCGCGCTATGGAGAAGTTCATTGGCATCATTTTGCAAACGCTCAAGACGCACGTGGCGCCTTACCCAGATGCAGTCGCCATGATGACGCGCAATCGAGTGAACCTGAAGCTCCCCCCGCGCGTAACGTCTTAGGTCATTAGATGACGACCCCGCCGCCATCAGGCTTAAGTTTCATTGCGAAAAACATCTTGTGATACGTAAATCACTTTTCTATTCATACCCTACGTACAATCCTGATTCCTTGAACATCCAACATGGCCGACTTCGCACCCCCACCAGTACGTACTTGGAAACAACCATGATTGCCTCCGCCGGCGTCGCATATGCACAGCTAACATAGTTGCGCAGGGACCTCCCCCACCAAAAGTACCAGAAGGCTGGAAAGCCGTCTGGAACGCACAGTACAGCGAATGGTTCTACGTCAACACCTACACCAAGCAGTCGCAGTGGGAACAGCCCACGCAGCCCGCCCACGCACCTGGCGATGCGCCACCTCCAGGCGCTCCCCCGGGCTATTCACACCCCGGCAGCGGAGCCGTCGGAGGCCAATCCACCGGCGCAAGTGAGAAGGGCAGCTTCGGCAGCAATAACCCGTACGCAAATATAAGCGACGACGAGGCTTTTGCGAGGAAATTACAAGAAGAGGAGAATGCGCGTGCGAATGCTCACGCTGATGCTTCGCGCGGTCAGTCAAACGACTACTACAACAACCAGTCGGGTCAGGTGCAACCACCACAGTATGGCGCTTATGGCCAGCAGAACCCGTACGTCCAGGGACAGTACCAGGAGCAGCAAACACAGGATAAGAGTAGTAGCAAGGGTAAAGGCTTTCTAGGCAAACTTCTCGGCAAGGCATCTGGCTCGTCGTCGTCGCATCAACAACCACAGCAGGTCGGATACGGCCAGCCGGCGTACGGTCATGCGGGCGCAGGGGGTTACTACGGCGGTGGACACGGTCAGCCTATGGGTGGCGGTATGCCCATGGCCGGAGGCAGGCGTCCGGGAGGTGGCGGCATGGGAATGGGTGGTATGGCTCTTGGAGCTGGAGGTGGTTTACTAGCCGGTGGGCTCATGGGTTCTGCAATGGCTGGTGATGGTGGCGATACTTATGTCGAGAACAACTATGGTGATGACGGTGGTATGGACGGAGGCGATATGGGCGGTGGTGACATGGGAGGTGGGGATATGGGCGGTGACATGGGAGGAGGAGACTTCTGAGCGCGCCTTTTCCTAGCACCTATTCCTGTGTTTCCTTTGTGGCGGTTTAGATATCATGGGTTTCCTTTGGATACGATCGAAGTGGGTTAATGTAATGACACTCCCTCGCGGGAGGACATAGTGCCGGAAGAACATTTCTCGAATGCTCAGAGTAAAACAGCACTTGCTGAAGGAGTGCTTGATATTCATCTTTTTGCCGGTGCAGTAAGTTAAAGTTAAGCCATAGATATCTCTCTGCTCAAATTGCACCACTGTGCCGCTTCCAACACAGCTCCGTTCGGATCTAATAGCGCAGTAAAACTCCTGTCCATCATCCTACTTGTCAACCCATCATTTGGAATTCGAGAATCTTCATCTTGAACTCATCACCAACACTGCATTTATCCTTTACAAAAGCCTCAAGACGACACAAGATTTCTAACAACTTCAACTCTATCTCACAACACTAACAACTAGCATCTCCAACACTCACTTACCCCATCAAACCCCAAACTTCCTCGGATCCAACCCCCCAATCTCCGCACTCCTTGCCTCGCCCTCCCACACAATCTCACTCAACAACTTCCCCGTCGCAGGCCCATTCTGAATCCCCCAACACGTATGCCCAGCCCCCATCAACAAGCCCTGCACACTCGTCTTGCCCACCAACGGACCCCCTCCTCTCCCTCTACTTACCTCGGGCAAATAACACGCCTGCTTCGCCGTAACCTCTCCATCTCTCAGTTCCTCAGAGACGGAAGCTACCTGCTCGAAAATCTCGTCACAACGACTTTCATCGCATGCAACGAGGTCGGAGGACGTGGGTAAGGGAACGAGGTGATCGCCTGAGCCGCAGGCGTAGACTTCGTTGTTGGGCCGGGCGTAGATTTCCGGTGTTACGGTTTCGCCGCGTTTGTTGGTGGGGCTGGTGGGTAGGGTGATGGAGGTGAAGAGGGCGTAGGCGGAGACGGGCCGGGAGGGCCGGATTGTTATACTATGGGCGCGGAGGGCGGAGATGGGTGAGGGGGACCAGATTGTTTGTGTCCAGGGGCCGGCGGTTAGGATGACGGTTGTTGCGGGGAGGGTTTGGATTTGTTCCGTGTCTGAGTCTTTGGGCTTGTAGGATACGGATGTTACCGTGTTGTTACCATCTTGGTTGATACTTGTAGCGGACCCAAAGAGGATTCTCACACCGCGTTCCTCGGCGAGTTGCGCCATGCTCGTAGTAAAAAGATACGGATGTACTTGTGCGGTCGTAAGCGGTGTACCCATTTCCTCGTACGATTGCATGCCTTCTGCAGCCACCCAGTCTAGATCTTTCGGTACGCCGGCTGCACGCAGTAACGACATTGCTTTCTGGGTTCTTTTCTGCAAACTCACATGGTTACTTTTACCATTCACATCACCATCCCCTTCTTTGCTGCTCTTCTTGGCTAACACTCCGTACATGTCAACTTGACCACAATGCACAGCGCGGTAGCCCCAGCGCTCAGCGCCATTGTGTTTGGAAGCTAGCTCTTGGTGCAGTTTGTAACTAAGTGGTACAATGCAACTTGGGTACGCCCAGAGGCCTAGGAGGCCGCCGGCTTTTCCTGAGGCGCCGCCTGCGACCTTGGTGGCTTCTAGGAGGGTGATTGTGTCGGTTTCTTTGTTGAAGGCTGGGTGGTGTGAGAGAAAGTAGGCTGTGGTTGAGCCAATTATGCCGCCACCTGGACTATCTTAGCAAAAAAAAACCCCCGACTATGAGATGATTGACGAAGAACTTACCGATGATTACAATGTTGCGTTTTTGTGATTCGGTCGACATGATGTTGGCTAGGCGTGAAGTTGCTCTTAGCATGGAAATGTTGGTGAAGTTGGATGTGTGGCGTTGATGGTTGACACTTTTCGGTCAGAATTGTACCGATTTATTTAGATACGTCATAGTTAGTTTCCATGTCCCATGGTTGATCTGCAAAACACGGCTACAATCCTATGTAGATTTACGTAGCATGTGTCATTGGCAAACTTATGTGTAACTAGTGAATGACCTGGATTAAGATTCGACAGCTTGGAAGGTTGACTAAATTACCAAATCCAGTCATCTCAACCAACACATCTGATAACGTATCCAACCCTCATACTCTACAACTCCCACAGACATCAAAACCATATCTCCATCCTTCCAAACAAACATTTCCCAGGCTACACCATCACAAACGCCCACAAACACACACACACATCAAACATGCAACTGCTCAACTTTCCCATTTCACTCAAACGAACCAACCTCTAGGAATGAATCTATCAATAAACACCCCACCTCAAAAATGCCCTACCCTACCCTACCCTACCCTACCGAAAACACTCCAGAATTTTTCCTTTTTGTCTCAATTCAACCAGATCGAGAAGAAGAAGTGCCGGCCGGTCAAACAAACACCCCATTCGATAATAGCTCTCCAAACCCGCTCACAACAAACCCCCACGAGCCAATGCCGCCCTCCCTCTCAAATATCATCCAAATCCTCTTCCATGGATTTGCTCTTCTTTCCATCACCATTCAGCCTATCCATCTTGACGTCCTCATATCTCCTAGTACTGTTTGAATCACCACTACCGCTCATAGCCATAGCCTGACGACCGGCATCGGAATTCTCCAGAAAAGCGCGAAGACGCTCTTTGCCGACTTCGAGACCTTGCTGGCTGGCGGCGTTGGCGACGCGCATGATGGGGCCCCAGAGGTTGAGCGTGTAGGTTACGTAGGCGGCGACGGCGAGGAGGATGAGGAAGATGAAGTATATGGGGTTGCGTAGGACTGTCATGGGTTAGAATTATAGTTATAGGGCTTTGGGAAGCGGTACTTACCGGCTACTATCTCGTTCCACCCCAGAGCAAGCATTGCGGGGTATAGCCAGAATGGAATTTGAGAGAGTCCGCCAATGGCACCACGCTTGGCTTCGACGTAGACGCCATCGGCGGTCTTCTTGAACCGGACGAGTAGGTCGGCTTGCTTCCCGTCAGATAGGATAGTCATCTCGTCTTCTAATGTCTTGTCCTCGTCGTCATCTACGCCGCCGATGGGTGAGAGATCCTCCTCATCAGCGGGCGAAACTGAAGCGGGCGCTTCGCCGATCCACGCATCAAGCGGCGGTGGCTTGGAAGTCTTTGCCAGCTTAAAGTGTGCGAGAAGAGGAATGACGGTAATGGTGGACTCGCGGGCCTTTGTGTACAAGCCATCAATGTCATCCGTCGGACGCCATATTCTCGGCACACCCAGATCGTCGTAGCGGAACTTGTCTTCAAAGTTCTCCCGGAGCTTCAACAGAATGTTACCCTCCATGACCTCCTCGTCAATCTTTGCACGGAGTACACCCCAAGACTTGCGTCGTAATCTCCATAGACCAACCTCAACCTCGTCGGCACTAGCGTCGAAGCTGGATGCTCGGTCCGTGAAACGCTTCTCGGCCATCTTTACAGTATCGGTGAAGATTGTCCAGACACGGTCCCAGAGATCCTTCTCTGTTGGTGGTCGATCGCCATGCTCGGGCGCTCCAGAACCACCTCGACCGGATCCGAGCTTGTTGAATTCCAGACCAATTGACTCGTCTAAACGAGTGCGCACCCAGCGTTCGATTCTGGTGGCTAAGCGTCTCATTTCCTCTTTGCGGAGGCGACCTGACACGTCATCTAGCTCCTTCTTGTAGATTTTCAACTCGTTCTCGTGACTACTCCAGGCAGCGCCTTCAATGGCCATAGCTGTCGCATCCTCTTCAAATTTGGTCAGAGCCTTCTTCTTTTCAGAGTCGACAATCTGTGCAAAGTCGTAGGATGCATTCTTCTTCTGGCCGTTCTTCACCGCCGCACTGACGGCTTCGGTAAAGCCTTCTATACCAGACTTGTGAGCGGCCGTGAGTTGCTTCTGGAACAGTGCCTTGAGCCGCGTATCAACCTTGCCCTCGAGTTCTGCTTGCTTCCGCTTGTAGACGCCCTTGTGGTACCGGCTCGCATTCACATCAAAGTCTTTGAGAACCTTTTGCCGCGCAGCATTCATCTTGGGCCCGAGATCCGGGATGAGAGAATGTGTGCCTGCCCGAGCATCTTCAGCCTGCTTGTCTTCTAGAGGTGTAATCGTCTCATCAAACGCCACCTGGACCTCTCTCGAGATCTCGTCACATCGAAACTGGGCGAGGAGTTCTTGCTGTGTGGGTAGATCCAGGTCCTTGTTGTTCACAATCTGATCCCACACGCCCTCGGCGTATGCGGAGAAACCGTCTGCGGGGATGCGTCGGTGGTACTGGGGTAGGAAGATGGGTGCCGTAGCCTCGTCAATGAGGCCGCTCTTCCGCGGGTCATTGTATCCCTCCTTGAAGCGAGTGCTGAGCTGTGTAACGGCCTCGTCAAACTTTTCGGGTTGTAGGATCTTGTGTGGCAGTGCGACAAAGGCGAAGTCGAAGTAGTCTTCTATCCGCGAGTTCTCAAGCCCGGCCGGCTTCGAAATGGTAGACCACAACTTGGACAGGTCCTGTACGAGGGTATTTTGAAGGTTCTTGAGGGGTGTGGTGCCGAGGTGATCGCGGATAACGAAGAAGAGGAGGGATCGAGGGGTGGATCTGAATGGCGGTCAGCGTGCACGATATCCCACTTCGGCCGGCGCACTCACTGGCTGTCCTTGACGAATAACTGCAGGTTGACCTCGAAGACGGTTTTGAGCAGCCCCATGTTGGCACCCTGGTACAGACCAACCTGATGTTCCCAAATGTTGACGATCAAAACCTCGCTGGTGGCAAGCGCAAAGAGGGCGCTTTTCCGCTCAAAGTCTTGGTCCTCTCCTCGCTCTCTACCGTCTGTGCCCTCGACGTCCATAACGAGGATGTTCTCGGCCATGCTAGAGCCGCCCGACTCCCGCTTGTTCTTGCTCATCCAGATTCCCTTTGTCGTCTGCCGGCGCTCTTGCTCGGACATGACGCCGAACTGGGTGCCGAAGAGGTGGTTGAGGAGCGTGGATTTGCCCGTTGACTGCGAACCGAAGACGGATATGAGGTGGTAGTTGAAGCCGGCCGGAATCACCTTTTCGATGTTGAGATATGTAGATACGTTTCCGCTGTACGGCGAGCATATATTAGCCTTTTGCCCTCTCACCCACATTGCCTACCCCTCTAAACAGTGTCCGGGTACCTACTTGAACATCTTGTCCTCGTCAATGACCTGGATACCGTGTTCATAGGCAGCATTGTCGGCGTTGTCGCCCACGCCGGCGAAATGCGCATTCATCATGAGAGACGGTGAGGTGTGGTGTTTGACGTTACTGGGACGGCCTTGGCCATTGACCTTGAGAAGTTCGTCGGCCATGATGGCTTAATCGTACAGGCCAGCCAAGGGAATTGCACGTGGTGCGGGAAGGGTAACGGCGGTGTTAGGGGTGAAAGCTGGCCGTTGATGTCACAGGCCGGCCCGCTGCTAGAGCGACTCGCCGCCATTCGTTGCTGCACCCTGGCCTGATGCTCGCCTAGCCGAGATGGTGGTTGCTGCCGTACAAATGACGGCCAGGTGCATCATTCACTCTGCACACCTGCAAGCTTTTGAGACAATAACGCCCTGTTGTACCCAGCTGCACCACGTTGAGCACATGTGTCTTATCCTGTCAGTGAGTCTGGCTGTCAGTCAGGCAACCTTACGCGAGAGGGGTCATGTCTTGGCATCGCAAACTCCCAAGTTCTGCCATCACAACTTGAGATGCAATAATTTCGAAAACGAGCGTATTCCGAGGGATCATCGTGAAAGGGCCTTGTCGAATCTTGAATGAAAAGGAGCCTCTGTGCACATGTACCAGATGAGGACTATTTATGCGTATCAAATTTCTGCATCACGAGGTACACGAAGATCCCCATCAGCCTCCTCAGCAGCGTGTCATGGCTCAAAACTTCCTATACCCCTTCCCCCCGCTTACCATATCACCACTGATCTTGTTAATCTCCTCGCTGTTCTTGACCCAAGCCTTTGTCGCATCTTCCCACGCACCGTCTCCAAACTTGCTCTTACACCACTCCAACACCTTCTCCGCCTCCTGCCTAATCTTCTTCTCAACCATCTCCCCCTCATCTTCCTTCTCAATTTGCTTTCTACCCCGAAGCGCTTCAACAGCGTCAATAAGAGTCAGAGGATCCTCATCACCGTAGACGAATTTGACTAGCGATGAAGACGCGTGAGAACTGTTGCCAACTTGCTCTGCGATCTCAGCATCCAATCTCAGACCCTCTTCCTTCTTTTTCGGCTGATAGCCTTCGCATGCGTCGCAAACATCGCTTATCCACGCTCTTGCGTTGTTGAAGTCGCCCTCTGCGCGATGCAGAATGCCGTGGAGCAGCATCCCCTCCACAGCCGGTGGAGCCTGCATGTGCCTGACTAAAAAGTGGGCAGACGGTAGATCATGGTTCACGATGTGTAACAGAGCCTCGATTGCGGGGTGGGCGTGCAAGTCTGCGATGGTGGCTGTGAGTCGAGCGTCTTGAGCTTTCTTGGGTGCGTGGATGAGGTTGGTATTGGAGATGAGCATGCGTGTTATCGAGTCCAGTGTCTGAGGGATGCTTGCATGTGCCATCATTCTGGATTTCTCCTTTTCAACCAAATCGATGGGTAGTGTAGGTAAGGCTGAATTTGTCTTGGGAACAGTATGCTATAACTTGAGACCTGTGAAAGTTATCAACCAGCGAAATTATCAAAAGACAGTGAGCGTGCAAAGCATGTGAATAAAACACTCCAGCCTGTAAACACTTCTTAGCTCCATCGCGAAAACATGTGACGTGCTTGATGCATTGATGTTGCGCGCCGATCTGGGAATGCACATGTCATGACGTACCCTGAGGGATGACCATTCTACTATTCCTATCTTACCAAGCCACAGGAAAGAGCAAAACTTAGCTCCGGGCTTCGAACAAACTGAACGCATTGTACAACAATGGATATCAAGCTGTTGTGTTCAGGTATATTTATTTTGTTCATGTGCGCTCACGCACCATGCGCATGCTATTTTGTCCAAAGGCAAACACAAAAACTAGTCGTACATACATTAGGAATACACAAAAGCAACTCGTAGAAGATGCGACCATCAAACGCCAGGGGGAGTGCTGAATCGAAAGATGAAAGTAGGAATCGTCGCCAAGTATAGTAGCTCGCAGCATATCCACGCCTAAGCCTTCTCCTTGTTCTTCTGCTCCCCCTTCTCAGCCTTCTCTTCTTTCTTATCAGCGGCGTCTCGGTGTTGGTTAGCCTGCTGCTGCCTCCCCTGCGCAGCGGCCTTACGTTCCTTCTGGCGCTGTTCTTCCGCCTCAACCATTTCTGCACAGTCAAAGTCAGCCCAATTCCACAACCATACAACACACACGCAGCATACCTCTCCACTGGTCCTCACCAGCATACCTCTCATGGTGAATCTTCTTCTCAATCACATGCTTGTGCTCCGGGTCATTAGGGTCAATAACCCTAATCGTCTCCCACCTTCCCTTGCCCTTCGCCGCATCCGCACCCTCAATGGCGAAACTTCCCAACAGCGCAGCTAGCGTACCACCCTGTGCATACATACGCGCTTGCACCAGCTTCTGCGACCCACTTAGGTAAGGGTTGCGGTTGACCATGTGCCATGAACCAGCCATGGAAGCGACCCAGAAGCCAAAGAGGAGAGGGTATCGGTTGGCCGTTGCCCAGTCTTTAGCGCGCTGGAAGGCCGTCTTGTTCGATTCGTAGAGTGCCTCGCGCTCCTTTTCACGCTCGATTTGGCGTTTCTTTTCCGGTGTGTGTTCGATGTCGTATTGGGCAGAGGCTCGATCAGCAGCAATGACGGCTGCGGTAGCGTGGTTAGTTGTGAATGTGGTGCAATTGGGAGGGGTTGTGTCAAGACGCACCTACGAATGTACCGGTTGAGGCGACGAGGAAGGCTCGGAATGGTACTGTGAGAGCGCGGAATGAATGGTATCGTCTGCTCGCTGCCAGAACGCCTGCAGCACCTATCGCCGTACCGATGACACCACCAATCGATCCACCCTTGATCGTGGCACTGAAACCCGTTAGCAGAGTATTATACAAGTTCGTATGCGCAACACTCACTTGTAATGCGCCTCTTCTTCTTCCTTGGTAAGAACCTTCATGTTGACTTGTGAATGTCGCTCCTAGTATACGTGGGTATGAGAAATGTGTTGTTGCAAAGTCGAGAGCGGAGGCGAGTTATCCGATGTTTTAGAGGAGTGGCTTATGTTGGAGTTTGGTTGCAGAGGTATCTGAAAATATTTAACAATCTTTCTCCGGCGCACACGGCGTTCTTATTAAGAGATAACGCAATGGTCAAAACTACTCCATGGTGACGTCGCCGAACTTCCGGCGCCGCTAATCCCACTTGACATGTGCGGGCAGTGATGAGGTAAGTTCCCGTCGGCAGGCCCTGCAGTGTCTGCACAACGGCTGGGCCGATTATCGTTGCGCTATCACGCCGCCCTGATCACCTCACCCATACCTCGTCCTTGGCAATCCATATAGAGATGGCTACAGGGTCGAGTACGAAGCTGCAAGTAAGCGGTGCGTCCGAGATCCCGGCTTCTTCCATCGGGGACTTGTCGCAGGTCGCATGCTGTTCGGACTTGACGCCGAAGCGGCATCCAAAAAGATGCCGCTCGCCGCTGCCGCTGCCTTTCGAGCATGCGGCTTCTTCCTAGATCTCAAAAAGGATTTCCAGCATGAAAATGTTGATACAGACCGTAGCATTGTTGATAAACAAATCCTGTTCTCCTTGTTCTTCTTCTTCTTCTGTCTTTTCCGCTCTGTTGGACTCCTTGTCCGAACGTATCCGAGTTGCCACCGAACTCCGTATATTCTCCACGCAGGCCCGTGTCAGCGCCGAGTATTCAGCAGCCAACTGCCAGAGCATCCTAATTTTCGTTTAACTCATCAATACTGTCCGCACTTCAATCCAGTACTGCGGTAGGACTGTCAGCACTTCTCACACACAGCAAGACGCAGTTAAGATGACAGCATGTGTTTGATACCATCTGAAGAATACATACATCCCTCAATAAAAACTACTTTACCCATATTACCGTTTGTGCACTCTGCTATTGTAAAAAGGATAAACATGTGGGTTCAATCCAGTTCACTGTTCACCATATAATCTCCAGCTTATCTCACGTTAATCCCACCAAGCAGTCGGACTAAGGGAAATATCAGGATAAACAAGAAAGAGAATATTCGTCGAAAGGGCCTGTCCAGAAAGCGATGTTATCCCAATCAACAGCGGGGAATGTGCGTGCTCGTCTTAGGCCAATGGATTCGACAATCTTTTCGACATTGATCTTAGCTTTTGGGCATATCCACAATACCTTCTTCGAGATTGAGAGCGAACGGTGCACGGGCTGATGATAGCCAATAGTATGTATGTGAAAGAAGACATGTAGAGTCTTGAGTATGGCCTTCAACGGAAAGGACCGAAGCTGGGACGGGGCGCAGGGTTGCCATAGCGAGGAAGCATGCCAGCGGGCGGTCCAGGGCGTGTGGCAAGTGCGGGATTGCAGCAGAGCATGGCAACGCGGGAGCCATATTTGGAGCCGCGAAGAGAGACCATGTGCTTGCGGATATGGCCGCCAACAATATCGCGATGCTGAGAGCCGCAGTTGGTTAAGATGTACTGAATGAGATAGTTTCCGAACTGGTCACCAGCGACTGCTTATGTGTTAGCAACTGTCTGTCCAACTTTATCATTGTAACTTACTGTCGATAAGAGGCATGCGCGGACGGTCGGGGCGAGCCTCGCAGACACGATCCAGGTACCGGTCCAAGAACTCACCACCACCAATCTTGAGGCACTTCTCGATGACCTTGGAAGCATACTGATCCATGCTGTACTCCGTGCTGAAACGGAGAATATGATCAATGGCGCGGCTACGGTCGGCGGGCGCGCCATGCTCGCAGATGTGCTGAATGCACCAGTTGCCGAATTGGCCATGAGCAATAACGTCGATGCTGGCCAAGACCTCGTTGATGCATGGGCGCTGCTACAGTTTAGTACGAGCAGAAGATGTGAAGGTTTTGGTTCGCATACCTTGTCCTCCTCCAGACAATTCTCGAAGATGTTCTGTACCACAAGGCTGCCAGTCTCTCCCAATGCGACCTCATGCCACATGCCGCGCAGGGCTTCGTTGACGTAGCGCATGATCTGGGGTGGGGAATCGCTCCAACGAAGCTCGAATAGCTTCTGCCAGACATGGCAAGCATAGCGGTGAATGACGGTCTCGGGAATGCGACGGAGCAGCTCGTGTACCATGGTCGCTTTGTATTCCTCAGGAACGCAGTCGAAGGCCTTCTGGATCACGTGGCAACCAAAGGCATCCATGCTGAGCGCAAGAGTGTTACCGCGGATGGCTTGGGCGATGGCGATGACCTGTTCATGAGTACCATGCTCGAAGCAGCGCTGTACAAGGAAGTTTCCGAAGCGGTTAACCATCAAAGCATAAGCTTGAGAAATGATTGCTTCGACAATGTCGTACTTCTGTTCAGGTGTACCTACCTTGAGCTTCTGCTGGAGGAAGATGGACGCCTGCTGATCGTTGTTGCAGATGATCTTATCGACAATGTACTTCCAGTTGCAGCTCATGTTACGGTCCAAGAGGCGACGATAGTTCATAGGCTCAACGGGGGGGACGTATTGGGAAGAACCAGTCTCGCTTGCAGCCTGCCGCTGTTAGTCAAGGAAATACAAACAATGAAGGGTAGCTAACTTGGGAGTTCCATGGCGACGGCCCCATGTTGTTTGGAACAGTGAATTCGTTTGCATCCGGTGATAGCCTGCTGGACATGGTACCGATCGGTGCTGGATGGCCGATGGGATAGTTCGGAGGCACAGGATACTGGTTGTAGCTAGGGTCAAAGGCAGATGTAGGACGGCTTGGTGGGTTGCTCAAGCCATTGCCCATAGCTATGCCGCCGAGGAAGTTGGTGCTCATGCTGTTGCTCATGCCAGCGTTGAAGCTGTTGCTCATGCCGCTACTACGGAAGCTCTGGTCGAGCGGAAAGTGCGTGGGCTCGTTCAGGAAGCCGTTGCGACGGTAGCTTGTCTGTGCGGGTTGTGGTCGTGGTTGAGCCGGTGCCTGAGCCGGGTAAGAGGGTCCAAAGCTGTTGTTTCCCGTGTAAGCCGGACGGGTAGGTTCGTTCCCCCAACCGTAGTTGCTTCGAGTGGAGGCATTGAACTTGTTTTGTAGAGTTGTGAGTGTCTGTTCGGTGACATCGCCGGGATACGTATAATCCGTCTCGGACGATTGGCTAAGGTGTTCCATAGTCGACCGAGCCACGTGCTGGCTATGCATCTCCTGGTTCACGCGATGGACTTCATTGCGGGCCTCCTGCAGCTCAAGCTTCAGCTTCTGCAGCTCACCAGCTTCCACGAGAATAACGGAGTTGTCCATGTCTGTTGGCGGCGTGGAGGCAAACTCGTCAGTGGCTGGGGTGATGGGAACAGATCCGCTAGAAGAGCTGTACGGGTCATGCGGAGGAGAGCGTCCGTTGAGGCGCTGCATGAGCGAGTCCATGACGGAAGATTCCTCGTGGGCGTCCATCTTGGGCTTCTGAATATGTCAGCTTGAACTATGCGAATACACAGACGATGCGCCCATGAAGATATGTCTAGGCTACTGACCTTATAGCCGTCGTACGCAGAGTGATGTTGGACAAGAGACTGGCTGCTCAAGGTAGAAGAACCGAGTGGCCGCTTCATGTTCTGCATGTTGGAGGTCAACGGTGAGCCAAACGCACGTTGGTAGGCAAATGGGTATTGGTTGAGGCTCATATTGCCTACCGCCTGGCCCAGGGCCTCTGGCGAGGTGTCAATCCTGAGGTCACCCGCAGTCATGGAGAATCGGCTGGCGCCTTTGCGAGGCGTAGGAGAGCCGTCGGAAGTTATGTTGAAGCTCATAGTAGTCGGGTTTGGAAGTGGTAGATGGTATAGATTTGAGAGGCTGCAGAGGTCTCCAGTAGATGGTGAAGACTTTCGAGTTTCGAAGACGACTGCAATCAAATCGTGGGTTATTCGGCAAATGTGCAGATAATATGCAGGACGGAAGCTGACTGAAGTTCAGTCGGCGACGTATATAGCCAAAGGAGAGAAGGAGAAGGAACGAGGAAGCAGCACAGACGAACAAGGTATCAGTAGATCGCGAGCCTGGTCGTAGGGAAAGAACGACGGCAGGTGTCAAGGGAAGGAGAGGAAGAAGTTGGAGTGAGAAGAAGATGATCAAGTGGAGTGACGATGGGAAGAGGTTGAAGTGAGCGCAACTAGACGGAAGGCGCGTCGGGTGTGGGGCGCACTCGCCGTCACGTCAGAAATATGGCAAATAAACGCGGATTTAGAGCAGATCCCTGTCTTTTGCAAACAGTTAACAATTGTAATGCCGTAATTATGTAGGACGGCTAAGCGCCCGCAGTGAAGCCATTTGTTGCAAGCATGGCAGGTGTAGGCAATGGTTATGGTACACTTCCTGATTACATACTGGCACTAAGCAGGCTTACTAGGGCATACATTCTACAGTGTGAAGTATCTAGCAGTATGTTTGGAGGTGAAGGTCGGTTTGGAACCTAGAGCTATTTTGCCAAGCTTGGCGAGCACGTGCAACTCTACCAATCACGTCCATGACATTACCCACTCTCTACAACACTCGACGGCGTAACCTTCCAATCAGAACCAAAGAACCCCATCGCCAGTGCACCTTCTACACCTTTCCACTTTGCATTCTCTCCAAGTACAACAAAGTCAGGCTGTCCTACGCCCGTCAACATTGGCACCATGCGAGAAGCCTGACGCAATCCCTCTTTGTCAACACCCCAAAGAACCAATTCCAGTCGCTCTCCTTCCAAAGGTCGCAAGAAGGCTGCTGCTTTGGCCTCCTGTCCGTATTGGTATTCATGGCCCCGGTAATCAGAGATAGCTACCCCAGACTCGCTGGCACGAATAGGGAAATTTGGATACAGTCCTTTGGGGATAGAGCCGATGGCTAGGGTTATGATATTGCCGGTCGTTTCTGATGGAAGGAAGTACGAGGGGGAGGAAAGAATACTGGTATCTGCTTGAAAGTACTGGTGTAGGTTACGAGAGATCTGCAGAGCAATGTGAGATGTATCTAAGCCTGGATGCCGAATAATGAAATGACCCTTTGTTTGGAGGACAGCACTCATGGTCCCTAGCTGCCTTCCGCTTCTCTGAGGCTGGACAGATGTCTCGGATGAACCGATTTTCCAGCCGCTGGTCGTTTTGTAAGCACTGACTGTGGATTCTGCCGACACTGCTCCTGCTAAATCCAATTCTTGTCCGTCAATGTTCACCGATAGCTTCCAGACGTCAGTTTCAAATTCGATGTCTTGCACATTTGAAGTCTTGATAACATGTCCCCTTACACCAACCCTGCCGTAGCGTCCTGGATCTTCAAGATGTTTGACTTTGATACCGTTCTTACTACCCATATCCCCAGGATCGCCGACGACGATAAGGAAATGCTCCATCTTCCGTGGTAAAGCATCTTCGCTGACCGTTTGTTTGTAGTAGAAGTCTACCAGCTCAGATGTCGTCATGACAGTGTCCCACCAGTGGTTTTTACCAGCAACTTCGTTATAGCTCGAATCGGCATGGTTTCGGTAGAGTTGTTCTGCCAGGAGCCGAGAATGGTATGCTGGGACGTTGTCGTCAATCTCACCATGTTGCTGTTGAATGGGAATCCCGTGTGCATTCGGCATTAGCATCTCATGGCGATAGTTATTGAGAGATGCACTGATGACCGCAGTGCGTCTAGGGTCTGCAGACTGCCATAGGTGATATGGCACATAGTTCTGAATACTGGTATAGCCGGAAACGGGAGCTGCAGCAAGTACGTGATCGGGGCGATGAGTCAGGGCGTACCAGGTTCCTTGTCCACCATTCGAGTGCCCTGAAACTATCCAGCGGCCAGTGTCGACGCCAGGACCACTCCAACCAACATGCTCAATCCACCCTGGAATCGCATGAATTGCCGCCTCTACATCAGCGAACCCCCAGGTATGCCAGTCATCGCCGGACCAGGGTGTCACACCAGTAGGAAACAACACCCATGCGCAGAGATTGGAGACAGAATCCAGGGCGCCAGCAACCATTGGGTTATCAGCTTCTAGGCCTGCTCCGTGAAGCTGCAGTAGGACTGGCAACTTTGTACTCTTGGCTAAGCATGTTGCATTGCTGGGCGGAGGACGAAGCATGGCGTAAGAAACCATGCCGCCCGGGTGAGGAAAGGTGATCTTGTGGGAGTTGTGTATGTTGACATGGGTCAAGCTCTGGGATACTTGGAGAGTCGAATGACCGACGCTATTAACGGTCTTGTATGTGACGGTATATTCCACCGAAGAAGCGATTTTTGTAGACAAAGTTACGTTGAAGGCTACAGGCCTTGTTTGGCCAGCAAAGATAGTGATACCTGGGTTGTAATAGCCATCTAAGGGGGTAGAATTGTCCTGATCAATACGATCAGTAGCGCGCCCAACCAGGATCTGAGCATTAGAATCCATGCCTCCAAAAGAGATTGGAGAGCCTACGCCTGTCGGTGCAATGCTAATAATGTCAATATCTTCTTCGCCGCTGTTCCTCAAATACACGGATCCGATAGGTGATGCAAGCTTGCCTTGTACTACATTAGACAGCAGAATACCAGGCTTCGCAAGTTCTAAAGTCCCACTCGCTTGCTGTACATCGACAACGACATCGATGGTAGGATACAAAATGCCACCAAAAGCTCTTACATCGCGAGCAAGCCGGAGGTCGATTGTGTGAGAACCAGGTTTGAGGTGCAGAACAGGAGGCGCCTTGCGGAAACGGTAATAGTCTCCACCGAAGTAATGTTCATCATCAACCCAGTACTCTAGAATAGCATCGGTATGCAAGATGACATGCTGTGTCTTGTTGCCCTCTACAATGAGCTCACCGCGAGCCCATGCTTGATATTGAACGGCGGCCCATCCGTAGATAAGTCTCATAAAGTCCCAATCGACATTGGAGTACGTGACACTCAACGAGGCGTTGGCTGCAGTATCACCACTATGCGTCTGCAGTGCTTTGGTAACATTCCAAGATGCAGTTCCATTGGCGGGCAACGCGCTTCGAAAAGTCGCCTCGGCATCATATTTGAGGTTTCTGAAGCCGCCATAGTATTCAAGTGGATCTGCGCCCCACGTCGCTTCTAATCAAAGTGTTGGCATTGCCTGCGTCCTTCCCAGCCCATCAACTCAGTGACGTACCTCTTGTTCCTATTTGAAAGGGTCCAAGGACTTGCCATGTATCGCTGAAGGAAAATAGGTCGACTGCATGACATGACTGTTGCAGAAACAAAGCAGAACAAAGCAAGTACGAAAGCGACGGCCGGTTCAACGCATTAAACATGGTGGAGCAGTCGCAATGATGCCCACCGGAGCGCGAAGTGTGCTGATGAGTACGCACGTACAAGATGAATGCTGAATGTAGCCGGTGCTACCTACCTCATAGTAAGCTTCATCCGCTAGGACTTGGCTTATGGCGTATGATGCACGGAGGCTCGCCATCCCTGTCGCTCCACCAACAACCAGATGCAAACCGGCGCCGGACGCGTGTCTACATCTTGACCACGACGATATCTGGAAAAGGCCGTCTCACTCAGATTTCCGATTACCCCTCGATCGCAGCCAGCTAACGGCACTCCCCCTCGACCGTCCAAGTCTTTCAGGAACACGCCCCGTGTAATCTGACCATAGCCAATTTCGCTATCGCAACCAACCTAGTTCCCTTGTACCGTACCGTACCCATGGCGTAACGAACAGGTGCAACGAAAAAAACTCCCCCCGACCCAACTCGTAGACAGCAAACCGCCTGCCGCCATGACACCCCCTTCAGCGCGGGACCCGAGCCCCAATGCGACGTTTAGGTTTCCCGCCTTCCAGCCAGATTTGATGCCGACGCCCGAGGAAGATCACAGATATGGCCTGAGCTCGTCGCGCGCGGCCAGCCCCAGTCCAGCAGCAGTCCACACCAACGGCAGCTCCATGCCCGCAGACCGGTGGCAGCCACGGAAAGAGTCGCGCTTCGCAGCAGCCATGAACGGGTCTGCGACGGGCCCGTCAACAAGACACGGGAGACAGAAGAGCTTGAGTGAGGCGCTCAAGACGATACGCACGCGCAAAGGGAGCGTCAGCCAGAATGCGCATGAACTCGCTGATGCGCTCAAGGCGCCGCTGTCCCCAAGGCTCATTGTACGTTGTTGGCCAGATTTATATGCGCTGGGCGATTTCAAAAGTGCTAACTGGCACAGTTGCTCTGCGGCATGTGGTACATGACATCCATCTTTACAAACATGTCGTCCAAGGCCATTCTCACCGCGCTGCCCAAGCCCATCACCCTGACGACGGTGCAATTTGCCTTTGTATCGGGTTGGTGTCTGGTTCTGGCCATGTTTGCGAGGAAATACCCGCGATTGAAACAGACGATGCCGTTTCTGAAATACGGAATTCGCTCCCCGTCAAAGGAACTGATTATGGCTACGATGCCGCTCACCTGCTTTCAAATTGGAGGTCATATTTTAAGCGCTGATGCGACGTCGAGGATACCGGTGTCGCTCGTGCATACGATCAAGGGACTCTCGCCCCTTCTGACGGTCGTTGCATACGGGACGTACTTTGGGATCCGGTATTCGCTCCCGACATACCTCTCCCTGGTACCACTCACACTGGGCGTCATCTTGGCATGCTCAGCCGACCTCAACGCGAACTTCATCGGCCTCCTCTCCGCATTCGCCAGCACAATCCTCTTCGTGGTGCAAAACATTGTCTCGAAGCAAATCTTCAACGACGCCGCAGCTGCCGAGAAGGATGGTGTCCCACCGAACAAATTCACAAAGCCGGATAAGTTGAACCTGCTCTGCTACTCGTCTGGCCTGGCGTTCCTTTTCACCCTCCCGCTCTGGCTGTGGACCGAAGGTTTCACCCTCATCTTTGATTTCTTGCACGACGCTTCAATCGAGTTGTCAGATCACCCTGGCGCCCTCGACCACGGACGACTAACACTGGAGTTTCTATTCAACGGTACATTCCACTTTGGCCAGAATATCGTCGCCTTTGTCTTGTTGTCCATGGTCTCGCCCGTCACGTATTCCGTTGCCAGTTTGATAAAGCGCGTTTTCGTCATCGTCTTTGCAGTCGTCTGGTTTGGAAAACCAATGACCAAAGTGCAGGCTTTTGGCTTTGTACTTACTTTCCTCGGTCTGTACCTCTACGATCGTACGCATGATGCGGCCAAGGCAGATAAGCGGGCGAAAGCGCTACAGTCAAAGGACCACGGTACCCTGCTCCCCCTGTCGACCGACATCAAGTCAAGGCCCGTGTTTTCCGCCAGCCCGTCGACCATGTCAGGTACCGGAGCGTATCCGCTGACATCTCTTGCCGAGTCGAGGGGGGAGAAGAGAGATGATAGCATGGGGGGATTGGGGTATAGACGGCCATCCGAGCAAGGGTCGCAGTATCTGCCTCCGGGAACAAAGGCAGAGGATACATGGCGGTCAAACGATATAAACGGTAGACGAGGGATAGGTGTTTCATAAGCAGAAGCACGCAATGCAACTTGTTATATTCGGATCATGATGACAAGCGAAACATTCACAAATCAGCATCTACATGATTCAACATGACCTATCATTGTATCAGACCTTACGTACAGCAGCTATCGCATTACCGCCACCAGTCGGAACCTGATAAGAAATACCTCTTCGCAACATGCAAAACCAAGCAGAGAGACCCCGACACCATTAGCCGAACAGAAGCAGACAGAGACAGACACAAAGCAGACGTAAAAGTGAGCGACTTCCTGGACGCCAATTGGGCATTTGCGTGACTCGTGTAGCACATTGTATCGTAGTCCCGCTCCTCGCTATTCGGACCTTTCCTCTTCACCCCGCCAAAACATGGGTAATGCAAAAGCAGCCGGCGCCAAACAAGTCCCGTGCAGAGGCTGGGGTCTGATGTCGTCGTTGTTCGTCTAGCAGCATCCCTTCTTCTGCTCTGCATCGGCCGACTTGCTGATTTCGAGTACTTTGCGGTCGTTGCCGAGGACGGGGCCGCTGCCTTCGCCTTGGTCCAGGGCTTTGCTTGAGACGATGCGGTAGATTTCTGTCGTGTGTGTTAGAGTGGGGTACATGGAAGAGTTATGAATGAGGGGATAGTGACAGAGTGCAAAGTGGCGGTGTAAAGCGCAAGTGCTCTCGTTTCAGCGCAACGGATGTTGAGCTATGCGCCTGCCACTGCCACTTTTGCTCGGTCTTCAAGATGATGAATCCAGCGTAGGACGTACCTGTGAGAATGTTCTGGAAAGCAAGCTCGACGTTGCTAGCATCCAAGGCAGACGTCTCGATGAAGGAGAGGTTGTTCTCGCCTGCAAGCCATGTCAGCATATCGTAGTCACAACCAGTCTCTGGAATACGCACTCGCAAACTGCTTGGCCTCTTCGGTAGGCACTGCCCGCAGATGCCTCAAATCGCTCTTGTTACCGACGAGCATAATGACAATGTTGGAGTCGGCATGGTCGCGCAGCTCCTTCAGCCACCTCGTGACATTCTCATATGTCTGGTGCTTGCTGATGTCGTAGACAAGCAGGGCGCCGACTGCGCCGCGGTAGTATGCAGACGTGATGGCACGGTATCGCTCCTGGCCGGCCGTGTCCCAGATCTGGGCCTTGATGGTCTTGGCATCGACTTGAATCGAGCGGGTCGCGAATTCAACGCCGATGGTCGACTTTGAGTCGAGGTTGAACTCGTTGCGCGTAAAACGGCTCAAGAGGTTGGATTTACCGACGCCTGAGTCTCCGATGAGAACCACTGCGGGGGTTAGCGGGTGACGAAACGGGGCGAGCTGGGGCGCCAAAGGAGCAAGTACCCTTGAAAAGGAACTGGAGACAACATCGTCAGTACAACCAGGCAGGTAGAGGCAGCCTCACTCACGTCATATTCGTCGTTGGCCATTGTTGCCGTGGGCGGGGGCAAGAGACAGAGAGGCCGGACTTTGGGGGTCTAGGTGGGGCGATGAAAGGCCTCTGGATTTGCAGGTGAGAAGCGGGGGCTATGGCTGCACGGGTTCAGGGCAGACAGAAGCGCAGTGGTTCGGGGTCGTGGTGAAGGTGGGAAGGTGCTCAAGTGCTGTATCTGGCTGCCTCGAGGAGTTGCTGCGTCGCTGCTCCACCCAAGGCCGTCAAAGCACCACACACTGACACCCCAGCACTAAGCCCTTGCCTTCTTAGGTAAGCGAGGCGCTAGTCTCCGCAACCCTCGACGGGCTCACCTGTGCCTGCATCTTTCCTTTGTGTCTACACATTAAACCTTTTGCGGAATCTGTGCCGACCCGTCAACACTCCAGGCCTACCCCGTTGCACTTGTGCCTGCATTCTACTAGCGTTGTTGCTGTCTTCGACGTCTTGCGCCTGCAACATCGACATCTAGGCATTCGCATCTACTCCCGACCAATCAGCTTCTCATATGTCAATTCGTCTCAGACGCTCGCGATAACCATGTCGCTCGATGTTGACAATGATTGGGATACCGATGAGATATCCGTCACCTCGACCGTCATTCCCGACTCGTCAGACGATGAGGAATATGCCATTGACGAAATCATATCAGAAAGGGACGCCGCCGACTGGGAAGACAAGTACGGGCCCGGAAAGAGATGGCTGGTAAAGTGGGAAGGCTATGGCATGCATGATTGCTGCTGGGAACCACTATGTCACTTTGCGGGTGGTCACAGCCACTCAGCGCTTGCCTTATGGAACAAACGCAAAGAATCCATGAGCCGGGAGGCTCTGCGAAAACTCATGGAACGCAACGAGAGAGAGTACCAGGAGGCGGCCTACGAGGCCTACCAAGCGCGCATGAAAAAACAAGAAAAACGCGCCAAAAAGAGAAAGAAGCTCGCTGCGCAAAGGGCTGCTCGTACAAGACCGATTGTGATCGCAGACAGTGAAGATGAAGAAGCCATGTCCAGCCGACGAATGACACGATCTGGCCAACAACGAAAGACACAGGCCCAAGTTTCCCATCAAGACAGGGAAGCCATAGACTCCAGTCAACTCAATAGCTTGTTCAATGACAGCCCAGATTGCGAAGCACCCATCAGACAGCCTCCCAAAACGCGTAGGCCTCCTATTGAACAATCTGAATCTTCGCCATCGGAAGATGAGCTGACCAACGATTCTATGATGGATGAAATAGGCCAAAAGTCGAACAAGTCCAAAAAGAAGACCACTCGCGAAACAGCCTCGACATCAGATCGCAGACTCACACGGAGGGCAGCTCAGGCGTCCCAGACCCCATCCAAAGCTGCTGCAGATTCCAACCGCAAATCAACCTCGAAAAAGAAGCTAACCAGGGCAGTCAGCTTCAAGGAGCCAGAAAAGCCGTCTCCCAAAGGCAGTAAACAGTCGGCGAAAATACAAGCGGCACAGCCCTCATCTGCAGCAAAGCGGCGAGGAAGCAATACTGGCGAACACCTTGCTGCTACCGCTGACGAAACTACACAACCAACGACATCTTCTGGGACCAGGTCAGGTGATGCAACGCAGTCAACCACTTCGACAACCCAATCTACTCCAAACACCACGTCCGGCACAGCAGCAATTACGGGTCTCAAATTCGTTAACCAGCCCAAGGCGCGTTCTGAATGGAAAAAGGGTGACAAACCATTCCAAACACTGCATTACCGACGAGTAGCAGACAAAAGGTCTCGCGCAGAAGGCACACCTGATATCAACGCCCTTGAGTTTGTCAATGCCCCATCTGCCACGGCAAAGACAAAACCCCGAGTTTCAGACAATGATGTATATGGTCGTCGTGAAATTGTACATCGTCCTGAGGCGCCCGAGTCTGACCATGATGATGCTCCAACAGAACAGACGTTTGCTCAGAACGAGCCTCTAGCTCCATGGGAACATGACAAAATCCAGATGGTGTGTAACTCATGGAGACTAAGTATGAATTGTCCAAAGTCTGCAAAAGACTGCCTTTTTTTGCATCGGCATCATGGTCCAGATGGCCGTGATTTACCTGTGCACGATGGTGGGGAGGTACCTGCAAAGTATCGCAGACAGCCACTCACATGTCTTCACTGGCTGCGCGGTCCACAGGGCTGCAGAAAGCCAGCCGAAGTTTGCGAATATGCTCATAAAAATACTGGATACGCACGAAATCCCAAATTTCCAAGCAATCCGCCAGTTGCGATACCAAAGGATGCATTGCCTGCACCAAGGATCAATAGAGTTCTTCCTCCTGGCACTCTTACCTGCTATTATTGGAAAAATGCTCAATGTCGGAAATCGGCACAAGATTGCGCCTATCAGCATTATGACACTGGTATGGTAGCGGCTCCACCACATGTACAAATACCCAAAGACATTGGCTTCGGGAACAACATGAATCTTCTATACAACCTCTTCGAAACCCATCATGAAGGCCCTCTAGGCTCGGCTGCAATGGATACTGATTCGAAGAGTGAGTACTCAGACAGGATACTAGTCAATACTCCTGATGTTCCGGTTGATGTACTTCGGACAACGGAAACTTCTCGCCATCTAACCGACGAGCAAGAGTCGCAGTTATCCTTCCCACTACCACCGCCTCCACCCCCACCTTTCGAGGCTCCTCCTCCCAAGTTAGCGTGTGCATCTTTTGAAGCCAGGATAGGCTCAGCTCTCAAGCTCAACTTCAAGGATATGTTTGCTCGCAGCGACGGCGCGAACCCTTTTGTAGATCGAAGGGCGTTTCTGTTCTACCACCCGGAGCAACATGCGGAGGAGCTAGCTCTCATCACAAGATGGCTCATGATGTACCATGTCCAGATAGGCAGTGCTACCCACGAAGGTGCCTGGGAGCATTTCCGACAGCAGATCGAACAAGGGGGATCCGGAATTATCATTGTAAGTTTGTTCTCTCTGTTGGTAAGCTGGGCACTGACAAGTTTAGGCGCATCCAGATTTCGATTTCTACACTGCACTTCCAGGATTCGGTGCGGTTCTTCGCAAGGAGGTACGACTGTGGTCAATTGGTGTCCAAGAGGGGTATGAGTGTGACTCTGCTCGATCGGACAGGCCAGCAGTGACTAGACATGACTGCATTGAAGTGTTTCCAGTCGGTGGATTCATCTACATCACAGAAGAAGTCTTTGAGAAGAAACCACAGCTCGCATTGAAGATCATCCAGCTATTCTGTGCCAAAGTCACGCGACTGCGGAATCAAAAGTCCATCACAGACGAGGCCGATGATTCCGACCTCCTCTGGCGTCTATGCGTCCGTCCAGAACTAATGGAATACCTCCTCAAGCACTGCGAAGACCACGAGAAAGAGCTCGAAGCAGGCGATGATGCGCTACAGAGGTTTGCCCCCCCCCACTCTTCTACCCAAATAAAAACACATATACTAACCAACACCCAGCCGCGCCAAACTCTACACCCTCCTCGCAGAAACCGAATACATCGACCAAGACGACCCAACCACCCCCCTCTCCCTCATCCCCGACAACTTCCCCATCCTCTCCGAGCGCCGCGACATCGCAGACACCCAACCCGTCGACTACTTCGGCGCCCTCGCACGCAGCCCCCAGGCCGCCAACCTCAACATGATACGCTACTACGCGGGTTTACAAATCGACTTAAGACGCGACTTTCGCCATTTCTTCGTCGTGCATACTGAGCCTTCCGCGCCCTATGTGCATCGTTGGATAGAGGAGATTCAAACGATTGCTGCGGTTATCACGCCGGAGCAGTGTGTGCAGGAGTTTGAGAAGGATGAGAGGGATAGTATGTTTGATTTCTGCGAACGATTTTTGAGGGAGGTTTAGGGAGGGGGGTGGTAGGTGTGTTAGTATGTGACCGTGTTTGTTCTAGTCTAGATTCTGACGGTCGAAACGTGGGGGTATTGAGTCGTGTCGTGGGTGTTTTGTGGCTTGATTGCATGAAACCTTCTAGAAGGAAAGCTTCTGGCCCAGTTAGCGGGATGTGGTGAGTTTTACCTGTGCGTTTCTCCATTTCATCAGGAATTTCACACTTTGGTGTTCTTTCTTCATTTCATCAGGCAATGGCGGATATACCCTGGAACTGTATAAACTGTAATGGAAATTGGATATTTTGCAAGACTTGTTCGCCCACTGCAAGCGTGGTAGCATGTTGAGGCTATTCGCCCAGGCAAGTGTGGTAACATGATGGTTTGTGGCTGGCTGGTGTAGAGTAATCAAACCTTGTGAATCCTGAACAACTACATCAACGAAAAGGCTACGAAACAAGGCGAACGAGATTACGATACTACAATGTGATGATGGGCAATGCAATTGGGGTCGGAATTTAGTAAAACTCTATGTACATGTACGATTCTTACTGCGTGCGTCTGCATCTGCAGGCTGACGTGCACACTCCAGCTCCCTACAAACAGCAAATGGGTATATCTATAACTGACTATGACTATATATATAAATTCCAGCTTATCCGTCATCATCGCACACAAGAACGCCCTATAAGCCATACCACCATCAGCAGTAGTCGTAGTCGTAAACGCAGTCAGCAAAAGCCGCATCGGAGACTTTTCAACTGCCGTCCCAATCGGCGCGTACCTCGGGGAGGTTAAGGCTGACTCAGTGTCGCAACAAGTCTAACACAAGGAAACCCTTGCACCAAGTTTCATGGAGCCGGCCTTCTTTGCCGACCGACCGACCGACCGACCGTGCTGACAACTCAGCCCTGTGCACACTCCACGTGTGTTGCCCACACTCTCTGGGGGCAATGCGCACGCACACGACTATCGGTGGTATTCGGCCAGACTATGTATCCTTGAGCGTGTGTCGTGGCCGTGGGTGTGTGTGCGCGCCGTTGTAAAGCCATATACTATTCGCATGTATAGTTGCAACCGATAGATGGAGAGGTAGATTATTCGGGAGATTGAGATTGTTTTGTGGTTATGAATTTTTTTTCCTTCTATCAGCCGGGTGGGATTGATCGACGGGTAGAGTCGCTGGCGCCGGGTGTGGATACGCTTTCGCGTTGCATTTGCCTCATAGCCTCGGCGTAGTCGTTTTCGGCTATCATGTCTCTTTTCTTCGGGTCGAACAGGTCGTCGATGCAGAGGTGTTGTTTCTTCTGCACGGGTTGTGTGTCGTCGTCTATGTGGCCAATTGGGCGGTCCTCCAATGCGCTGGGGACAATGTCTTCCGGCTCTAGTCCGGCATTTGAGTCGCGGACGTAGTATTGGTCGGGAGAAATGACCGAGTCTTTGTGAGCCTTGCGTGCGCGTTTAGGTTTGAAGGGGAAATTGCTCGAGTGGATGTAGTCGCCGTCGGGGCTGCGTACGTTTTGGAGTGCGTTGGCTTCTCGCTCCATGTCTTCCCATGTGGCGACGAGGTTGTTGCCGTTGCGACTGCGGCTATCGCTCATGTCTCCTGAGAAGCTGCCTAGTCGACTGATCCGGAAAGCTCGCAGGCGATCCAGTGCTACCTTGAAGTCATCAAGCACGACCGAGTCGGTGAGGCACTTGAAAACAAAGGCGAATTTCCAGAAGGGGTTGATGCCTGTAGGTCCTGGGAGTCCGATAGCCTTTGTAACGCATAGAATATCCAAGATGATGAAGATGATGCTAAGCACCATGGATAGGAGCATGATACCGAAGCGTGGCGATATCCGTATAATCTCCTTGATGCTCAATTCGTATTGAGTCTTGATGACCCAGAACAGGTAAATGGTAGTAAAGATCCACCAGGGATCACGGCAGAGGGCCTCATACGGTCGCGTATGAAGGAAGAGTTTGTTGGCGCCGTGAAAGTAGGCAAAGTTTGCGTATATCTCCAGGACCCAGTATGGTTGCGCCAAGATGACGGTGCCGATGAAAACATAACTGACTGGCTGCGAAAAGAAAGGCTTAATCTTCATCCAGGCGATGACATTATGTAGAGACCATGAAGCATTTAGGAATATGGCAGCAACCGACAGCCACCAGGCATGTACCGGATTTGGGAAGAACAACCAGAAGCTTTGCCATAGACCGAGGATGAGCTTTGAAGGGTCAGTATGGGGATTAGTGGATGGGGCAGAGTGGACTCACTTCGAGCAAAATCAACTGGGGAAAAGTCAGCAGTGGTCATTGCATATGTGAGTTTTCACTAACCTTGTGCAAAAGCACACCTCGCCTCATATTTGCCAACGTGATGAAGCTCATGATGACGAGAGCGCCGACCAGATAGCCTTGAGCCCATGCTTCCAAGATTAGTTCCTCTGGGTCGCTGGGCTTTGGCACAGCCTGATGCTTTTTCCACTCCATATCGGGGATGGGACTCATGGCGGTCGCAGAATTTTCGATGTTCCCGCAAGTCGGGGCTGTTGCCGAGGAAGCGTGCTGTGATGTCACCAGGCGAAAAGGATCAATATCGGCCTCAACACTTTTACCATGGCAGGCACGAGTGGGAGCGACGAGGAAGATGGCAATGAGGAGGGCGAAGATGGCAGTTGGGGAGAGGAAAAGATGGAGAATAAGCACAAGAAACAAACGGGACCGGTTGGGCGTTCTCGTGGCGCGCCCGTTCTCCGCATCTCGCCTTGAACGAAGCGTACCCTGGAGGTACCGGGGCCGAGTGGTGCGCAATGGTACTTTGGCTAAGAATGGTGTAGTGTGTGTGAATCATGACGGTGGCGCCCAGTGCTCGGCCGGCACCACGCGGCTAGGGTTTGTTGGTGGTTGAAGATTGAATTTCGTCAGCCGTTTGTCAAGCCAGGGTCGAGGCCTTTGGATAATAGCGGGGCCAACATGGTGTGGTTTTCGCGTCACCGGTACCAAGTGCGCAGTGTTTGCAATGGCACAGGTGTAGTGGTTTGCACTATCAAGGACTGCAGGCCGTTGTGGTGACAGGACTTTCAAGACGTGCAGCGTGTATCGTGACACGGGCACACGAGTGGTGCCTGCATGGCTGGGATTGCAGGGCAGGACGCCTTGCCTGGAAGCGGTCTACATTTGATGCAGCGACATGTCACTGCGGATTGGCGGCATGGGTCTCTTGTCCGTTGCGGCGGCCTAGCCAACCTCCTGGAATCTGGGGATGGAGGTCATCGGTCAAATGCCATTGGCGATATGCGATATATTTTTTCGACACGGCCAAGTCAGCTGCCTCGCGGACGAGTTCGGTACATGTTGGCGGTCAGTGACATAGAAGGTGGGACGAGTATGGAGGGGAAAACAACTTGTCGTGCGTGTGACGTGACATGGATGGCGATAGTCCACGCACTTGACATGGCAGTCTTTTCCCACGACTAAACCTTGGGTTCGTATTAAATTTTGTGCGCTTCGCTTTACTGCTTTGGGTCGAGGCTATACGTATGGCGTGCATGCCATTCTGATTCTGATGTAGGGATGTAGTTACCGCATGCCGACGATCCAGCGACCGGCGGACTTGTTAGTCTTTCCACCACCATAGGATACGGATACGGCCGTTGAAGCAACCGGGTTACTGGGTCCAGTTAGAGTGCGTCCTGTATTCTACGCCTAGGTATATCAAGTCCTGCGTTCTGCATTCTGCATTCTGCATTCTGCATTCAGCCATTTGCTTTTTACCTTTGTGAATCCTAAATATGGGGAAACGCGCTAGTGGGCTGGCGCATCACGGTTGCTGCCCCGCTGAAGTCATTGATGAGGGCACGGGTGAGATTTGCATGTCGCGCATCACAAACCTTTGCTCGGGCCCAAGGTGAGCTCGTCCACGACTGCACACAGCTGTATTGCTGTAAAGATCCGTCCATCATGTTCAAAAAGAAGCCGAATGTAGGAAAAGTCACCACCAAGCTCACGCACCCCTTCCTGATACCCCAAGCTAGATCAAGCCCCTCTCTCCGCTCAAGTCCAGCGACCGGCGCAGGACAGCCGATCAGATCATCGCAGACTTTGGTCTCGAGATACCTGCCAATGATGAAGACGACGCGAGAAAGACCGACGATAAGGCGAGTGCCTCTTCGGCTGGCCTCACAGCGCTGCGCCGGTCGATCCTGCCTGAGAATGCAATGTCGGCGCGATTCACCACAACAGCCGGACCGGACCTCAAGCAAGTCTCGGGAACCATTTACGTAGGCAGTCACGAGGGCACAGGCGGTGAGCAGAGAGTTCTCTGGGTCAAGGCGGGCGACAGAATGTACCCCACCGTCTACACTCTATGGCATAATGCGCGCATTGTGCCGCTGCTGTATACGCCCCTTGTTGTGGTTGAAAAACTGCAAGGGGGCGCTGATCTGATGACGCCTGGCCTTCAGCGTGGACCGCCGTTTCCCAAGAAAGCCACAAAGGGCGCAATCGTCGCCATTGCGAGTCTCGAGGCGCCGACTGTCCCAATGGCTGTAGGAGAGTGCGCCATAGACGTCAGCGCCTTGGGACAAGTCCAGGGCATGAAGGGACATGCTGTATCAACTTTCCACTGGGCAGGCGATGAAATATGGTCCTGGAGTTCGACAGGTAAGCCGGGTGACCAACCACCTGATGTTCTGGAAGGCTGGGACGACGACAAGGGCGAAGAGGCGAGTCTCGTGGAGCGCACCGCAGCCGTAGACCTTGACGACGAAGGTGGTGTCACTCTGGGTGCAGATCCTACCCAGCGGTCACAGGCCGAGGAAGCACAGGGCGTAGAGGGCGAGGAAGCTCCGTCCAACAATGACTTTATCGATGTCTTGGAAGACAAGGAGCTAAACACAAAGGGTAATCATGTCTATGGCTCTGTATCCGCATCAGCTACTAACGTTGACCAGAAATTGACGATGCTTTCAAGAACGCATTTCTCTTTGGAGTGCGATTCCATATGGATCACAACAAAGGTCACCCCAGTTACGGCCTCGACTTTCCACTCTCGCAGTCACACGTCATGTCCCAGCTCGTCCAACCCTTCCTGCCCACCTATACTCCCGCTCGAACTGCGTCGCTACAAATCAAAAAGACAAGCTGGAAAAATCTCCGCAAATTCGTCAAGTACTTAGACAAGCAAAAGATTCTCAAATCCAAAGACCGCGACGGCAATGAAGTCGTCATACAAGATATTGACTTTAAAGACCCACAAATCCAGTCTTTCGTCCCGTACCGACTACCAAAGAAGGATGCGCCGGCCGCTTCCAGTACAAATGGCAAGCCAGCCGCCCCTCTGTCCGCCGAATCATCAGTCGGCCAAAAGCTCAAATTGGTCTCGGTATTACGGCCCAAAGAGAAACTGGCTCCTATCTTGGCTGCCTCGAAAACAGATCCTCGCGGTCTTTACACACCTGTAGAGCTGAAGCAATTTCTCATTGCATATGTAGAGGCAGAGAACCTAGTTGACTCCAAGAACAAGCGCCTCATCCGGATTAACCCTCAGCTCGCAGACGCTCTGCTGGGCTCATCAGCAGCCGATAACGCGGCGCTATCATCTGGTACAATGCCCAGAGATGCACTAGCGGAGCGAATGGTCGCTGCTGCCTCTCCATTCCACACCATCTTGCGCAATGATGCTGATATCGCCGACACAAAGCCTAAAGCTGGCGCACCTCCAAAGATCCAAATCACCCTCGAGACACGCAGTGGCAACAAGACGGTCTCCAAAGTCCATGGCCTCGAACCTTACTACATTGCACCACAACCACTTGCTGACGAGCTGAGAAAAACGTGCGCTGGAAGTACGAGCGTCGATAAATTGCAAGGATCAAGTCCAAAGGCGCCTGTAATGGAAGTCATGGTACAAGGCCCTCAAAAAGATGCCATCATGAAGGCACTGGAGAAGCGGGGTGTGAACAAGAACTGGGTCGAAGTTGTGGATAAGACCAAGGGCAAAAAGAAATGAGCTGGTCGGCCGGCCTCGACACAACAATACCCACTTACGTAATACTATATATGGACTCACCGGACGGTGACCGACTGTACTCCAAGTGCGCATTATATAGTGATTATGGGACGCCTGTGACACACCAATTGCTGACGTCACTCTGTTAAGTTAGATTGTCCAGCCGCAGCCGCAAACCATCCCGTTTTAGCAATATCATCTTCGCGCTGATGGAATTTTGAAATCCGTGTCTTAATTTAGCTCGGTTGGCCTCATGTAGTTCCCCTTCACATTCGTCTAGCACTTCGGAACCCGTTGTTCCGAGCCTCGGCTCAAGTTTGCAGGATTGTGGCTTCTGAAGGATCACAAATCACAAAGTTTGCTTACGCTCTGCGCACTTTATAGCGCGACGTATCCACTGTCAATTGTGTATCACAGCGTTCCTGCTATGGTCACAATGTCACAGACAGCGAGCATCGTCATTGCGGGCGCGTCCATAGCAGCACTCGCGTCGCAACCCACATTTAGAGGCAGTTTAATCGAGACCGTAGCGCGATGGACGGGCTACAACGCACCTGGAGGGCTATGGCGAATAGCTGCCATAATTCTCGCGTTGACAAACCTCAAGAGCCTGCCATTCGTCTGGCACGTACGTTACTACCACAGGTCCACCACAACACCTGCAGCAAAGCAAAGCTGACAGACTAGATAGTTACGCTTCTGTCGGGCCTTCTTCTACCAGCTCTATGTCCAACCGACACCCATCCCACCACATGCGCTCTTCCAACCGATCATTACGTCCACGCGCACCACACTCCTGGAAACAGATTACAACATGCACAAGTCCAACAGCACTTATTTTAGCGACATGGACATTTCGCGCACCCATCTGTTCACAGCCATAATCCGCAACGGCATACGCAAAAACAGCCGTCTATACGGTGCCAACAAGAGCGCTGTCGCCGGTGCCGTAGGCGCTACAGAGGGCACACGCGGGAAGCACATGATCGCCCTAGGCGGAATAAGCTGCCTATTCAAAAAAGAAATCCTGCCGTACAAGAAATACGAAATGTGGACCAGATTACTCTGCTGGGACAGAAAGTGGTTCTACCTAGTCACACATCTCGTGAAACCTGGTGTGGCGCAGCCGGAAAGCTGGACATTGCAGCCCTGGAAGAAATCCAAGAAACCCGCCAAGGAGTACAACGCAGAGAAGCTCAAGGGCGCCGTGTATGCAACTGGTATCGCAAAATACGTCATCAAGCGCGGGAGAATCACCGTGGCCCCCGAACAGGCGCTGTTTGATGCTGATATGGTGCCGGCGAAACCCGAGGGCTGGGTGTACCAGGGTCCTACCAAACCCGTAGAATCACAGCAGCCACCCAATGGAGAGGTTCTACCGCAAGTTGTGGAACCCGAAGAGTGGAATTGGGACGTCATTGAGGCGGAGAGGTTACGTGGTCTTGCTGTTGCCGAGAACTTTGCTGGGCTGGATGGGTGCCATGAGTTTTTTGATGGGGGGAGGGATGGGGTGTTGGGGGAGTTTGCGGATTTGCTGTATTAGCGAATGTTATAGCGTGCAGGTGGTGGTATGATTGTCTACATAGATCTCTGTTTAGAGGGCGGTACTTTAGATCTTACATAATAGTACATGGTGCCAATCTTTTATAGCCAAAGGAGGATGCATGGTTAGCGTTAAGCTAAGTATGCTGCGCCGACTTTCAGCCCTCAACCTCGCAGACTGCCTTATGTCATCATGTGCATTACTATTACTACTGGGTCCATTCCAGCCCGAATGGCTCTCAATAAGAACATGCAGGCTAAACCGTATGCATCCATCAGCCAGGAGGCTGCAACTCGCCGTCCCCCAGCCTTGTGGCTTGATTGTCTAGTAGTATCACTCAACTAACCAACAAGCACTTACAAATGCCCATAAAAGCTTACAAACACTCATAAATAAAGCAGAAAATCCATACCAAAGACAATATACATCCCCGCAAACCCAGCCCACCAACACCCAACCTTCAAACTCACAGCCCAAGATTCACTGCGATGGGGCCGCCCATACCGACCGTTTCCAGGTCTACAGGCCCTGATATGGCCTACGTCGCAGAACTGTATGAGCACATATCACGGCATTCACCGGGTATAGCCTATAGGAAACTACTGATTGAACACTACATTTCAGTTGGGAATTCTTGGCTAGAAGGAGCGTTGGATGAGGCGGAGAATTTGAAGGGGTTGGTTCCGGGAGATGAGGATGTTGAGGGGTATTTGAGGGTTCTTAAAAGTGAGGTAGGTGGGAGTGCGGCTGAGAGGGTAGCGCCAGTGCGAGATCAGGATGGACTCGGTCGGAAAGATGCGGCTTTGAAGCCTGTTGAGGGAGGCTGGGGTGGAGGATTTGCAGAACCAACTGGCAAACAGGAGGATAAGAGGATGTGCTTGACTACTGCATGTATGTGCGTCGCAGCGAGGGCGAAGCTGTTGTTTTCGACACTACTAGGCTTGTCAAAGTCAACACCGCAGTATCCTAGGCCTCCACAAAGCGACAGCACCAATAATCCAGCCGTTTTCCATGAAACCAACCCGTCTGCTCGCAGTAAGCCTCGACCAACACAAACTCTCCAACGGGTAGCCCGTAACATCCGAAAAAACCCCACCAACGCAACCTCCATCGCCATCTCCGACATGGAAACCACAATCCTCTCCCTAAAACCCCACTCAAACCTCGACAACATCCGCTCCGCCCTAATCTCGCGTCTGCAGAAAATTAAACACTCACTCCCCCCCACAATGCACATCCACATCGACACCGCCTTCATGCACGTCGAGCACGAGCGGCTCGCCAGAAACTACATCAACGACGAAACAATGCTAGGAGACGCCGTGGCCGATATACCGCGAGCGGAGTTCTTCGTCACAGAGGATAACTACGCTTGGTCCATGGATGAGCTTGTCCAAGCTATCAAGGCGAATAGTGGTGTTTTTCGTAATCCGCTTAGTAGGGAAATGTTCACTCCGGAAGATGTACAGCGTATACTCGCACACCCACTCGGCGCTCCACTCGCGGCCCTGCATGTCGAACAGGCCGCGTTGTCCAAGGGGGTGCGCGTGCAGACAATTGAACGGATGGAGGCGCTTGCTGAGGTGTTGTTGGATGATCATTCCAGCGGAGTGGTGCGGAGTCGTACGGCGGTTGATGAGTTTTTGTTGTATGTTGCTACGTGTAAGTATCCGCACAGGATAACAGGAAGGGATGTCAGCTGATTTGTTCGCTAGTACCAGAGTTCGAGCAAAAAGCGCTAAAGGGGCTGAAATGCCCGGCGAAGGACTCACATACTGGGCAGGCTTATGATTGTTCGGTGGGCAAGGCTGTGAATGATGCGAGGGCGAATCTTGTTTGCTTTCATAAGACGGGAGATTTTATTGGGCAGGCGGCGGGGTATTTGCGTAGGAGATGAGAGGGTTTTTTGGTTAGGGGTTGAGGGCTTTTAGTGGGGTTTAGGATAGTGGTGGTGCTAACGTTTGGGTGTGTAGTTTCGCGATTGAATTGCTCAGGGGGGTATGTATGACGCAATGCCGGTTGTATACAGACTTTTGGGCTTGTTGTTGTGGATTTGCATATCCATACGCGATACATTATCGCACCAAGGTTTGCCATTAGAAGCATGTTAATAAACTCAAACAGTCTTTTAGCTGATAATAGGCATTTTATGTGTGAGATGATTGATTAGTCAAATATTAACATTAGCTTGAGAGAGCATGCAAAACACGTAAAACTAGCTATTCTTGTAACTGAGCTCTATCGCTTCCACATGCTAGAGGAAAACGTGATCATTATATACCCAAAATTTACTTCTATTCGGTAAACACACCGTATAAACCTTTTTCAACAGCGGAATCGCGTAACAGTCCATGAAACGGCAAAATGTCTACACACGCATCACATTGTATTTGTTCCTCCTCCTCACAGTCCAAGGCCCTATACAGCATTCTCAAAAACAGTAGTTGAACGCCATAGCTTCGGACCCTATCGCACCACGAAAAACATTCAAGTCGATTTTCCGCATCGACGGATACACGTGCGTTTCCTGCGGTATCGGGATGCCACCATCGCCCCGGAACGGTGGTGAGAGTCTGTCCATGGCGTCCTTTAGCGTGTCTTGTGCCAAACGTGAGTGGTATATAGTACCAAGTCCCTGGGCAATCATCTGCTGTATATGATCTGAGCCTTTTCCCGTGTCGTGGAAGTGAGGGTTAAGGGTACGGATTTGTAGGACGCGGACTGTGGAATCATCGGAAGCTTCGTCCTCATAATCTCCCATGGAAACGCGACCAAAGTTCTCCAACATATCGATGTACTGGAATGGCTCAACAGCGTACCCGGTTGCGAAACGAAGCTTGAGAGCAAGATTGATGTCCATAGCATGCTCGCCTGCGTTAGCCGTCTGGATCATTTCTGCACAAGCTCCGTCACCATGTATACCCTGCAACAGCTCATTCATCCACTTATTCACAACACGCGAGCTGCGTCCCGTCTCTGGAAATGTAATCTCGTTGTCGACGACCTTTGCTTTCGAGTTCCACTTTATACGCACCATAGCGTGGGAGTTCGTCGGCAGTAGGAAATCTTGGGTCGACCGGGTCGTATCGAATTGTCCAGCCTTGGATAGCGAGTAGTTTATTCCAGCGGCGAAGACCTTGCAGTACTCGTGCACGGATCCAGGAACGAGATTATCGGCATCAATGAATCCTACGAATTGCTTGTTAGCGAGTTTGGCGAGCAGTACGCCGATCATCATCGCTTCGCCCTTTCCGTTGCAGACGTGGTTCGGTGTAGTTGTCTGGTTTACCACTTCCGGCATGTTGGCGGCACAGAAGGCGTGGGCGAGGGCGGAGTTTTGCTGGTGGATTATGATACCTTGTCGTTCTGTGTCGTCACATAGCTGCTTGAGTAGTTCGTATTCGTGCTCGAACTTCTCATGGGTGCTGTTGGACACGAGGATGACGAGGCAGTGGTGTGGTATACCGCGGAGTACGCCCTCGATTATGTGTAGTTCCTCGTTCATGCATGGGACTATGATTGCGAGTTGCGTTTCGATGGCGTAGAGCGAGGAATAGGAGAAAGAGACATTTCTGCTGTTATTTGTGTTGTTGTCAGCGTTGCTTCGAGAACGTATGATGGGGAAACCAGCTTCTAGCTGTAGAACATGGAAGAGGTCGTGTATCTCGACGTTGCCGATTTGAGTAGTTCGGGAGTTGGTTCGGAGTCGCATATTTGCTTATTTTAGAGTGTATGTACAACAAAAGGGGACTTACTAACAAGTATTTTATCAATCCATATCACGAGAGGAGTGAAACAAGTGAAGTGGCTCTATCTGGCCTTTGTGAAGCAACACCGTTTGAAGGGGTGTATTTTCATAACGCAGTATTTCTAAGCAACAATGTATTTTGGGGATGATGTGAGCGTCGTGAATGTGGCTGCGGCGAGCGTTATCAAGTCAGGTTACAATGTTACTATGGGAAGGTAACTCGCAGATTGCCTCCAAATCAAGTAAATATCGAAAAACCCAAAAGCGATGAAGCTAGAAACAGGCTACACGAGGCGGCATTGATATAGATTATGTGAGAGTAATAATATCTCACGTGGTGTCATTAATGAGTTTGCGGCTGCCACTATTGACACTAACATTGCTCTTCAAGGCAAAGTTACTGGTTCCATTTTATCACATCGTCCTTTGTATTGTGAGCATGTAGAAACAGTATCGCTTCATCCTCTCCTTTGCAAAAAAATGGGGACCAAAAAAAATGGAAGGCTAGGTAAAGCGCGTGCTTTGGGCGACGCGTCTAGAGAGATGCAGTGTGAATGATTGACGTTTCATGCCATGCACCATCCTCATGCACTGGCATATCGATCATGCCATACATTTCAGGACATGACCATGACATGCACTCATCACGAATACTCATCTGCAAGATTTCTCTTGCAAATAATCTCTTGAACGGTCGTAATTGCGCTATGATCCGAGGGACCTTCACGAATGGAATATTCTTGAAATTCATCAAAACCCCGGCATGATGAAGGCTTTCGGGTTTGATGACTCCAAGGGCGACGGCACTCGCCAAGGCTTACATTCAACATCTGATTCGTAACATCATACCTCTCATCGCAATACTGACTAGTAACCAGAAAAGTAAGTACATGAATTTGGGTGATTTGAGCATAAGAAAGGCGGTGGTGTTACCCCACATCAGGTGAGATCCTGCGGCGGAAATGATAACAAGGCAGGACAAAGGATACGGACGGAAAGCACATTACGCACCAATATTTATCACGGCTTCTGCTGGACAACAACTAAGATTAGCCAAGCTCAGCTCAGAGCTGACTGCGCCGCGGTCAGCCATGTGCATATTCTGATCAAAGGCCAGCCGATCCGGTTCGTGCGGGTAAATAGGAGTGAATCCCGCTACCCGCTGCCCGCTTCCCGATGCTGGCTGTCACTGACCTTTCGAGCGCAGCATCACCACCACTATCATGGAGTTCCCTGATACTGCTGTCGGCATCTACCATACCCGACTGCACCTTGTTGAGTTGCAGTCCACGCGGCACGAAGCCAATATACGGCACCCTGGAGAAGACTGGCCAGGCATAACGAACCAGAAGGAGAGGAAGAAACTTGAGAATAGATTGAACAAACGACTTTGTGAGTGCGCAGATGATCGACGAATCCGATCTGGTTGGAAAGAATTTAAGCTGATGGTCTATCGGAATGATCAGCAAGGTTGAGAAGAAGGAGAGCTACCTATGATGACAGCTCGTCTGACGCCGTGTACTGCACGGCGGTTTTCCCCGAGACCGCTCCTTCCCCATGCGGCATCACCTCGACATTTAGCCACTGTTCAGAGGAGGATGCTGCGCAGAAGCGAGCCATGCTCGAACACTTCGCCGAATAAGCTTTGATGAGTTACATGACGGCTAACCCGCGTGCCGATCATTATCTGCAACTCATACAGCTCAACACAATCAATGCCTTCACAAGAAACGCTGATGCACTAGGCTACAAATTTGACTGGCTAATTTGTGCCGCCGTCTCTCCCTTTGCATGCGACGAGCAGAGCTGTAACTCGGTGTCGACGACGATGGCCCCCATGCCGGGTAGTCTCGTACCTACAAGCATGCAGTTGACCAAAATGCACCACCCCTGGCTTGACCTGTTCCCTATTCCCAGGATGCGAGACAATCTTTTGATAGCTACAAGCGTTCTGTCTCCAGAGGAGGAGCAACTACTTTTCGACGATGTTATGGAGGCGGGTAATGGAAAGAACGAATGGACTGGGCTGCTAGTTTGGGGAGAGCCGTGGGATCCACAAAGCTGGGAAGCAAGTATTCCCTTCCTACAAAGATCGTCATGGCTTGTAAGAGGCTACCCAGAGATTGTAACATCCACCAATCGCTGGCGACGTATGCGAGGTGAAGAGGCGATTTCAGTTCCAGGCTTTGTCCTAGAGGAGTGTTAGTACGACTCAAGAAGCAGTGGAGCACCGTCAACGACTGACAAAATCATCAAATGTCACCTTAGGCCTGACATTTCGGAAGGAGGAAGGGTAGTATGACGCTTAATGTGAACTATTCAGAACTCCATGTGTGTAGGGAGCGGTTGTGCGATCATGCGGCCGTTTGTTTTGAACTCGTGACAAACTAGCGGATGAAGAAAGCTAGATCTCCCCTTTCAATACTATACTCCAATCCTCACCCCGAGAAAACTCCTCCAAGGAGGTTGTCTTGATGCCCATTTCCGCAGGAGTCTTGACCTTGGGATTTCCATCAGCGTAACCATACTCTGCAAAAAATCTGAAATTGTCCACAATGGCAGTCTTGTATCCGTCTGGGATGTATTCTACGTACTACTCCTCCGAAACATCTCTAATTGTCGCTTTAACTCCCAACGTACGACCCTAGAGAGCTGCGTATTCTGGCTTGGTAATGATCTCACTGGCACCCAGGACGTCGGTGCCGGCCGGTTGATGAAGAATCAGTGCCTCAACAAATGCACCCGTGTCGCGTGTGGCTACCACCTCGGGGTTTGCTTGGTGCGGACCGGCACTTTTGAGACGCACGTATTCGAACGTGCCATCTGGCAGCTTGTGCGGCCTAAAAGCTGGAATGTCCTTCCAAGTCTCTTGAAAGATACCCATGGTGACGGTACTCAGCCGGGTGTGCAGCTCTGGAAGTTGGTCCCGCATTTATTGCTCTGCGCTGGCCTTGGAATCAAACTCGTATGCATGCTTGTTCTTGCAGCCGCTGATCCGCTGCACCGCGGCCAATGTAGAGAAGACGAATCTTTCAAGCGTCGCGAGTACCCTCGGGTCATTCGTTGCCTTCGCTATATTGATACCCTGCATCCTTTCAAGATGTCCCGCATATTCTTCAATTGACATTCCTGCCGTTTTTGCCTTCTCCTGCAGGACCTTGTCCGCCATAATCCGGGAGTAGCAGGCGGCCCAATCGGTGACGGCGAAAATGGCGTGAGCACCTTGGAAGGCGGCCTTAAGTGCTTCCAAGTCGTCGTGGTCGCCTCTGACGATTTCAAACCCCCTGCTCAACCACACCTTGGCCTTGGCGGAACCAGGATTGCGCGTTAGCCCGCGTACCCGCCATTCGGCATGGGAAAGGAATCGGCCGGCGACAGAGCCACCCTAATACACATGTAAGTAGCTCTCCTTATTGAAGCGCAGGTATAATCAGGAAGCCTTTTACCTGCGTCCCGGTGATGCCGAGGATCGTGATGAGCTTCTTAGTCATGATGAAGATGGGCTTGATCACAGTTGAGAAGTTGTTCAACAAGGCTGAGTAGGAGACAGAAAAGCTGAATAGGGGGTAGGACTCAATTCTCAACGACACATATCCCGTTTATGAAGTCCTCACTGGGAACAGTAAAAGATGGTCTTGTCTGATGGATTGGTCGATTTTTCATCGGCCCAGCAAAGAAGAGCTTGGTACTGCAACCAGCTGACATCGTACGTACCTAGATCGTATGATGAACGCGGTCATGTCATGCATTTGAAGGACAAAGATCCTCTTTTTCCATGCATATCTACCTACGCAGTAATGCCCTTCCGATGTACATGGCTAAAATAAGTAGTAAGAAATCAGATCACCCAACGCTCTTCCCATACTATCTAATACTTGAAGGATGTATGTAATGTATAATCCCAAATGCCGACCCGCGGGGCAACAAATGACCGGCCCATGCGCGTTCGCACGTTTTGGGGACAGAGGGGAAAGACTGCCAAAATCTTGATCAACGTTTTGTAACCAACCGATTTCCATGTTCATCCTGCATCGTCACATCTTGCGCCGTGAAGAACCACTCAAATAGCTCCGCACGCTTTGCATCTCCAACCTAAAACAATACAGATTTTGTGGGCAACTTTGCGACAGACTGATTCTCGCTATGCTGTAACAGGGCATCGTAAAGGGAAGCCAGACTTTCGATAGATATCCGCTCTGAGCCTGGGTAGTCGATCACAGTCATGTCAACTGTGTCCGAGTAATCCCTCGAAGTGATTGACCGTGCTATGGCGACTGCGACATCTTGAAGGCGTGCAATGTCGATTGTTCCACTCAAGTTGGTGAAGTCTGGTCAGTAACCCAGCCGTTTGGAGATCGAGATTATGTCGTCTGCAACGCTAGCCTCACACTGCGCGTTGATTTCTCCTTCGCTGCAGCGAGCTTGTGTTGGACGATGAGCAGTGATGGGTACTGAAGTCTGGCACGCAACACGTTTCAGGTATCTTTCCGTAACCCATTTCGTTGAGATGTAACCATCCTTAGATCATTCTCGTCTTCGTAGGCCGCCACGAAACCTGAGCTCAAAACGTGTAGGGACGCACCGGTACGGACGGTGACATGGGCCAGCACCTTTGCAGCGTCAAAGTTGGTGGGCCGAAGGGCATGATAGCCGTCCCAGAAGTTCTGATCTGCGGCGCAGTGCAGGATACAGTCTGCCTCTGACAGAATATCGTCCGGTGGTAAAGATGGCAGGTCAGCCTCTTCAATCTGGGTCTTCTGACTATTGAAAGGTGAAAGGTTCTGCAGGTCGCGGTCGCCAACAGTACGCACGAGACAGATGATCTTCTTGACTTGAGGGTCTGACACGAGCTGTTGGAGGAAACATTGACCCAAAGGTCCAGTGCCTCCAGTAAGAGCAATTGTCAATCCATTGCCGACATCTCGTCTCACCCTGGGCAGATTCGGTTTATTTCCAAGCTGTACTTCGATCTCCGCGTCCCAGTCAACCTTGTCTACGTGAGTGTTCAGCAGTGATGCCATGGTTCCCAGCTCGCGTGAGTTCATCATTAGACTCAATCGAGGTGCGTTGTTGAATTCCTTCCTTATCAGATCTTGGAGCTTCACAAGTGGCAATGAGTTGCCACCGGAGAGGAAAAAGTCTGTGTCCCGATTAATCTCCCCCGAAAATCCTCAAGGAGGGAGTAACTGTTCGAGGGTACAGGTCACGTGTGTACCTCTTTGGGACTAGCGTCTGTTCAGCTCGCTCTTTCTATATAGCCCGTTCTAATAGCTTATAATAATAATTAAGTTTGCATCTTATAAGCACATTCTATTAGGTTATAAGCCCTTACTAACTTACTACTAACTAACTAGGACGACTGCCTTCGCTGTATTTAATTATCACGCGTTGTAACCTAGCGTTAGTAAGGTTTCTACTCATAAACTCATTTTAACCACTACGACGTTATTGCCTAAAAAAATAGGTATCTATAACGCGTAAGTAGCTGTCCTCAAGCTTAACGCCTCTAGCTTAAACTTCTAGAAATATGTAAGGACAGAACCCTCTTCCTTACGCACTAGTCCTATCTAGGCTTAGCGTATAGAATAGTCCTTACTAGGCCTAGTATATACACTAGCCTAATATAGGCTTAGAGTCTCCTTCTCTTACTATATAGAGTAGACTCTCTCTCTTCTTAGAGAGGTTGTCTACTATTGTCTCTATCACTAAATCCAAGAGTTATCCAACCTACGCTGGCAAATGGGTTGGGTATACCCAGTCTTGGGTTGGGGTTGGGTTGGGGTCGCACAGACCATGGGTTAGGGTTGGGTTGGGGTCGCACAGACCATGGGTTAGGGCTGGGCTGGGGTCGCACAGACCAAGTGGTAGGGTTGGGCTTGGGTTGGGTTGGGTTGGGTTGGGGTTGGGTTATATTTTTTGGGTACTTTAACGGAACAACACTTAATTAAGATAATGTGTACACGTTGATGATATAGTAGATACATAAAACGAGATATATTAACACAGCTAATTATCACGGTAGCGCTGAGGACGCTGGCGCTTTCGAGGTGGCAATTGACGCTCCTCCTGGACCTCTTCCTCCGACTCTTCTTCTGTAGTCTGGTTCTCCTCATCTATATCGAAGGTATGCTCTAACGAGGCTGGAAGCTCAAAAAGATCATTAACCTCGTCAATTGGCTCTCCATCCTCCCCTAATTGAGCAACTAGGTAGTCTAGACCCTGTTCTTCCTCTTGAGATATTGTATCCTTAAGAACCATTATCTGCTGTATTGTCCGGGCAGATAGTCGGTGCCTCCGACTACCAATAACATCCTTAGCAACATTGAAAACTCTTTCAACCCCAACCTGAGCAATTGGTATTGCTAGTATATCCTTCGCCACTTGGGATAGTCGTGGGTAGGTAGGCTCGTTCGTCTTCCACCACTCTAGAATATCGAAAGAGTCATCTGTCATTACACAGGCAGTACTAAGGTAGGACTCTCCTTCTTGGCGGGTTGGGCCAGTTGTCTTGTCTGATTCTACTAGTGAAGAGTTCTGGGAAGAAAAGCTGTTTAACGCTGATGTAGGGGGAGGAGCTGGCTTTCTGAACCACTCATTCCCAAGTGACCTCCTTTTGACTATGCTAGAGCCTGGGGTTGAACCTCTCCCGTCCGTATTATCATAACGATCAAGGTAAGCAAGAAATTGGCCTCGGTAGAGATGCTTGTACTGTGGCTCCCATGAATCGTCCTATAAGCGTAATTAGAGCGTGACTGTGATAAATAGCTGTGATAATCATACTTCATATGCTGTAAGCTTCTGCGTTGGATCAAGGATAGTGGCACAATTAAACAAGAACCCACGTTCTGCGTCTGTCTTCGAATAGTACTTGCTCAGTTTTAGACGACCCCTGTCAGCTGCAGCTCGTACTACGTCTAGCCATTCCCTATCATCTTGATTTTCTTCATCCTCATCTAGGTCCTCTGACATTTTGTCCAAGAAATCAAACAGTCGATTGTACATTAACCAAAATATACTGAATCTGGGGCTTCTCGTTCTGGCTGAGGAAGCTAGTTGCTGTTTTAAACCGTTTAAGCATCTCAGTAACGAGTTCGAGATGATGCCACTCAGTCGAAGATAAGCGGAGGCGTTTAAGATCCCGGAAATCAATCTCAGCCATTTGATTGTTGTCTAGAGAGCTATCCAGGTGACTACCTGGCCTTAGCAAGATTTCTTGTTTAAGCCATTCATCAATATATTTTTGGATTTTGAGCGCGCGCTCTAACATGTCGTATGTTGAGTTCCATCGGGTTTTCACGTCGCGGATAACAGATAATCGCTCCTTTGGCGGTAGATGTTGTTGTACCGCAATAAACCGCTCAAAGCGTTGAGGTGATACGTCAATAGCGATACAAATCGCCCTTATCTAGTCTATTATTAGTATGTGATAAATGAATGTGTTAAAAGCGAAATACCTTGCGAAGGGAATTTGGGACTGAAATATGCGTCTCAATGTCCTGTATATGACGTCTCTGTAGGGTATCCCTTGCTCCTAACTCTGTAGTTGCTGCTAGCCGAAGGTGTTGGATAATATCCTGGACAACGAGGTTGATAATATGGGCAAGGCAAGGGATAGTGTTTTCTCTGGCACTCCACTGAATGTCGACTTCTTGGAGTTTAGACTGGAGAGTGCGAGCAAGTACGCTATTGTTACTAGCGTTATCACAAGTAATAGCTAGAAGCTGGGTTTTGGTCTTTGTATCCAGAAGAATATGCAGTACCTCGTCTGCCATAGAAGTACCGGTGTGCCTGCCGCGCATAGGGAGAAAGTCAAGTAGCTTTTCCTGAAGTTTCCAGTCTTTGTTAATGTAGTAACCCTTTACCGCAAGAAAGCAGAGGTGATTAGCTGCAGACCAGGCATCTAAGGCGATTGAGATCTTTGTTGATTTTCCAAGATCTCGAAGGATAGACCTTTTTGCTTCCTCATGTTGACTCTTGAATATCGTCTTGAATTTACAACGACTAATTATCACAGTATCTGTTCGAAGGAACCGAAGAAATCGATGGAAAGATGGTCGTTCAACTGTTCGGAATGACCAGTTGCTGTCGATTACTACCCGTACAAGCTCCTTTTCAAAGGTAGTAGTAGTGTAAGCTGGTATTGATGAAGTACTGTTTCTTTGTTGACGTTGGGATAGAGTAGAGGCCGATAAGTCTGCCTCATTATGAATAGGAGTAAGGACATTTCGACAGCTTTTTGTTTTAAGATGAGTAATAAGGTGCTTTGTCCCAATACCACCTAGATTTGGATGCTGGAGTGCAAGACTACAGTTGTAGCAGAACACGTAGGGGTGGCCAGTTCGAAGCTCAGCAGCTTCTCCAAATCGTAACCATACTGTGCCATAGCGAGTAGGAGAGTTCCATCGTGGGTTATCATTTTTAGGGTTTATACCCCAGCTAGTATTACTCCACGACGCTGTCCATGTCCCTAAGATCTCACTTACACTATAATCTTGCAGAAAACGATTATTTGGATATTTCACTAATCCAATCGTTCTCCTGTCACCCCCCTTTGTAACCTGTGGAGAATTGATTTTTAAACAGTTGAGGTCCTCCGGAAATTCAATATTAGTAGGATTAGGCATAAGCTCAATAGACTGTGCAGCTATGTCCATCGCTTCTAGAAAGTAGTAGAATAAGGCATTAATAGTAGTAGCACACAATAGGAAAAAGTTGAGAAGTTTAAGTTTGGATGTAGGACTCAAGGCTTCTCACGCTCCTCTCAGCTTTGCTTGCGCTATGACGCCTGTAATTTAACTTGAAACCTTGGCATATTACTAGCGGAATATCATTTTTAATGCCTCATAGTAAACACAGAGATCGTCAGGAGTGCACGGATATTAATCTGCATAAATGACAGATCACAATCTTAAGTTAAGATTATATGGCGCAATAATCCGTGTTAATTGGTTGTGATAACTGCTTACTATCCCTCAATGCTTGAAAGTGTCTTAGCCTAAAACTCTAATTATCAGACTCAGAAGCGGCATCAGAATCCGGAAACCCCTCAAATTCAGAGTCCTCAGATTCCTCAGACTCCTCAAGCGCTGCCTGCTTCTGTACAGCAGCCCACTGGTCGTCATCCTCGTACTCGTCTTCAAGTGAATTGAAATGCTCCTCAAGATCAGAGTCATAGTCAACCTCTTCTTCACACTCATCGCTATCGTCACCTTTAACGTACGGCTTATCACCCTCCAGCTCAATATCAGCGTCACCAAGTAAGTCGAGAATGCTAGGTGGCTCCCGTTGCCTTATTATATTAGTATCTCTGTGATAAAAGGATGTGATAAACTTACTGCCAGTCATTATCAGTTACGACTTTCATCTCATTAGGTGTAAGTTCCTCCACGAACTTCTCAAACTCTCTCTTAGCCTCCTTGCTCTCAAAGTCGTTGTTGTTAAGCTTTGCTAATCCTTCTTGATAGGTCTTTCGAAGAATCTTTTGCAAAACACCACCTGAGCCGTAAATTCTTGCTATTCCTCTACCACTAATGTCATGGGTGGGCTTGTCATCTTTGCTAAGCACTTTCGCAATCGTGATCTCGTGTTTTCTCATATCCACCTGCTTAGTGATCGCATCCCATTTACGATGCACATGAGTTAGGTTTGTCTCTAGCCATTCAGCTATAGTCTATTAGCAGATGTCTATGATAAACAGCTGTGATAACTTACCAGACTTTTTCTGGGTAAACCGCTTCTCTGAAAGTATATCCCACTCTTTCTCTAGCAGCTTAGCCTCTCTAGCACTATTTGCTAATTTATACTTAGGCTGTTGCAAAAGCGATTTCTTCAGTTGGTACTTCGCGGAGCGGTCGGCTGTTCTAACGCTTTCAAGTACCTTCTCCTCTTTATCGAAAAGAGCTTTGCGTTCACGTTGAGCAATAGCACAGGCGCTACCACTCAGAGAGCCAGTATAGGGGACGCTCAAATTGATAGGTCGGCCTTTTCGTGAACCCCCACTACCTCTTTGATCTAAGATACC